AAGGTTAGTAGTTTATATTTAAGTTATGCTAAAGTAAATAAATTTATAGATTTATTTAATGCTACTAGAAGAAGTTAGATAGTTAGTATTATTAGAGATATATAATATTAATAGATCTTAGCTGCTATATATATATAGTATAAGACTCTAGTTATATTAGTCTAAAAGTAAGCAAACTTAATAAGTAGCAGAAGTAGAGAGTTTATAATAGTAGTAAAAGAGTAGTTATTTAGATCTATATATTAGAGCTAAGAGAGTAAGCGCGTAATGCTAAAAGAGAATCTCTCTAATTAGAAGATATTTAGATAGGTTCTAGAGAATAGGCAGTAATAGTCTATACTAAAAGACTAGTTTAGTATTAGTATTTTTACTTTGCTGCTGCAAAGCATAGTATTAAACTACTTTATAGAATAAAGTCTACTAATAATAAGGTTTCTTTAATAGGTTAAGATAGTATAGTTATGTAATATAACTATTAAACTAGTATTATAATATATTAAGAATATATATATATCTTATATAATAGATAGTGCTCTGCTTCTACTTTTATAATTAGAAGAAGTAACTAAGAATAAGTTAGTAATTAGAGACTCTGCAGAATTTCTTTTACCTATTAGTAATAGTTAATAATTAGTTAAGAAAGTTAGAGATAGTAATAATATTAGCGCAATATAGTATAGCATAAATATATAGGTTATTAGAGATAGCATTATTATTTAATAATAGTTCGTGTTAAGAGAAAGAGAAGGTAGGCAGAGTTATTCTACTTTCTTTTAATATTACTATAATAAGACCTAGAATATCTCTAATAACCTCTTATAACGTATTAGCAGTAGCTATACTCTGCTTATATATAATTTTAGCTACTAAAAGATATTAAAATACTTAACTCTATTAAAATATTACTTAACTCTACTATAATATTGCTTAACTCTACTATAATATTACTTAACTCTGCTATAATATTGCTTAACTCTGCTATAATATTACTTAACTCTGCTATAATATTACTTAACTCTTAGATATGCATAAGCTAGCTTAGCACTATTATTAACCTAATATTAGAAATTCTAATATATATAGAACCTTATAAAACTCTAGTTATTGCATATATAGCCTACTCTAATAAATACTATAACTATAATATATTTTATTATATATCTTATAACACGTTAGTTAGATTATTATAGAACTTAACGCATTTAATGCGTATTAATTTTCTGCATCTTATACTTAAGTTATAGTTAATTTAAATATTATTTAGAGATTAGTTCTATTAGTTTTCTTAAACCTAGAAACTAATATCTAAAGATTTAGAGTTTCTTAGAGAACTAATATAGAAATCTATATTAGTTCTATTATCTATTAAAGATAGTAATAATATTAGTATAATATAGTATAGCATAAATATATAAATTATTTAAGATAGCATTATTATTTAATAATAGTTCATATTAAGATAGAAGAGAAAGTAGGTAGAGTTATTCTACTTTTCTTTAATATTACTATAATAAGATCTAGAATATCTCTAATAACCTCTTATAATATATTAGTAGTAGCTATACTCTACTTATATGCAATTTTAGCTACTAAAAGATATTAAAATACTTACCTTTATTAAAATATTACTTAACTCTATTAAAATATTGCTTAACTCTATTAAAATATTACTTAACTCTATTAAAATATTGCTTAACTCTGCTATAATATTACTTAACTCTTAGGTGTGCATAGGCTAGCTTAGCACTATTATTAACCTAATATTAGAAATTCTAATATATATAGAGATGCTTTACTTATATATAAATCTCTCTAGTATCTCTAACAATAAGGCTGCATAACGCCTAGAAACGCAGATAGCAGTATAGTAGAAGCTATAACTAGCAACTATCTTATTCTTATTACCTTGCATTATATCCTTAAACGCAACGCGCATAGGCTATCTCTTATGCTTAGAGAACCTCTTAACTATAGCTCTAGCGTTCTTGCTCTAAAGTCTACTTAGTCTCAGCGCAGGCTCTCTCCCAGAAAAGCTGATCTGTGCCACTCGTGGCAATGAACTCTCCCTGCTCAAGCGAATTCATAAGATACGCGCAATTTCCAAGTTTCGGGTTAAACAAATAACTCTTGCATTCCGCTTCGGCCAAACATAGAGTCGCACAAGTCGAAACATCCGTCGCATCGATCAAGTTGAACGAAGAAGCGTAGTATGCCTCAACGTTAGCGAAGCCTTCGACGCCACACGTGGTGCTTGGGGATGGGCTGGGGGACGGAGTATCGCACTTTCCGAATCCAGCTTGGCATCCTGTTGCACAGAATGCGGCGGTGCTTCCACTGCGAGTTGGTGTTAGTATTAAGAGGGAGGGAGAGAGAGATTGAGAGCTTACCACCATCCGTAGGCGCTACAGCAATTGCCAAATGAAGAGCCGACACAGGTGGAGCCAGCAGTTCCGCCGCAAATTCCATCAGTTGAGATCTTCCCGCCCGTGACCGGGGCCGCTGATGCTGCGGGTACTTTCGATGATACTGTGGGTGCTGCCGACGATAGTACTGGTGCTGCTGAAGAGACCGCGGGAACTGCCGATGAGACTACGAGTATCGTCGAGGATACTGCAAGTGTTTTCGATGACGCCGCAGGTGCTGAGGAAACGATGACCGCGGGTGCTGAAGATACTGGCGACTTGCAATCTCCAAATTTAGCCTGGCATCCAGTTCCACAGTGTTGTGGCGTGGAGCCACAACGTCCATTCTTAGAGCAACAGTTTCCCCAAGACGAATTCTTGCAAGTAAGCGTATTCCAGGATTGTTTACCGCAAATACTCGAGGTGCTGACGCGCAACGCGTTGACGTTAAGGAATAGAAGGGCCGCAACGGCCAATGATATAGAAGAACGCATCGTGTAAAAGAACCGTCGGAACGAGTGACTTGGGTTAAGAAACGGTCTGCGAATGGGGATGCATTACTAGATTCAGGAGAGGGAACGACCAGAATATATTATATCGTGGATAGGAGACTTCCAAGCATGGGCTGACTCGTGAAACGAAAGTGGTGTTAGAGTTCTCTCGGGCTAGACCCGATGGACACAACGCTAGGCTATAATTAAAGCTGCTCAAGGCTATTGCATCCCCACAAGGCTGAAGATGGCGTGTACGCGTGCATCGTGATGCGTCAATACGAGCCGAACACTCGTCGCTTTGCACCTGGAGTTACGAAGTTGCCGTAACGATGCATTCCGCGGGGAGACACGACGCCACTGTAGGATCGAATCATATCTAGCGACCACTCTATATCCGACTTGCTTATCGGTGCTTCTCAAAAGTATCGCTACAGCCCCATAAATTTCCATCAATACGAGTCTAACGAGCAGGGCTGGTGATTGGTTAGATTCGAACGGTACGGACTAAACTAGCAGATAGAAGTGTACCGAAAGATATAAGCCAATAGAGAAGATTGGATAGATTCGAACGGTACGCACTAAACTAGCAAATAGAAGTGTACCGAAAGATATAAGCCAATAGAAGAGGTTACTGGGCGTTAGAAAACTAGTGTCAAAAACTGGGCATGTAGCTATACTTTTGAGAAGCACAATATTATCTTTTGCTGATTGCTAAAGTAAGAGGGCACAGGGATTGATAATTGTTGTATGACCAAGAAAGATACTCTTGCTATTGTATTCTGTACAGCTAGCAACACATTATTCGATCCTGACGCGTTCTACATTTGGAAGCTTGTGAATCTGGGCCATCGATACCTTCCAACAGGCAAGGCCAACTCGTCTGAACGTTCGGACTTCATTTCTCTTGTCTTTGTCGCGGTTGTCGTTGTCGTCACTTTTTGTGACCCCTGGCAAGAGTTCCTCCAAGACAAGCATATAGATACGACAAACATCCTCTACTTCCGATGAACTATCAGTATGCTTGCTTCGTTTTCTGTTAGGTTGTTCATCGTCGCTCTGGTTTCCCTCACGACCCGTATCATCGCTCTTACTCCTTTTACTGCTGCTTTTATCGCTATGCTCATCATCATGCCCCTCCATATGATACGATTCATGAGTTTGCTCCTTGATTCTCATCTCCTCTTCGTCGCCCTGGTCTCCTATGTCTTCCGTATTCTCTCCATCCACGCTATTCCTTTCATCCTCGTCACTCTCATGATCAGCCCTTTTGAATTGACGAAGGATGGAATGCGTATCGTCTCTTTCGACATCCACATCAGAAATCATGCATGGCAAAAGAAAGCAGTCCCTTTCGGTATCGTCTTTATCCATCAAGCAACGTTTCCATTCGCCTTTGTGTAGTCCTGGGAATGAGGTTTCCAAAGATCCACGATAATAGCTGCCCAGTTGATGTTCTCTGTTGAAATACCGTGCCGAGTATAGCGTACCTGTCACCAGGATATAGCCCTCTTTGACATGCATAAACGATCCTGGCGAGCGTTCCTTAACATCCGCATCTACGATGTTGAATCCCGGGAGTGGCTTGACGGTATCGAACATTTCTAATTCTTCTTCGGGGTAGTATACCGTCGCATTCATTGAAGCCCAACTCCATGATGGAGCGCGATACGCCAGTGCGGGTTCCGAAGGTTTGTCTGGAGACGACACCTTCCACAGCAGACATCGGGGCATCTCGTGAGACCAAAGTCCCGCTAAATACTTCTCCTCGCCATGTATTTCTTTATACATGGCAGCCAGGCCGCCGAGTGCTGGTAGTTGGCTGTTAGAGCTGACAATTGCCTCGAACTATAATCCTGAACTAGCGACTCCCATCTCCAAGAAAGTTCTTGCGGATCGTTATCGTGTTCAGCTCTGGATGGGAGGGTCTGGAGTGCGCTGTAGGGGGGCCTCGAGCCGCCCGCTTCATGCCAGGAATTAGTTCGACATTCCCAGAACAACCCGTTGTGAGTATAATGGAGTATTCGTGAGGAGAGAACTCGCTCTTGTCATGTCCATGCCCTTTCTTCTAGCGCACTACCGACCCAAGGAGCCAAATTTGTTTTCGCAACAGTCAGATGCCGGCGAGATCCATCTGGAAATGCGTAGACACCAATGGGCGCACCGTGGACAGCAGTAGGCCTGCGCGGCTGGAGGAAGCCCTCGCTGATTTGTTTTGGCGTCGTCAGCAGCGATTGTAAGAGTCGAATTGCGATAATATTCGCCCATCTTTTTAGCTTCCTGCGTCTAGTCCTCGGGATTGTCTTGCATAATGCACAGCGCATCAATCCAAATGTATTGAAACCCAAGACGTCAAGTGATAGAGATAGCGTCCTGAAACGTCATTGGAAGACTCGCCAAGCTCACTGCATTGCGGTAACTGTCAAGATTGGTAGAGAGACATCTCACCTTAATCTTCCCACCCCAACGATGACTCAATGTGATGTAAGGGGCAGACCGGCCACCGGGTACGTAGAGAAACAGACCTGGCTGCTGACTACCAATATCAAGTACCCGTGTTGGAAGTTGAGGGGTTTCCCGGCGATTCTGACACTGCGAGTGATTGGGACTGTGAAGGCAATCGTTCAACCATCTTCTCGCAAGCGCGTGGCAGATGGGCGAGGTCGCAGAACTCGCTACGGACTTTCCTAGCCATGAAATGTCTGTGAGTGGACCTTCCCCCATTCGTCATCGTCATCGGGTTCGTAGGAAGGGTAGTGGGAGAGTGGAGCTCTTAGGTCCAGTAGACTGTTTAGGTTCCAAGTCTCCCGAAACGTGAAATTGGTGGCAGGCAAAAGGCGTTCCGTCTTTGATCCAGGTGGCGTACCCACTCCAAAAGCTCTGCTGAATGCTGACTTCTTGATCGCATACGCCATTGGTAATGAGATTGCGATTTCGAGAAGGATGATCTGACAAAGCCAACAGTCTTAACTAGAACGAATGAGGGCATTTGAGTGCGCATAATGCTTTGTAGCCCAGATCTTTCCTTCCTTCTGAGCTGACTACTCTGGATTTCCCACCGCGTTATCGTTCAGTATGTCATAGACCAAGGTTTAGCAGACTTCGCAAATAGCCTCTGAGAAGATTCGAGTGATCGGACTCGATGATGGAGGAGGTCCTGGATTGTGTGATCTTACTTCGCTAGAGGAGCGAGAAGTGGAGGAGTTAGAAGCCATCGTTGGGTAGTGCTCTCAAAACCGCTTCACTAAATCGTCACCGCTTTGTGCTGACTGTATGACATTGAATAATGTTGCGGCTGAAGCTCTTCTTAGAATCAAAGCTCTATTCCTAGGTGAGTTGGAGCCCTAGAAATGAATGGCATATGTATTGCCAGCTGGCACATGCGGCTGATTGTCGACACAGGGCGTGCGGCGCGTGCTGGCTATTTAAGAACATTGGGCAACGAATACAAACGGTGCAAGGAACATGAGTGACAGAAATTTCATGCTTTCCGTTGTTGCAACACTATTGCCGGAGGCATACAGCATAAACGTATGGGAATTGCGATACAAAAAGAATTGGGCTGTGGTGGGTGTCAAAATTGTTTCTTGCTATTTAGGTGCCTCCTCATGCAAGGATGAGAGGGTCTCCTACTGCAAAGCCGATCACCGACTGATGTCAGTTCTCTTCATCCTGAGTGGTCACCACGTTCGGAGCTTACACTAAACAAGCGCTTGTGTAGAAAATAATGCAGGCCTTCGCGTGACTAACTCCCATTTTAGTGTGTACTTTTACACGCCAGAAGAGCGAAGCAGATGCAGGTTCTGGACGCTTACTAGTAAATGAGATGATGATGCCGAAACATGTGCAGATTACCCTGCGCCATCCCTCGTAAGTGCGAGGAACCATAAATTGAACTTGAATTGTTCTCAATCTCGTGGTTCTACTGCAAGTTCTCACCTACGACAGCAAGCGGCCAGGGTGCCTAGAGCTATACACGGCGCCTTGCTATCACGATCGCTGTATATAGCTTCGGCTAGTAAATTCTTTTGTTACTTTCCGTCGTAGTTAACAACCTGCAGTATGCCCATCGTTAAAAGCGCGTTGGCTTGTTCTAAGATTCTACAGAGGCATTGATCACATTGCGCACTTGATTCGCAATATGGGCCATGGCTTGATGTAGTAGACTCAATTGCCTGTGAAATGCGAATTGTTAGATCTGTTGGCAGACCTGCAGTCATTTCCAATCTTCCACCACTTGCGACGGCGCTCGTGACGAGATCAAATTTGTTCCTCAAGTTTGGTAACACGGGTCAGGCAGCTCAATCCTCAGCTAAGCCGCCAAAAAGACCAAGGATGATGAGAGGCTGATAGGCTCTTGGGAACAGAAACCCACCCTTCGTGTTTGCGCGGCGTAGATGGTCGGTCAGTGCTCTCGTCTAAGTATTGGGAGTCTGCGCAGTGTGGTGGCTTATTCTGGCGACGGATGAGAGGGTTTTTATCTTCGATGATGTGTGTTGGAACGCGTCAAGTTCTTTCGGTGACAATTTGGCTCTTTCTGTAGATGCTGTGAGCTTTGCATCGGTGTGCAATGAGCGGTGGTCACGCTTTCGCCACCCGAGTGCAAAAAATTAAGGATCGACGCCAACCTCGGCAAAGACTCCGAGAACGATATCGGAAACTTTGCTTCTCTTCTTGTCTTCGACGGCAATTACCCATGCATCAAGCTCTGGCAGCTTTATGGAAGGCGCGCTCGAAAATCTGACCATTCCAAGGCGCAGGCGCTTCTCCGCAAGCCTGGATTTTTGCTCATTTTTCGCTATCGACGAACCCTGTTGTATAACTGTGAGTTCTCTACAGAAAAAGGGGGCCTAACTTGATGCCTCTGAGGATGTTTCTTGTTGTGGGCGGGAAGACTTGAGGCTAGCCAGGCAGCAGCCACTTGGCGTGCTGCTAGCACACCACCACGGTCCAGTATTTATACTGTGCATGAACGACCGAAGTATCCTAGGAGCAGGTAAGACCGTTTGCAGATCGCTACTTGGTCATGCCAAAGTCGACTCGTGCGTCTGCACGCATTTCCAAGGCACACCACAGAATTCCATCAAAAACAAGTCGTACCAGGAGTGGTCGACAACCTTCCCAACAAAAGAACGCACAATCGTTGATTGCTGAAGCAACCAGCAAGCGGCGCACGCCAAAGTTGCCACCTCTGGCATTCCTTGCTCGGTCTCCGGATGTAATCAATGCGGACCCAAACAGACAGGTCCGCCTCTTCGCACTTCCTCAAGAACTGCTAGAGCAGATCGCTAGCCACCTTCCCCTGGTCTCTGTTATCTGTCTCACTTTGACATGCAAAGGAGCTGCTGAAGCGATTGGAACACACTCATGGGCCAACTACAAGAAGGAGAAACGGTGGGCCATGGACCGGAATGGTTTCATTGAATTGTTGGCACGAGATTGGGGCGACATTTTAGAATTTTGCACGCGATGCGATACCCTTCATCCGCCTCTGCAGCCACCCAGGAGCCATCGTGAGACGAAATTGACCAAGTGGTGCTTTGGACAAGATGCGATCATCGATTACCTTCCTCAGGGTGCGTCGCATGGGTATAGTCCCGTGTTCCTACACATTGCCAATGCGATGGAAGACTCCAAAGATTTTAACTCAAAAGGCAATGTCGGACTGCCAATTGACACGCTGTCTGATGATTTCACGATCACGGAAAACAACCTCACTTGGAACCTCAACACATCTGGCCAACGCATCGTTGGGAATTTGATCGTCAAACATGTGCACACCTTCCGGAGTCGGAAAAGCAAGACATTGACCGCGAAGGATCTTCTGACTCTTCCAATCCGTTTGTGTCCTCACCAGTCGACCACAACAGACAAGCCGGAACGCTCCCGTTACATCAAAGGCAAATGCGTCGAGCAGAACGGTAGCCTGTTCACACACGCCATCACCATTGCATTCCCAGTAACGAGTCAAACATCTGTCAATCTCGACTCGCTCAAGCCCTTGACACCATCGGAACAGGCACAAGTTTCTGCATCACATGCTGGAGAAGAAGTGCACTGGCGATGCCGCTCGTGTCCGACAAAATATCGCGTGCTGCATAACAAGGAAGCAGTCGCGATCACGAGCTGGCACTGCTTTGGGAGAGATATGTACCACGCTTCAAAGTATTGGAAGTGGATGGTCAGAAGGACAGGGACGACGCTGGGTACAGACAAGAGGAATGATGAGTGGTGGAGTCCTTCGAGGACGGTTCCTGACTTCTTTTGTGGATGACACTTGCCGTAGCGTCCTGTATAGTAAGGAAGCTGGAGAATATCTGTGGCGCGCTCCAGCACCTTGAAAATAGATGAATCGGTGCAGGCTGTTATATCACTCTCAAGTGTGCGCGAGGCTTATATGAGTTGCATGTGTGCTATAAGGAACAGGCCAGTCTTTTGCGCAGGATAAAATGACGAGCAACGTGGTGTCGTGGTCATGTCGAGAAAGTGAGTACAAGCAGAAAGTTGGGAGGCAGGGAAGTACGATGGTACATGAGCAGTATGAGAGTAGTTGCGAGCGCTGGAGAGCTTACATCTTTCTTCAGTGTGGCGCTGCGATGCATTTGGATGCGGAGACCCCACAGAGATTCGGGCAATTCGGCGCAACCCCGCGCTCGCTTCGCTTTCCACACTTCACATGCGGACCGTCTAGCTTTGCCTTAAAGGGTATCCCGGTCCACTTTGTTTCCGCGCCTGTGGAACCAAGCATGCAGCGAAGCAAATCATCGTCACGATCTTGTGCTCCGACTGATCGCGCTTGCTTCTTCTTGACAACATCCCTTGACTCTTTCAGGGAGCTTCGTACGCCGGATAAATCCAAACGACGAGTAATGTGGGTCATCCTCGCACCGTATAGGCTCTGGTGCGGATAATATTGAGTAGACGATGGGTGATCCGGGGGATCTTCATCCTATAATGCGGAAGACAAGATGGGGAATATCGCGGGGTGAATAGACCCGAGGTTGAGATGATCACTGCATGTCGATGCATTAAAACTCTGGTTCTTCGCCATGGCGACTGGAAGTGCAGTGTGGTTCGCTACCAGCTTTCCAACTTTGACCACATTTTTTTGGCTGAGAATTTTGGAAAACGACTTCAGCAACTTTATACTGATCATTCTTAGGTCTTCATATAGCGAACATGGCACGCAAATACCTCGGAGGGTCTGGCGAACAACTTACGGTGTGGATATCTATTGCAGCATCAACCGTACTGATTTTCTATGGGTACGATCAAGGCGTCTTCGGAAATGTCATCATCAACGAGAACTTTTTGCACACATTCGGCTATCCGTCAGCCAACATGCAAGGGGTGATGACTTCGATATACAACATTGGCTGCTTCATCGGTGCCATGAGCACCGTCTGGACTGGCGACATGCTCGGCCGACCGCGACAGATATTGCTAGGCTCTACAATCATCGCCATCGGAGCAATCATACAAACATGTAGCTGGACTGTGGCTAGTATGATGGTAGGGCGCATCGTGGCTGGCCTCGGGACAGGCATGAACACGTCGACTGCTGGTGTTTGGCAGGCGGAGACTAGCAAGATGAGCAGTAGAGGAAAGCTGGTTATCATCCAAATGGGTATGCTGATGAATACAACATCAGGAGGCGAGACTGACAGTACCTAGCAAACTGCATCACTGGCTTCAGCATCTCTAATTGGCTCACACTTGGCTTTTCCTTTGCACCGCGAGATGTTGCGTGGCGTTTCCCTCTCGCGTTCCAGCTCTTCTTCACATTCTGTATCTACGCCATGTGCCCATTTCTACCAGACTCGCCTCGTCTCTTGATTCGAAAAGGAAAGCATGAAGAAGCACTTGAAGTTTTGGCTGCACTGGAAGGACATGGCGCCACGCCGGAGTCGCCAACTGTCGTCACCCAATACAATATCATCAAGGACATTCTCGATCGTGAGCATTTGAATACATATACCTGGTGGCAGCTTGTCTCAGGAAAGGGACCCAGCGGCGTTCTGCGAAGGATGATTCTCGGCGCGTGGATGCAGGTCATGAACCAAGTAGGTGGCCCAAAAGCATTTGACAAGATACGAAAACTGATCACCAACACCATATCTCTGGCATCAATGTCACCTCCTACTACATGAGCTACATCTTCATCAATGCTCTGGGTATCTCCGAGCTGCTGTCTCGCATCCTGGCTGCGGCCGGATCCGTTGACTATTTGATCTTCGCTTGTTTGGCATACTTTGTAATCGAGCGTTACGGACGTCGTAAGGTGCGCACTTCCCATCCCACGAAACTTGCGATACGAATAACCTTCGCGAGACTTCAGCTGACATTTCGAAGGTCATGATGGTCTCCGCAGCAGCATGCGCATTGTGCTGGATCATGATTGCTATATCACAAGGCCGGACCGAAGCTGGCGGCGATAAATACAAGCTCGGCATTGTCGCTGTGTCCTTTTTCTTCGTATTTTTCGCCAGTTTCGGTATGGGTGTTCTTGGTGTGCCGTGGCTGTATCCAACGGAGTGAGTCCGACCACACCATACACCTGGATATATGCTGACAGCGACCCAGAATCAACGCACTCGAAATGCGCACCAAGGGCGCATCCCTTGCAATGGCGTCAAACTGGATCTGCAACTACGCAGTTGTGCAAGCCACGCTCCCCGGGATTGAGAGCCTCGGCTACAAATTCTGGGTCATCTGGGCTGTCATTTGCTTTTCGTTCATTCCCATCACGTATTTCATCTATCCCGAGACTGCAAACCGAACGCTCGAGGACATTGATCGTTTCTTTGAAGGAGAGCCAGGCTTACTCATTCATCGGAACAAGTTGGCCGTGCAATTGCATCGTCCGGCCGCATTCATTGAAGCGGATGAGAAGATTGCCGCCGGAGATCAAGCCATGCGCAAGGGAAAAGCAGAGAGCGTGACCAGTGCACATGTTGAGACAAAGGAAACGGTGTGATTGAAAACATGGTGCAGCAAGACGATTGGGGAAAAGCTATTCAAGGTGTCGACTTCAACAATGAACTGTACAGCAGAGATTCAACCCTAAGCGACATGTATCGAGACTAGACTTAGCCTCACAAGAGAGAGAAGAAAGCGAGGGTGCTTAGGAGGATGTAGGAGCAGATAATGGTGTTACCTTAATAGCCCACCAGAATGCCGGAAACGAAATGGCGCACTTGATATATACAGTTTACTTACTCTTTGAGAAAAGCAAACATTGGCGGGAACGCGCATTATGCCTCTTTTCAGCTGTACATGATCAAGGAGGCTGCATATCTCCACGGAGTAACTGAGCATCGACAGGGAATAAATTGATGCGATTGAAATATACAGACAGCCTGTTTGGATTGCGATAACGGAAGTGAAGAGGAAAGACCACAATTACACCCCTTCCTTGGCGGCTTTGCCATGCACAGTTTTGAATGCTATTGACGACAAGCATAGTCGATCGGAAGTGAAATCAGTAGCTATAAGGTTATTTTGACTAGTCATGACGCAGCTGGGTACATAAAGCGCTCCTAGTGTTCGCCTGATGATGATAGTGATATGCTCCTTCGACGCTATACACCACCTAGACATGGATAAGGTACGTGAGTCCTTCGCATACATCGTTCTTTATGTCTATGCCTTTTCCTGCAAGTTGTAGCAAACCTCTCCATGTACCCCCGTGAGACAGACTGAAGCAAGCTTGGTTGTAGGATCCCTTTGTCATAAAGTCTAGGGCTCTTTCGATAGCATCCTTGATAGTCTTGATCTCGGCCGTAGTATCACACTTCTTGCCAGAGGTTGCAGCATGGTACTGGTAGTTAACCCTGTGATACCATGTCAGAGGCTGCGACAGAACATGCAGAGAACGAAAAAGGTAATGGAAGTTCCAGATTGGCGTGAGGCGCAGAGCAACGTGGGAAATATACGCACCCGTCAACTGAACCAGAGATTACGCCACAGCTATTCATGTCGCTTGTTTGCTTGATCAAGTTTGAGATGTAGGTGGCAGCTGCATTCACGTTGAGAAGCCCCATTGCGCCAGCGCCAAGAATAGCGACCTGCTCTTCGATGGAGAGACGCTTGTCCAGGGCGATATTTTCACTGCATTGATGTTAAAGAAGCCAGGATAGAGCAAAGACAGATCCTATCAACCCACCTGAGCACAGAGGTATCGCTCAGCATTGGTATCCGCTCGTCTGAGAGAGGGGCGGCCATGACACTGCAGCCGATGGCAAGAGAGGCAACGGTGGCGATAGAAAGACGCATTTCGGGCTGCTTTGGAGAATGTAAGATGATTGTGTTGGGAGTGAGGCACTGAGATCTGTGGTCCTCTGGAAAAACCAAAGATATCTTGGAGCTTTATAGACTGACATGACGCAGACAATTGAGACTCTGTACTAAAAACAGAAACATGTTCATGACGTTGTACAGGATGGATTCGAGAGCCATACTCAATGATGGACCGTTGGATCATCTGGACCTCGACTGTTCGATGTTGGCTTGACTGTGTCATGCCCTCCAATTATGGCCGGCCTAGTTTCATGTTTCACGGCTAATACATGATGGGTCTTCAAGTTGGTGCTCATGTTGGCCTGGTTGGAGGGCGCAGCGACAGGACTTTCGACCAGTCCCCGGTTTTGATAGGCTGAAAACGTAAGCGTTGTTAAGCCTCAAAGATCTGCGATACAGTTTCTAGGCGCGCTGCCTGTCTGAATACCTCGGCCTTATAGTACTCGGCGCTAGCCTACAACGGAAGAGACTCGCGCGACACATTTCCGATTCACCTTTCCAACCCTGTTGGTGTGACGGTGATCTCCTCCCATATGCTGGAGTCCTAAGGCGTCCTGACGGGTAGTAGTATGCTCCACAGTTGTATTGCAATGATCTAACTGTGACCAGGGGTCCTGATCTTACAACTGGGCTAGCTCATGCGACGCCTTTGCAACTCCGTTATCCTACTCCATGGATGCAGCTACCATTTAAAGCCCGCACTGAGCTCCTAAGGCGTACCGGTGGAGAGCAATCAGTGTGCCGCGTCATGAAACCAGGCGTCCTGACCCCCGTGGACTTGCAACTACCTGGACCCAGGCCATACATTTCGAGGCAAACTTCCAAAGACGCTGTAGAAGCTGCGATCTACTAAGATATGCGGGAGTCCTAAAGTAACATGGTGCTTTGTTGCTACACATGAAACAAGGCGTCCTATTGTTGGACTGAGGATCTAAATTGGGTCTTGAGTTGGAACGACAGCATAGGCAAGGTTGTACCAACTTCGGATCTCGGTCTGTGGATAGGTAGAATTGTCTTTCGAACGCTCTATCGTGGGTATATAAGACCTTGGGGAGGAAAAGGGAAAATTACATCTTCACCTGACCAACACCCACCATAGGTACCTACTCAAAGCTTTTTGAAGGGTCCACATCGACCGTCTCTGCCAGCAAACATGCGCTGTCAGCTCACCCACGTCCCCTGTCTGCTCGCCACTGCCGACGCTCTAACTCTCGGCAAACGCCAAACGGCAAACAGCTATGGAGAACTGTAAGTCATTTTTCTGACCAGAAGACTTCCTCGGGTTGTTCAATTCACTGACTTGTCGATTCAAGGCCTGATACACCGGAAGATGTCGCCACTTTAGAGGCGCGCACCGATATTGTAGTTGTTGCCGGCATGGTTACAACTGGACTGACCGCCACGCTTTCGATCCTGACAATCGCCAACTACCTTGCTGAGCATATCAAGTATCAATCCGAAATCAAGAGCTGCTCTGTCATCTCTGGAAATTTCGAAGACGCCGTTTGGCAATACGTTGCGACGACCTCTGGTAATAATTGCGACACAACTGCGCAGACGAAGACGATCAAAAATGCGGTTCAAAGAGAGCTAGAGTGGATGGAGAGAAACCGATATACATCGGCCTGCTTCAAGATGGACCATGGCGGTACCTGGGAGGGACACCTCAAAATCTCATTGGCCGGAGTACCACTTGCCTCCGATGGCAAGTGCAATGAGGTCAAGTACGATAACATATAGTCAGGAGTGGAGGGAAATGGGCCACCACGAACCTTTCAGTCCGCAGACATGGGTTTTGTATTCGCTAGACGTGGAGTTTACGGCTCGTTACAGTATCCATCAATGAAGTTTACCGTCAAAGTGTTGCGATTCTCCTTGAGCAATGTCTTGCGACCAATCTCAAGAAGCTTTGCAACGTCTTGGCGACAGTCTAAGTAGAGTCAATATATGTCTATGAGCGCCTAATATTCTGAGATGTTGCTTACCTAAAAATAAACCTCGCAACTCTTTGCCTCTCCCAGATGCTAGCCATGCGCAAGTCTGCCCACACAATGATGGCCCGTCCTTGAATAGATGCTTGAAAAACTCTTCGTCCGTTATGTCACGGCCGTACTTTGCCCTGACATCATCCGCCACTCCGGCTATCACGTGTCAGTTACAGTTCTTGCGCCGCGACTCTCAAGACTTACCGCCGCCCATGGCGGATCTGACACCACCGGGGTGTAGCGCATACATGTGTATCGCTGGATCCAGTCCATCGAGTTCCATTTCTTTCTGCAAAGTGTGGGTCGCCCTGATCAACGCAGCTTTCGACGACACATAACCCAAGGTCATGGGAACATCCACAGTGCCCGAACGCGACGCAATGTTGATGATGCACCCACCGCCACGCTCCCGCATACGCGGAAGCATTTGGTGAATCAGCATGAGCGGTGCTTTGAAGTTGACTTCAATTTGTCTCCAAAAACCATCAAAAGTCGACATGATGAACGGCCGTTGATCGAAGATGCCAGCATTGTTGACCAGCACATCGATTGGACCGAGCTGCTTCTCCACCGCATCGATGACTTCTTTAATTTTGTGCTCGTTTGTCACATCGCAGGCAAAGTCTGCAACTTTGCCGCCGTGCTGAAGACATGCTTCTTTCGTCTTGACCAGTTTGTCGGTATTCAGATCGAGAATGGCGACGTTTGCGCCAGATTTGGCGAGTGCTTCAGCAATAGCAGCTCCAATACCTTGACCAGCACCTGTGATGAGAGCAACCTTTCCTTCATTGCTGTCTTTCAATGTCGCCGGGGAGATAGTCTCGTAGGGAGCATGTTGCATAGGCAGGGTGCTGTAACCGAATTGAGCTGGATCCATCGTTGATGTCTTTGCGGCGATATTCGTGTGTGGAATATCGTTTTGCACATCTCTGCAGTTATTATTCTTAGCTATGCTCGGAACCAGGAAGCTACTTCGGCTTTTGATGCGGGGTGTGTTGGGGTGGCCTTGCCCCACAATCCACGAATGTGGGGGAGGCTCACACTCCTTAGATTTCATGAACCAGTCTAATAATTACACATTATTGCCACAAAACTGCACTCCAGCAGTACTTCCGGCATCCGATGGCTGGTCTGCTTTTGTGTTTCCAGGATGATTGTTGCGGAAGTGGTGGCGTGTCGCTGATGAATTACCTTGAATCGACCTGTAGGTCAATCACGAGTCCTCGAAACTGTTCCATCGGACTTCCCCATGGTATCATTATTCTTGCTATATTCCACTAGATCCACTCTTCTTTCCAGATCCAAAAGTAACCGCCAAACTCCCACTCGTTGCTCCAGTGGCCAACGATACCAAAAGGCGTGATATGACCGGTCCAAACCCACGAGGTGGACCCAAGAAGATACGTTTTTGTAATATCAACATTACCGTTGGCGTACACGCGTCCCTCTAAAAGGAACTCGCCGTGGGCATCCTTGCCTCTGGTATTCCGGTCGATCTTGGTGCGGGCGCCTCTTGCTGTTGCATCGTGTGGCGACAACGGTCTTGCAGCGATACCTATGTCAGACATAGGGTTATCAAAGAGAGTCCTTAGGTTGTGGACACTTCGGTGGTCCGAAAAATACCCTATCCACTGACCGCACAAGAACTCCGGGCCAGTCATCTCGTGAAGATGGCATGTACCGAAGCTTTCAGCTTGCATTTCGATGATCGAGTCAATGTCCATGAGCTCTTGAAAGGACATCATGTAAGGCTTCGGTGAATTGCCGTAGTAAGCAACAGGGGGAAGTTGAGTGGTAAGGCCAAAGATGAGTAATACGAGTGCTGAAGATGCTTGGGCCAGGGTGAAGGGATAGTGCTCCTCGTAATAGTCCAAGACAAGCTCGCTCATCTTTTCGATCACTTTGAGCGTGCGAGCTTCCTCACTCTGTGCTTGATTCAATACTTCTTCCCTGTTCGTAGATGAACCATAAAAGTCTTCGAACGATCTAACAACTTCCAATGGGTTCAGAGTCGTGCTCAGACGCTGTAACATGACATAGCTAAGAATGAAGTTTACATTGACAAGATCTGCCATGTGTTTTGCGTCTGTATGTGATGTTTCGAATTGCGCGCGCAGATTGATTTCGCCGTGCACCCGGAGAAAGGTTCTCGATTCCAAGGCCAGAGTGACAGGATGATGCATAACAAGCAGGTGAGGAAGCCACGAACTGATACTGTACGTGCTATGTCCCTGCGCGATGTGTAAGGTCCAATCATCGTTGACTGCGGACGCCAGTGCTGCTATACCACACCGCTCAACGTTATAGGCTATCCTCTTTGCTGCCCCTATATCCGCATTGTTCAGGAATGTTTTGCCTTCGTGCCATTGGAGCTGTTCTGCTTCAAATCCGCCACGATTTGAGGCTGAGTGCGTTCTGAGGACCGTGGGCATGGCGCCAGGAATGTTGTGGTGGCCATGTCGTGCCACATTTTCAATGACCACATGACTTTTGCAGACATCTCGAAGCCTTCTGTTGGAACATTGGAGGACGACAAGCGCGGAGAATGGCAGATAGTTAGCGATGTGCTGAAGCAGTTCGGTTGGCAGGGAGAGTAGTGATGTCATGATGTCGCGATGTTCAGGCAACTTCGGAAGTATCGGCGGAAGAGAGCAGGTAGAGAACTTCCGACAATAGCAGTGTGTCAGCCCAAGTCGCCTTCAAATATGAGCGTCCCGCCAATATCGGAGGGTTGGTGAATGATGAGCTCTCGAACCAATTGCGGGGCAGGCTTGCGCCAGACTTTGCTAGTACTAGTGGGTGGCCGGCTGCTATTCATCGCTCAGTAGGGATCGGTCGAGAAACAACAGAATCGCTCAGCAGTAGTTACCAAAGATGGAAGGCAATCACGCGTTGAATTACGAGTATTATAAGTCACCATCACGCTCGTTGAAATCATGCGATATGTGTCACTGTCGCGACCAGAGAAAGTGATTCGCATTCGCAGCATAAGCGTACGCGACTGATAAGTGTGTAAAAGAGCCATGCTCGGCCGCCGGTCGATCTAACGAAGACGTAAGCTTTATTCAATTGCCTCCATATTAGCCAAAAGAATTATGCATTGGCTGCGATGCGACTCTGTGCTGCATCCACTGGCGCAGTCTTCTCCTCCCGCTCTTTCGCTGCTAACTTATCCCTCAACGCCCCATAAAACTTCTCCATTGCCTTCCGCGTAAACTCCTCACCCGTGACAGCCGGGTACTTCTTCAGCGGGCCCTGTATAATCGCATCCTTGACAGGCTGGTTGAAAAAAGCAATGCTGTATCGCTCTCCGAAGAAATCGCCCTCTTCACACGGCGCTTTCACACGGTGAAGTGTGCTCTTAAAACGATCGTCGCTCCAGCTCATCAGTAGGTCACCAATGTTGCAAACTATTAATCCAGGCTCGAACTCGACTTTGGTCCATGCTTCGTCCAATCCGTGTTCGGTGACGGCTTCGCGGCCTGGGCAGATCTCCAGGCCGGACTGTCCGGGGCGTTGGAAGAGGAGGGTGAGAAAGCCCCAATCTGTATGCGCGCCTGCGCGGTGTCGAATTAGACCATCATTGATATTTGGAGTTTCGTAATAATGCAGAAGTCGCAGTGTAGACTGCGAGTCTGGCCGGCTTATGTCGTGGTACTTGATGAAATAGTCGTCTTCAAAGCCTAAACCACGAGCTAGGCACAGCATGAGTTGTTCCGAAATGTCTTGCACGCGATGCATGAACTCCAGTGTCTTTGTCTTGAAGCCTGGTAATTCGTTCTCGGCGACCCAAACGTTCTCCAGATTCTTACGGAATTGCAGCTGGTACGACTCTTTGGTGTCGGCAGCGCCTGTTGATGGCCGCACCTGTGACATCGACTCCCACCCGACATTTTGAGGGCTCCATGGCACGGTTGCTTTGGTAGAGTCGGGCAAGTTGAAGAATGATTCCGAGACGGAGAACATGGATTGCACATCTTCTTCGGAGAGGCCATGGTCTTTCACGGCGAAGAAGCCAACCGTTTCGGCTGCATTACAGATCTGTTCGGATATCTCACAGATGCGATGCTCAAAATCGTGAAGAGAAATCTGTCACAAGGAAAGTTAGTAGGTCAACTTCACCTCGATTTGCCACTCGTACTTTGGGGATCTCGCGATGGACGTATCTCGTCTTTGATGCCATGGCGATGTTACGGTGAACTCGTCAGTCTTGCGGTGGGCATGGACGACAGATTCCAGGTTGTTACCTCATTTGGGTGTCTTAATGTTCCATCGCCGCATATGCCTTGGTCCAGGTGTCGCTTACCACGATGTGCTCGAGGCGGGGTTCCCTGTCTCGGCGTGCCCGAGGTTTCCCAGGTTCGCTTAGGATAAGGTGGAGGCCACTTCCAGTTCCAGCCCCACCCCTGATCACTTTACAGTGCCACTCTGCACCCGAACCTCACCCTCATGATGTCTGATATTCAGATGGTGCTTAGCATTATCTTACCAGTGCCTCTGAAATCGTTCGTGGCAGCAAATTCGCACTCGAGGCGTCCTTCACTTGTTTACGCGGGAATATTTTTGCGCACCTGACGAGATGCGCTGCATCCTCAACACAGAGTTCTTCTCACGAATACCAGGCAACAAGTCGCCTATGAGCGAGTGTTGGTCCATGCTCCGGCGACTAGCGATTACAAGTTCACGGACCACAGTGGCAGCTGAGCACAAATCCAGGAGGATGCCGGCATACAATCAATTCAATCATGTTCAATAAATCCCATCGGATGAGACGCAGGATCATAATCATCACGGTTTCGGATTGCGACCGATGGAACGCTCTGATCAAACATGACCGAATAGGCCGGACACAAGGCTGGATAATCGCCCCAGAAGATAATTTTGAGGTCTTGGCCAGCGTCGAGCTTTGTTCGAGAACCGCTGTTGTAGCCCCTGGATTTGGAACATTCAGCCTCTACACTCGTCGCTTGGGTCCATAATTTGGGGGCGATGCGCATCTCTGCTTACTACGGCTTCCAAACTCGCCTTCTATTCGCCATGTTATGTTCTCGGCTTTTAGAGCCACCAGATGCGTGATCATAGATAAAGGTCCCAAACCTACAACTATAACTGCGCCGAGTTCTTGTTCAAGCTGGGTTTGCGAAATTTACTATGCCACCGCAGTTGGAGATGACCCTCCTGATGTGTTTTCTAGTGGGCTACATTTCCAGAAATGTCCACGCTGACTGCTACTCACGAGATGGTAGGCTCATGCGCGCTGAATACAATGCCTTCTTGCTTACTGACTTTGGCAGGAGTTCTTGCCATGGATTCGTCCACCTACGGTGGCCCTGAGTTACAGCCTTGCGGTAATAACATAAGCACTTGCTGTCTTCCAGATGAAAAGTGTGGTACAAACCTGCTATGCTCGACAACTCGTGCATTCAGCCGGCAGTACTGCGCCAACAAGAATTGGCAAGGCTGTTCGCAGCTTTCGCCCGGTATGCCTAGGAGTTTTATGTGAATGACACTTACTAACACGGTGTCACCAGAAACAACAAACCATGGACTCGAGATCAAAGCCTGTGGAGGCAACATTTTCTGCTATCACCAGCCGATGGATACCTGCTGCACAAACGGGCCACTGTTCTTTGTCAATCCAGAAACAGGCTGGGTTGCGAACGGGTCTGAGAGAGATACCACTGCTTCTCCAACGTATTGGCAGCCATCTTACACGTCGGAACTCGCCCTATTGAGCTCCAGCACCCCCCAGCCCACCACAACGTCAATCGAAATAATGTCCACTTTCACTTCGCTGACATTAAATCCCTCACCTACAGATACAATGAAAAGTTCATCACAGAACTCGTCTGATCTCTCTCCCGTCGCTGGTGCCGGTATCGGCGTTGGAAGTGCAATTGTGGTGGTCAGCCTCGTTGCATTTACCTGGCTTCTAGTGCGCTATCGAAGAAGTAGTCATAGACGTAGCTGCGATGAGTTTGGCACCCGAAACGTTAGCTGGAAGCATACAAGGAGCAACCGATCGACGCCGCAAGAGCTTGACGAAGGAGGGGCGAGACAAGAGATGCAATAGGGAAAACATGCACCTAACTTCTCAAGGTATATGTATTCTATTTCTCAGCTACTTCAGTTTTGTTGAGTCTCCATCACTTGAAGTTTTCCTCTCGGGTCTCCTCTTCACTTTCTTCGTGTCACCTTCACCGTCTCAAGTGAATAGAAAAGGAGCTATGACCCAACAACGCTACAGAGCTTGTATTCCACCCTGTAATAACAACTACTCCAATCACTCTCAGCTTTGTATTGCAATATCGCAACTCTCAGTTCGCACGGGAACGGCACCTCCAAGCTGCATCGCACAAGACTTCAGCCATGAGGGTAAGCGCGACCACCTTCGCCTACCTCACAGTCGGCACGATCGCTCGTGTGTTACTCGCCTCCGACACCACCGTCACCGCAGCCGGCATCAAATGGGACGATGCAGTGAAATCTGGGGCAAACCTCTTCTTCGGCATGCAAACCGACGACCGCAAAGCATCGTTCTTCTTCAAGACCGACCCGTACGTCCAAGACCCTACCATCCAGACAGTCCAGAGCAGCCACGACGGCGACATGAAGGAAGATTTCATCAAGTGGGGCTACCAGGAAGATGAGGCTCAGAACGCGAAGATTGACAAAGAGTGCGACTTTGAGGCGTACCACCGGATGAAGCGTGCGTTCGATGAGCTGGGCATTAACACGGCGTCAAAGGCCAATGGAGGCCCGAATCAGTGCGTCCAGCTGGACCATCGAGATGGAGCGACAGTAGTGCGCGACAAAGACAATAAGCTACCGCCCACCGACGAGCAGAGATACATCGATGAGAGCTGCGGAAAAGAGTACCGGGTGAGTGAGCATGACACTACCACCATCTTCCTCTCTACTAAACGCATCACAGGAGACTGGCGGTACCTTCCAATTTGGCATCAACGGCCAAGACGGCCTGGTCGCGCTCATCAACGTGATCAGCCCAGCATATAGTGCGAACCGCCTCTGGCAGCGCAAACCCTCATCCGACGAACTCCCGCAGATCCGCTCGATATCCGACGTCGCTTGGGGCTTCTGGAATCGCGCGGGTAATATCCAGGGAATCAAGTACTTTCTAGTAACTATGATCTTAAACGAAGATACGCGCAACATCATCCGGCAGGCACACGAGACGCTCGAGCCGAAGAGGAGTGAGACGGCGATCTGGCCGGGGTTTGAGTTTAGGACTGATACTCCTGCTGGACAAGCTATTCTCGGTGAGTGTGTTGGCGAGGAAGTATTATGTGGGTGATTGCTAACGTGACGATAGGCTCTCCAGTCGCGCGATGGGCTGGCTACTTCCTCATGCAGCACAAGAAGCAACTCGGCGAGAACAAGTACATCTCCAAGCTACGCGTATTCAAGCCGGACGTCGGGTCGTTGCCGAATATACTGTTCTACGTTGAGACTGCGCCGCCAATTAAGCCTGGGTCGAGGGCGCGGGAGGTGGGACTGCGTGGAAGCAGTGCGATCGTGTCACAGATTGCGAAGCACGATATCGACAGCAAGAATGTTGTCCGAGAGCACATCTTTCGGGTGTATTCGTGAGTGCCTTTTCGGGAGTGTATAGGACAGAGAATGAGAGAATTGTGGGGTGAGAGGAGTCGGGTAGCAAAAGTGTTAGCAGTGTGATGGAAAGGAAATATCAAATGGATACACTCAAACCACTATCCCTCACCCTAACAAGAGGAATGAACTGGAACTGGGCCCAGTGCCGCATCTTTCAGAGCAGAGCGATTTCAAAATCTCAATACTGCAAAGCTGCTGATATCACTCCTTAACCTCGGCCCAACATCCCGCGCCGTCACCTTTCGTCGCACTCGACAATCCACTTCACCACTAAGTCCACAGTCTACACTTCAGCATGCACGATGAGAGCGCCGAGTCAGATAGCCGAAGTTCTTCGTGGGGTCTGGTGGCTCGACACCTGCATCCGGGGCTCACTCCGGACACGCGCTATGACGACGATGCAGCTAGCCAGACTGTTGGGATCGTGTCGATCGTTTTCGTTAGACTGTACACCTGGGGTAGGAGCGGAAAGATATTGGGATATGATGTGATGGGATTTGGGCATTCAGTTTTGATGAGGTGGCGGTACGTAGATGGGAGTGAAGTGGCAGTCTTCAGATGGTCCACTTGAGTAAGGATTGCTGGCATTTCGGCAACGAGCCGCCATCGATCAGGTCGACGGAGAAGTTAGGCATTATCCGCGCTGAAAACGAAGAAATACATCCACCCGTCAGAACCATTCCTCGCGCAACTGCGGCTGATCATCAGCGGCGCCCTCAGCTCTGTCGATCTCATGTCCTGGACCCTTTCAAGACCCTGTGGAGCCGACGCACGATGGTGCTAAGCTCAAGCCAAGGGAGCTTGAGGGCGCTTGGCTTTGGTGCACGGAGGCTTAGTATACATGCTTCCGATGCGGTGGTATGGTCGTTGAGCGTCAGTGGCTCGGTGGCTTGGCCTGTAGGGAGCGAGAGGTCGATTTCTACGAGGACTGGGCTGTGTTGGTGAAGCTAAGCTCATGCCTAGGGAGCTTGAGAGTTCCTGGTGTCTGCGCGGGAGGATCCTGCGTGCGCGCTTTCGATGCAGTGGTATGTCAGCTTCTCGGTTGTCTGGCCTGTAAGACAGAGGAAACGATGTATAAGGGAAGATAATAGCGCTTTATTGACGGCTGGGAAAGTTTGAAGGGACGTCACGCTGCATCTGTGCAAGTGAAGAAGCGTTATGGGATTGTGGTAAGGGACGCGATGTTGTCATCTATCGTGAAGTAGTGAAGGAGCTCATGAGGTATAATAAGGTGCGTGATTCCATCTTACATCCACATCAGCATCCACATCAAGCAAGCACTTCACAGCCTCTCATCTCCCATACCTCAAGCAAGCAAGCGCTTGACCGCCTCTTCTTAAATCCTTCAAGTTCGACTGCAATCACTCAATCAACTACTCACCACCATGCCATCCTTCACCACCCTCATCACCCTCCTCCTGGCTGGCTCAGCCTTCGCCCTCCCAACCCCCCAACTCGCCGGCGAAGGTGCCGCGCTGAACAGCATCTTCAGCTCGACCGACAACGGTATCGGCTACGCCATCAAGAACGCCGAGCAGAACCTCGCCAAGAACGTTGCCCAGCTCAAGGGCAGCACTGGCGGTGCCACGACTGGTGCCGGAGGCGCAGGAGCTCCCCCACCGCCTGGCCCAGGACCACACCGCCGCCAGCTCGACAAGATCAGCGATGGCTTCCAGACGTTAAGCGAAGCAGCAGGTTTGGGAGACGCGACCAAGGCGTTGACCCAGGCGCTGGATGAGATTGATGGAAGCTCGACTAGTGGGGCAGCAAACTTGGGGGCAGAGATTGGAAGTGCGGAGAAGAGTACGCTGATTAGTTTGGGCAAGGCTGTGCCTAGGGCTTAAACGGGAGATGTTGCTTGCTTGGGAGAAGTGGATGCGATGCGTTGATTGATTTGAGCGTAGGAGTTTGTGTGTTTCTGTGAGCGTTTTCTGGTTATATGGTCAATGGTGTGATGTTAATGAATGAACATTTAATAAACGATGATTCCAAGAACAAATTCTTCAACATGTTGGTAGTCGATATCCAATGATGCTGACAGTGTGCGTTGAACTTTTGAGCGGTATCGTACTGCTGACGCACTTAGCAAGGCAGTGCGCTTCGCAGGTTGATTGAATCAAGCATCCTGCGTAATGGGGATTTTCGTTCAACGCGATGATAAGAACTCGACTGCAAATCTTTTGCAACAATGCGTGACTAGTCGTCAGTGTTCATATGTTTGATGGAGCGCCATGGTGCAGCGATGATGGAGATGATCAGGGTCAGCGTGAAAAGGGCGTTGTTGCGCCAACCGCCGGACTGTTTGGCGCTAACCGCATATTGGCGCAACACGACGAATCCCTGCGCACAACTGCTAACACTTTCAATTCGAGACCAATTCGTTAAGTTTAAACTTCGCAGTTGAGTTACTCTACACGCTTTCGCTTCAGCACTCTGTACGCAATTACATACATCTTGCTTCTGGTGCGAACTGTACAAAACACGCGCATTCGACGTTTTTCTGCATTCCTGTAGGACCGCCCACCGGGGCCAACGAAAGCAATAGCCGGCGTCACACACACGATTCCCGAGAATGCTGGGGTTTCGGCCATTCCAAGTGGCCAAGCGGAAGGCGAAGGTGTACATGCCGTTGAAGGCGTCGAGGCGGGACATTGAAGACGGCGACTACGACGAGAAGGACTGGGAGAGCGACAACGATAGCGACGAGCCCGACACACCGTCGTCGGACTCTTCACGGCATACTTCGGCCTCATACGACCCAAACCCGAACAACATCGAATCACGGCCTCTCGCGCCTAACGGGCGGTCACCACCATCACATCGGAGAACACAGTCACGGCCCAAGCTCAGCCCGTACAGCTGCCGCAACCCGCGAGCATGCACGAGATACTTTGGGCTGGCCATAGCGGGCACGCTCTTCTTCTTCGCCTGGTTCCTGTACAGCAGCAGCTGGCACTCGATACGGACCGCCGAGTCGGGCATACACAAGTCACCGCCACCGCCGCCCGTGTGGGAGAGCTTTCCCTTCCTGAAGCGCTACCACGGCGGCATACGGACTTTGAAGTCGCGGGACCAGAACACGCCCGAGTACCCAACTAAGCAGGACATCGAGCCAGATCTGCCCGTGGAGGAGGTTAAGAAGGAAGCGCCCGTGAAGAGGGCAGAGGGAGCGCAAATCCCCGACTCGTCCAGCTTCGACCCATACCCAGCCTACAGCAGTGCCTCCTACCTCGACGAATACGCCGCAGTCGAAACATGCTACCTCGACGCAAACAACACGATTCAGATCCCTGCGACGAGAGCGTACAACGGCGTGACAGACGGCATGCCGGACAATGTCATGGGCAGCTACGACGTGCTGGGCCTGAGAAACGATGTCTGCTTTGAGCGATTCGGCCGTCTCGGTCCGTATGGACTCGGCTACAGCAAGAGAAGAGGAGGCACCGGCGCCGCCATGGAGGGCGACCGCGAGGGCGTCGAGCAGGTGTGGAAGAACACGCCCGAAGTCGACTACCGGGAAGTACAATGGGCTGAGGTCATGCATCGCTGCTTGGAGAAGAACAAGGCGCGTTTCATGTCGACCGAGACGGCTCTCGAGAACTCGTTCCAGGCCATGGCTACCAGCAAGCGCGACCTCGCCAACACCACCAAAGAGCGAACACCCGATGCCGCGCCCAAGAAGCTGCTACACCGCACTGCAGTCCTCGTCCGAACATGGTCAGACTACAAGTACGACGACGAAGACATCATGTACCTCCGCGCGCTCATTGCCGAGCTTAGCGTCGCTTCTGGCGGCGAGTACCAGGTGCACTTCGTTGATCCACGTCAAGGACGACAACAAGCAAATCTGGGCCGATGAGAAGGTGTACGCTGAGGTGCTCAAAAACGCTCTCCCAGAAGAGTTCGTCGGCATGGGCACGCTCTGGTCAGAACGCCAGATGAGCCTCATCTACGGCGGCATCTTCGACTCGAAATTCCGCGACCTTCCCGTCCACGGTGCTTACAGGAGCGCGTACATGCCCGTCACCTACTTCGCCCACCAACACCCAGAGTTCGAGTACTTCTGGAACTGGGAGATGGATGTGCGCTACACCGGTCACTACTACCATCTGTTCGAGCAGGTCTCCAAATGGGCTACAGCTCAGGCCCGCAAGGGTCTCTGGGAACGCAACTCTCGCTTCTACGTACCATCAGTCCACGGACCTTGGGAAGACTTCAAGCACATGGTCCGCGTCCAAACAGAGCATGGCACCAACAACCAAGCCAACAGATGGTCATCACACCTTCCCCCGAACCCACACGTCCCCGAGACCAAAGTTCAAAAACCAGAAAAGCCAATCTGGGGCCCCGACCTCCCCCAAGACTACCCCGACATCGAAATCGACGAAGCGGTCAAGCCACCCCATGCCATGATTGAAGACGTCCCCGGACAAGAATGGGGCGTCAACGAACCCGCCGACCTCATCGTCTTCAACCCGCTGTTCGACCCCGACCAAACAAACTGGCTGCTCGCCAACGACGTCACCGGCTACGAAAAGACGCACGGCATGCCCCCTCGCCGCGCCGCAATCAACACCTCAGGCCGCCTCAGCCGCCGCCTCCTCGAGACCATGCATCGTGAACAAACACACTTCCGCCACACCATGTTCACCGAAATGTGGCCCGCGACCGTCGCCCTGCACCACGGGCTTAAAGCTGTTTATGCGCCGCACCCAGTCTTCATCGACCGCAAGTGGCCGACGCAATATCTCGCTGCGATATTCAACAACGGGCGCAACGGCGCGGCTGGCGGTGCGAAAATGAGCGTGTTCAGCGACGAGAGGCAGCATAACTTCTTAGGTACTACCTGGTACTATAACGCTGGTTTCGCGCCAAATCTTTGGAAGAGGTGGTTGGGGTATAAGGTTGATGGGGATGGAGGGGAGGAAGAGGAGTTGGCGGGTGAGGGGAGGATGTGTTTGCCGGGCATGTTGTTGCATCCGGTGAAGCAGGTAGATTTGGTGCAGGAGAGGGTGGATGAGTCGTTGTGATGAGAAGTGTTGTTGGATGGCGTTTTTTTTGTGGGATTGGGATGAGATGGGCATGATTAATGTGGAAATCTGGCGTTTTAATACATAGCGAGCTTTTTTTTTATATTGGCGCATTTCGCCGGAAGTGCGAACGATATATCATTACTGAAATGCCTCTCCTCCCTCCTCCCTCGCTCATTCTCTCAAAGTTACATAACGACGCAACATAAACATCCGTCAATCGGCCTGTATTCACGTTCATATTAGCACATTCTCTTCCTTCTTCTCCCTTTCCTGTCTGCTAGATGGTGACTCACCAACCACAGCAAAACCCCGGGTGGCCCCCGTCGCAGCATCGACTGCATCCGCCTCGGAGTTGTGGTACGTCTTTGGAAGGTATGGAGGTAGAGGATGGGGTGGAGGATATGGAGGATGAGGATGTTATTGCAGGGGATGAAGACATCGACGGTATTGCGGGAGGTATTGCGGGCATTTTAAGACTCTGTGGTTGTTAAAATGTGAGGTGTGGTGGAGAAGTTGCGTGGAAACAAAGTGTAGTAGTTCTGGCCGTGATGTTGGTACAATCCAATTTCACGACAGAAACACCTTCGCTATTTGAATACAGGATTATGGAGAGTGTTTATATATCGATGATATTTCGCGGGAGATGGTGAGTGCGAGAAACATGGAGATGGAGGGGTAGAGAGATACTTGTTGAAGATCAAGCGTGTCTTGCGTTGTGCGTATTAGGAAATTGGTTCGTTGCTCGTTCTACATTGGTAAATCAATTCGTACGTGTGTGCGTGCAGGGAAATATTCGTGTGCTGTGTGAGTGATGTGGTTGCGTACTTGGCGTTGTACGTGGCGAGGGTGGCGCAGGGACGGGAACGAGTGTGTAGCGCCGAGGGTGGGATATGTGGTTGTTTCTTGTTGGTTGTTGTTTCTTTCGAATGTTTGGAAGTTGTGAAGGCGTGGGGGGATGATTGGTGTCGGATCCTAGTGATGTCGTGGTGAGACGCGCGATTGATCGTCTTTGTTCAAGGAAATGTAGGTGTTCAGTGGCTTTGAAGCATGTCAACGTGCCGTCAATTCTTGAGTATTCTTCATCGTCAAGGAAAGGTTCTTCTCATAGATCCCTGGAAAATTCGAAGCTGCGGCTGACGTGTCGTGCTACAGATTTGCGGTGAACAGGTCACCAGATCATACGAGGACGATCGTGGTCACATCCACACCTCGGGCTTTGAGTACTTCTGGTGATAGTCGGGGATCTGAGTTGATAAACTCACCAGTAACATTGTTGCGATGATGCTGTACATAGAACGGGGGTCGGGTCTCATACTCTTTCTCGACTGCCTCCCACTCTAGAGGCAGCGGACCTAGCCTGGGATCTTGTGTGGTGCATACTTTCGTCTGGTGGTTCAAGAAAGAGAAACTGGAGATGTGGTTGGAATGATCGATGATCATGTCCCATGAATGTGGTAGAGGACCTAAAAGTGCTTGGCCCTCCATGAGGCCATGTATGTACGATGGTCCAACATAACGATGCATCATTGTGGATTCGTCCTCCGTTACCGTACGCCTCAACAAAATAGGGTGATCAGAGCCTAGCGCTATGCAAATCTGGTCACCAACATGAATGGAAGGCGGACCACAGCCGACATGGCCGTGATCAGTCACAAAAAATCTGCCGGACCGTTGTTCCGTCAAATTCGATTCGAACCAGTCCCTGTAGGTTTTTTGTACGTTCGGCGTAACATTTATACAGGCATCTCGAAGCATGGCCTGAGCTTCTCGCAAAGTAGGAGTTGCGACATGCTTGTGCCATCGGTCGCTCAGATAGCCCTGAGTTACCACCCACAGATATGTACTCAGGCGAGCTTCATCAGTCATATTCGGAAATTGCCGATCAATAATTTCGCAGACAGTTGGATAGTCGTGCGTGGCATGGCTAGTTGTTATGTGGCTGACAGCCGTGATACGTCCATGAAGGACGCCGCGCACTTGTAAGCAACATGGCGATTGGAACGATACGTGCGAGGCAGAAAAGCTACTGGCAAGACTTGATCTTCCGACACTATAACGTCGGAAGATCGATTGCGTGAGGTTCGGTACCCAGGTCGCGTAGTCACCAGTTGAGTGCTGCGGATTGGCACATTCTAGAATTCCTAGGCGGCGTGTCGATTGAATTGTTGCCACACAAGCCTGCATGTACACATCTTCTACTGGCAGCGAGTAGAGCGGCCGAATGCGCCTGGTGAGTGTTGGCGGCAATAGTCCTAGAATCGCAAAAACCTTGTCTCGTGGCTCGCTGCACTTGCGATCGGATGCGAGCGCGAATAGAATCATAGGAGAATAGCCCCGTAGATTACGGGAGAGATGATCGGTGAATCTTCGATTCACCTGAGAAGATATTTCGAACTGATATCGACACCGTATAAAGGCTCTACGCACGTAGTACCATGGAACTTCAGTTGCACCGCACTGCACGAGTGAAGAAGGGCTGGCCACTTGGGCCTCTTGCACAGTCCAGAGCCTTTCAAAGTACGAACGTTGCATCAGAGCCTCAATCGAATTCCACGTAGGCATATCAAGCGGTATAGTAAGGCTTGCATTCCACCAATTTGCTTCGGTATGATCCGGAGCTGGCAAAAAGTAGTCGTCGAGTGTGTACTCGAGTTGCCTCCCTATAAGATTGAGGGCGTGAAGAGCCGTGGTTGAATCCTGCGCAGTCTCCCCTAGCCATATAATGACACGTTCTGCGCATGTGAAAATGGCACGCATTCTCGGAACTTCTTCACTTCTCTCGAGCAGGTCGTTCTGATTGATGCAAATGGCATCGATCCACAAAGTACGGCGCATAGACGTCCTACAGATTTGATGCAGTAGTTTCCAAAGATTAAGGCCTATAGCGATTTTCCCAACCCTAGTTGATAGCGATTGCTCTTGGACGATATCGATGTCCGAGGGGCAGCCAATGGTACCCCAGGTGTAGGAGACAGCCTCGAATGCGCTGTCAATCTTATTTACAGGTAATCCTAAAGCGTGTTGGCTTTTCGTGTAGTCTTTTGGACTGGAATCCGGGGTTTTCCATGAAGTGTTAATCACATTTGATCCTTCATCATCCCAGAGTGAGTAGATAAGTCGACCCTCAAGAGTTCTGTGAGCTTTCCAGTTGGAAGGAAGTGTTCCTCGCACTGTCTGAAGCTCTTCGTCACCAACTCCCCACGAGTCATTACGTGTAGGTGGATCGAAATGAATGTGCTCGATAGATACGTGGATGGGATCTTCGAAGGCGCCAGGCTGGAGATGTAAAACGCGTATTTCCTTGTTGTTCGCGTCAAGCGGCTCGTATTGATAAGTGTTCATCTCGCTCATGAGCAAATGGAGCGAGATTGAAGGAATGTAGAACTGAGCGACGCGTGAGATTCAGCTTGGGGCCTCCGCAACCTGGTGCGGGGCTGTTTACAGCCTGGCGAGAGGTCAGCTGCATGCTGGCCTGCATTTGGCGTTTGAAGTATATGGACGCCCCTCTGGAAGAGCCATGTTGCTAAATACCAGGATTTCGGGGTTGTGGCGCCAGAGAGTGGTGTGTAGGAGATAAACATTGATAGTAGTCCGAAAAGACTCTGGACCACCACCAGGCAGCGGCAAAATTCGTACCCGGTTTACACCTACATGGCATAAGCGTAGAGGAGCCTGAATTTATACGCAGCTTCGATATGCTCTCCTTGATTTCATTGGAACTTTGGAATATATACAGGCTACGCCACCTCTCCGTTCTTCTCGTCCGTGGATGGCGGACAGGAATTTGTCCGCTGCCTGGTGCCACCTGGGAAGGCAATGATATCATAGGACACCGGAAGAATAATTCATAGAAGACTTGAGACTACTACACTTATTTTTTCGTTGCTCTCTTTCTCTCCCTCTCTTCAGCCTCTAGTCTCATCCTCTCATCACACCTCAAATTCTCCCTCACGTGACACTCCTTGATCTTAACCAACGCTTCTTCCTTCTTAAATCCCTCTCCAGGCCATCCACACTCCTTCCAGATTTCAATATACTCCTGAGTATCATCATCCGTATTGCCGTCCTCCGCTTCTTCGATCTCTTCTGGCATCGGCACCAGGACCAACTTCTCGAAATCTGCGCGCAAATCGTTAAAGAACTTTCTGACTGGCACAGGTGATACATTCATAAATCGCACAATGTCTTCGTGAATTTCGCGTTTCCGGACATCGAGGATAAGTGTGCGACCACCGGATTCGTGGCCGAGTGCTAAGACTATCAGGTTGCGGAGTTTGATCTCGTAGTCGTCGTCGTCGTCTTCCCAAAATGGTTCTTCTTCTTCTGCAAAGCTTAGGTCTGAAACTCCGCTGTCGTTCGAATGCTGAGACTGCGCGTAGTTATCGTTATCGCCCTGCTCATCATCTTCGTCATCCTCCTCTTCTTCTTGGTCGTCATCTCCAGCTTCCGCCTTTTCCGCTTCGAGCTCCTCGGCCCAAATCTGCAAACCTTCCTCTCCCTGATCAAGATCGCCTTCTTCGAATTGCTCGGGTGTATACACCGAATAGTCCACTACTACACTCTTGTAGTGGATGTATCTCACGAATCCACTTTTGTAACCACGATCGTCATCTTCAATGTAAGGCAAATGCTTAATGAGATCGATAACAACCGGCGCCTTGTTAGAATTCCTCGTTGTCTCCTCCGTGATGTTTGGCCAGCCACCTGGAGGCGGAAACTTGAGCGCAGAGGATGGTATGTAGAAGCTCGTCAGGAAGACGTAAAAGTCAGTAATGATGCTGACGAGTTCGTCTCGCTGCAGGTTCATCTTGGCGCAACTCTTCGAGGTCAATGTCGCGGCCTTGAGCAATAAACAATAAGCTGCGCGATGTATCTTATACTTGTACTGCCGTGCCGCATCGAGCGAAATAATGCGCACGGTCGATGAGTTGCCTAGCAGCACAGACTCTGCTTGAATAGCCGACCAGGCAGCTTCCAGACCCCTTGGCCGCACGATGCCACTTCGCGCACAACTCTGGAGTTCGACAGGTTGCCGCAATAAACAGAAATCAAGTGCCCACTTGTCTCATGTTCCCATGATTGTAGCGGCAGCACTCACCACCACCGCGCACCCCGTAATAACATAGCGCCACATGTTCGTCCACGCCCACATCTCCACAATAGTCTTCATATCCACCGCCTCAGCCCACCTTTTCCAAGTCTCCCTCGCCGTGTCTTTATCAGTCCCTTGCCCCACTCCCATTAAGCCGAAGCCATCCTCCCGCAACAGCTCCTGCACCTTCCACTTCCCCGCTCCGTTGATACCGGGCTCCATGTACAGAGCAGTATATGGTATAATACTCGCGTTCGCGACTGCTGCCACGATGTACAAGGAGTTGGCGGTGGAATAGGCAAGTAGCGCATTGCTCAATGCGCCGAGGATGATCAGTGGTGCGACGAATATGGGCGCGAATTGGTAGGCTTGAAGCCATTGTCTTGCGAGGAGTTTTGGCGGGGCGTGTGTGGTTAAGGGCGGGATGACGACGTGGGTGTATGCGAAGGTAAATCCTACAGGCAATCAGTGACTGACATGTGATGTGGACAAGGATTGTGTCTTGTAATGGATGTAGTATGTACCGGTATAGATAGCTGGCGCAATAGTTGCGATAGCCTGTAGAATCGGCACAATCACGTGTAATAGCTCACTCATGATACAAGCAGGTGCGTGACATTCGGGAAACGATTAGAAGCAAAGAAATCCATGCTCAATAAAGGTTGCAATCTAAAAATGCAGTTAGCTATCTACTGTCTGCTGTTAATCAATCCAAGTACGTCATAGCCGGTGATCGGAGGAAGCTAGAGCACCCGAACCATTCCAGAACGCCCACCACCCGAACTGTCTCTCTAGCCATAATCTGCAACTTACAGAGCTGGGCGTTCAGTACTTAACAGCCTTGCTCTCTTCCAGAATCTGCGCAGCTGTCTTCCCATCTTCGTCTTTGAAGTCGGAGTGTGCTCCCCATTCCTGCAGCAACTCCACAGCCTCGAGTTGCCCCTCAGAGGTGGCAAAGTGCATCGGCGTCCAGTTCCGCCACTGATCGAGAGCCTCATTCATGTCGGCCCCATGCTGCAGCAAGAGGCGCATGGTTTCGAGTTCTTCGAGTTTTGCAGCAGTGTGTAACGCAGCAGTACCGTTGACAGGAAAGCCGTGTGCAATCAGCATCTTAATCATGCGGGGACCACCAGACACGGCTTGAAACATGAGACTCGAGCGGTAGGGACCGTAATTGATAGGATGTGATGGATTTGCTTTGTGATCCAGGAGTACAGCGGCGACTTCGTATTTCCTCCGCCTGACGGCCTCGAAGAGTGGCAGCGCACGGTGGCCTAGCGGGAGGTTGATGATTCTCGGGTCTGCGTGTACAAGTGCTTTGAAGACAGCGGCGTTCCCAGCGCCAATAGCGTGTTTAATCAGCGGTCTCGTCATGAAGGTAGATGTGTCGATGCTCTGGCTTTTTGCGAAGGAAAGCAATGCAGACACCGCAGCAGCGCGACCGTTGGCAGCAGCAAGCGTTAAACAACGTTCGATGTTGAGTGTTGGTCTTGCCGACGCCTTGGGCACGCCTCTTACGACCCAAACGCTGTAGATGGTGTTCGGTTCCTCGAGAATTGTTTGGATCCATTGTGGCTGCGATAGCAAGCTTCGAAGAGTCGTGTCGTCGCCAGAAAAGCATGCTTTAAGAAGAGAGTACGCCTTGTCCTCGCCTATGAGCACATCGCCTACTCCTCTGGCCGACTCGTCAGGGCCTGGAAGATTGCTTGGGTAAATTGAGGGCATCTTTTCAATATGGGTAATGGTAGTGGTGGTGTTGTTTTTGTTGATGATGAAACAGGCAATAAGGATCTCTACAAGAGGCCGGACGTGAGTTGAGGTGATCGTACTTGCTCACATGTTCGATTTGTACTAAACGAAGGTGCGCCCTTTTCTTTTAGCGTACCATGAAAAAGCTCGGCTCCCATGTTACACCTGCTCGCTTCTTTTTATTTTTGTATCCATTGTTGGACCAATTAAGATCAACTGCGTGTCTCTTTTTGTTGGGCTGACGTGAATTGCAGCTAGCAACAATTTCAATACATACATGAATAGTCCTAGCGCCGAGCGTGACCCCACGGTAGTCGCCTGTTTACAAGCAGAGCGCTGAAGGGACACTTCTCGTCATCACCATGATATCGCTTTGGCAGTTTTTATATTGACATAGCGCAGCGCTTAATTTCAACTAATTCAACTCTGTCCTCCCTTAACGTTGCTGCCTTGTAACACCTTATTCGAGTCAGAACAGACGACTAGTGACAAAACCCTCGAACATTACCAACCGCTATCCTTGGATCCCCAAAACGCCCTCCGTCTCACTTCCTCAGCACACAAATCTCGACGAGGAATTTCCATTGAGGTGCAATTCGCGAGAAAGTCTTCCAATGACTTGTGTCCCAGCCAGGACAGCACGGCATTCGACAAATGCCACGTCTTATCCGAAGGCAACCACGCCCCCATCCCGATGAGAGCCTTTATAATCAACACATGCCCCTTACCAGTCGAGGACGGAAACGATTTCGCGTTACTCATACTGTGTAGACTAGATAAGCATTTCTTCAAGAGCCACGAGGCTTGCTTCCGAACAGCTTCGTGTTCCATGCAGTGCTCAAACATGAAGAAATGGCCTTTTTGCACAACGTAGCAGGTGAACTGCACGAGTTCGATCTCGTCGTAGTACCCCAGGATCATTCGAACGACATTCAAATGCCCGCACGACCAAGCGACGTAGACCGGCTTTTCGTACCGCCAGTTCGCCCATGACTGTAGTGGTTTATCGAAATCGACGCCGTGGTCGAGAAACGTCTGCACCATGTCTATGTCGCCGGAAGCACACGCCCACTGGAACAGTGTCCCATAAGTTGTGGGCGGCAGGTCTTCTTGGTAGTCTGCGCACCGGACGCAATGCTCTTCGGCATTGGGGTCCGCACCTGCCCGGAGCGAAATCTCAGCAAGTTCCACGTTCCCTTGCGCCACGGCGATCTCCAACGTCCTCTCAGGTAGTGTGTGAGATTCGGCGAATGTGATGCCGCTCTTGAGAAGAGATATTATCATAGAAGGTTGGTGATCGGCCAAGGCGATTTGAAATGCATCGTGGCGAGGTTCCGGTTCTTTGCGCACAGCTCCTACACTGAGAAGATACTTCACCATCGCTACGTCGTAATGCGAGGCGGCGATGGTAAGTGGTGTTTGCTTGTATCGTTTCACAATTGACTTGCAATTCTTTCGAGTTAGCGTCGCACCCCATTCGTATAGAAGCTTCACTGCGTCAATAGATCCGCTTGCCACAGCTGCGCTAAGTGGGTGAGTCTGTTTATCCCCTTCAACGTTGATGCCCATCTTGTGAAGCTTCTTCATGACATCCAAGGATCCGCGTAGCGCAGCGTATTCGAAAAGTGCTGATAGCCTGCTCGCAGGACCGATCTCTTCTGGCAAACGACGGAGTAGTAGGCATTTGCAGGCCCAAACGTTGCCTTGGTCGATAGCAAGCTTGCAGAGTCCAAAGTACGCCTCTGGAGTTACTCTGTCTATGTGACGCATTAATGCAACATGATCTTGGATGCTGATTGCATAACGACAGATTATGGATCGTAGAATTACTTCCATCTCATCAAAGTCTTCCTGAATGAAGCTCTTCTTGCCGTCCCCGTTCTTGTATTCGAATCGCGCTTCCCTGAAGCAACCATTTGACCACCAGAAGTGCGGTCTCTTTTCATCTCGATGCCGACCTGATTTCTTAGGAGTGCAGTCTTGAGGAACTCGATCTCCAAGTAGGCTCAGGATGGTGAATGTAAATGACGTGAGTTGATGAGATTCCGGTAACAATGGCAGGGCTGGTTCGGGTTTGTCCTCTCCGAATTCATTCGTGAAGATGTGACCTTCTAGGTCATCTAGATCATCTAGCTCTACGTGCTGATAACCAGCATCGTACACGACTGATTCCATCGTTTTGCCTATGGGTTGACATGGAGCTTCGTCCAAAGTCTCTTGAAGGCCATCACACAACAGTGCTGTCTTGTGAGAGGCAATTGAGGCATCATCCAGGGTCTGCACCGCGCAATCAACCCCGATACATCTTGTTTGTTCATCCAAACTCCGCCCGGAACGCTTTGCAGTAGTCTTCCTGTCCGATAAGGATGGGGACACCGAGGGCGAAGTTCGGCGGAGTGCTTGAGCAGTATGAATGTACGAAGTAGATAGAATGACACCAAGTAAGAATGCAACCAACAACGCAAAGACGTCCGCGCCCCGCGATGGTGTATGTGCCCCATTTGCCTATTATGCTCAGCTGAAATCTTTGGAGAAAACGTCTTGTAGTTGCCTACCTGGCAAGTAACGTAGGAACTGTTGCCCATCTTGCAGACACTGTTGCGAGCTGTTAATACGACGAACGGAGGCCGGTTTTCTAACGGGAAGAATGTGTGAATGCTGCCAAACGCTTTCGACACGCATCATAAAGCAAACGCCATACTGATTGAGCATCCAAAGTAGTATGCGGCGTAGTCATATGAAACAACATCGAAACTTTGGTATCGCTAGCGCTCCATGCTCAGCGCTTAGCAGGTCGCATTGGCCGGCGCCTACATACTACAGATTCTGAAGTGCGACGGAAGGCGACCAGGGTACAACAGTACGTAGCCCATCCAATAACCTGAATGGATACACAGCATCGCTAGGCTTCGACTGCGACGGCAAGGTTCTTTGTATATCTTCAGGCACCCTGGTCACTTTCCATCGCAACTGATAACATGGAGTAAGTACTCCATGCGATCGGCGCTACACAGCCCCACAAGACCAGCTCACACCACATATCAGGAACTTCGCGCACGAGCAAATACCGCTGCGACTGACGATGGGAAGCTAGAGTCCGGCAGTTGTCGTCCGATGGCAGAATGCGGAGAATTCAATGTACGGGCTTGTCGATCAACCATTTGCATGGATCTTGCCGAGCCGGAATGAATGAACTCGATATGAGCCTGCTGAAGCGCATCCGGGCAGATCATAATGACGACGATTAATGGAGTTGAGGACTATGTATCTCGACCAGCTGCATGAAGCCACCGTTTCGATCCCTCACTTCACGCAAGTATCTGGCAAGATGCTGCTCCTACTCACCATCACCCTCCTCATCTCACTAATCCACGCATCACCACTAGACACCCTCGCGCACTCAACCTCCTCCCTCGAATCCCTCCGGAACATCAAAAACATCCAAAAACAAATCTCTCACCTGGCGCAATTCGGCGAATGGCGCACTATCAGCCACCTCTTCACGCCCAACAGCACATTCACCTGGGCAAACACCACCCTGCACGGCCCCCCTGCAATCGAAACATGGCTGCATACCGACTCTCAAGGCATGGACGGCATCCAGCCCGGCTCACTGAACACGCTCATCGCCGAAACGCCCGTGATAAGTCTCAGCGCGGATGGTCAACGCGCCAAGGGGCGGTGGAACGGGCTATGGTTCCAAGGCGATGGACAGGGAGGCACGCGTATACGCGGCGGTGTGTATGAGAACGAGTATCTATTGACACCACTCGGGTGGCGGGTATCGCTGTTGAGATACCACGACATGTACGACGGCACGTATGCGGATGGATGGAAGAATGTCGGCGCCGGGGGGATTGGATACGTGCCGTTTCACTTCACGCCCGAGAGCGCGGGCGTGCCAATAGCTGTTCCTCATGGAGACGTGGAGGTGTATGAGGGCACAATTGGGGAGTTGGAAAGCAGGATACAGAGGTTGAATGATGAGGATGAGGTTAGGAATCTTGTGCATGCGAGGGGGTTTTATGTGGATCGCAGGATGTGGGGGGATGTGGTGGATTTGCATACGGAGAATACCACGGTGAGGTTTGGTAATGGGTCGGTGTATATGGGTGAAGAGGGTGTGAGGAGGGTTTTGGAGGGGATGGGACCGGAGGGGTTGACTAGGGGGATTAACAACGATCATCCGATCTTCGACATGATAGTGCAAGCTGATGGCGACGAAGCGATTGCTAGAGGCATTGAGATCGCGATGCTGGGTGCTGCCAATACTCATGCTGCATCGTGGGAGTTCAACGTTTTTCGACATCGTTGTGTGAAAGAAGATGGCGTGTGGAAAGTTCAAGATGTCGAGATCACGCCGCTCATTGTGGCTGATTACTACGAGGGCTGGGGAAGAGGCAGGCTTAGAGTTCCGAATACCTACCTGCCGCCTTTCCTGAACGTTGCGGGCAGGCTAGATATGCCTAGCCAAAGCCCGCAGCGCAGCTCAAACGCGACCGTGGAGGATCTCACGCGTCGTCTCCTCCGCAGCGCGGCATTTGATGGCTCAGAAAACCTCTCCCATGCATACGGCTACTATGCTGACGACATCCTGGGCCCAGAGCTGGGAGGTCTCTTCGCAAAACAAGGTCACAAACTCTCACCTTTCGCCGGCTTCTTCCACACACCAGCGCGCATAACAGGAGCGATGACCGCCTCATATGGCACCAATCGCTCGACGCTACGCACAAGCGTATCCTACCACTGGCGCCCCCAGCCCGTCATCCTAGTCTCGCAGGACGGGAGATCGGCCACCATGCGCGCGAGGCTGCTCCAGCCCTCGACGTCAATCACCAAAGCCGGTAGCTTCAACAGCGCCATCTACCACGACCAAGTGGTGCTTGAAGAAGGCAAGTGGCGCCTGTGGAGCGTGACCATCGACGAGTTCTACTGGCAGTCGACGTCGTGGAAGGAGGGCTGGGTGAATCCGAAGCCGCGGAATAGCAGTGCGCCCAATCCAGAGCCCGCGGGCTGGACGAAGAAGTATCCCCCAGACGCGACATTGGCGGAGGTGGGCGAGCGGGAAAGCACGTTTCGAGGCGGGGGAGGGACGTTCATCAGAGTGGCCGGATATCCAGCGCATGTGGTTCCAGTATCGCAATCCTGTCAGTGGGAGAGAGCCGGAGTGGTACTGGCCTGGGTGCGTGCCATGTCAGGTCCGGCGAGAGTGGTCGCTGGAAGCCAACGGCTATCAAGAGCCTTCTACGGGGCCATGAGGAAACGTGTTTTTCGAACTGGGCCGACACTCTTACAGCGCCGTCATGCAGACCGGATGGAGCGGAAATTGGGCGTGGCTTAGTGTCGCGAATTGGTCAGACGCACTGTCCATGACGGTGGCAGTAAACAGACAACGGCAAGCCTTTGCCGTGCAAGAAGCTTATGTAACACTAGCCGCGTTGCCTGTTCCTGATGTGCTCTCGTGTTCTCTTATAGCCTTGCACCGGCTCGTTCGGACGTGGTCGTCCATCTTGGCGAAGCATCTTCCCACCGCGGGGTCGAGCTCCCCTTCCACCTTCCACCTCCCACCGCATGACCCGAAATGTCCGAGTCCCCATTCCCCAAAATAGCCACAGCCCCCGAATCATCAAAAGAACCCTCACGCCCTTATGGGATAGCCTTGAGAAGGCTCCCTGCCCATGTGGACTCCCATCATGCAGCCTAGCGTGGCTGGGGCGCTTGCTGACCGGCGCACCATCTCACCCCGAGGCAAGTGCGCGCCTCGTCACGCTCCCATCGTATCCCATGGGTCGAACCACGTCTTGGCCAGCCATAGCGCACTGCTGGTCTGCGGCGTCCTCGTAAAATAGCGTTAAAAAGCGTCAGGGCCGAGGCCGGCAGGAGCAGGTCAGGCTGACTATCGTGATGATGTACCTCGTACTTTAGGTAGGTGATGCCCATGCAAGTCTCCCGCGCTTTTGCGACGACATCCGACTTTGCGACGTGCATGCATCATGCAGTACGACAAGCTCCTCCACCTTGCGCTCGTGCCCAGCATCGTCTTCTTCCTGCTCTCCCTCGTCTCCGTGGCGCTCACCACGCACTACTGGATCCTCGGCGACTGGATAGTGCCCCGGGATTTGCGCGTCACGACTGACCAGTTCAACGAGCGTACACAGAGCTTCAGATACGACGATACGATTGTGTATTATGTGGATAGAGAGACAGATTCGACTGTTGCGGCGGGATGTTTGTGTTTTGGCGCGGCGATTGCCGGGATGATTGCTTGGTGCACGTTGCGGAAACCCGGCATGGATACGCAGCTGGCTTCAGTATGTATTCCATATACTTTTTCCTGCTACTTTTTTGTAGACCGATGTTGACTTGATGTAGGGTAAACGCCGCTTCTGGGTCCTCGCCGTCATCGTGATGAGCACCGCCGGCGCAGCAGCAGCACTCGCTTCCTTAGTACTGCATTACACAGAACAAGGCAGTGACGCAGATGGCTGCAGTTCGCGCACTTGGGCAGTCAGTGGCGGCAAGACGAATACCAACAAGTACTGCACGCGAGAAATGGGTTCGTGCAATTTGTTGCCCATGCATCTTAGAGGTGCGGATCGGTACAACGCTTCTGTTGCATGCAACGAGACTGTTAGTGATGCCTCTTCTCTCTCATTTCCGGAAACTTACTAATAGAGAACTAGGTGGTGGTCAAATGGATACAACTCATCCTCCTCTTGCTGGCGCTCATCCAGCTCGCCATGTTTTCATTTCAAGCGCGCATGCGACGGACGACAAGAGCCACTAGGATGCTCGAACCTGTTCCAAAAGCCGGCTGAGGCTTCGCAATCACAGCCGCGCATCCTGATTTCATTCACGACTTTTACGATTTACATTTCTCGCGGCGTTTCGGGTTTTGTCTTCATCACGCATATTGGCATCGCATCACCGGAGTTGGATACCACATTCATTGAGCATCGGCGAGCGAAGACGAGGCATGTGGGATATGTAAATATGTTCCGAATGAAAGACCCGCAAGCAATCCATCGTCCTTGAAGTCCGAATAATTGTACTGACAAAATACTTTCCATTTCCCTTTCCCGGTTTCACCCGCCCCCCTGAATATCCCCAATCTCACTCTTCGCCTCAATGTACGGCCTTAACATCTTCCTGACCCGCAGCGCCTTCTCCAACACATCCCCCACCCTCAGCACATCCTCATCCTTTGTTGCTCGTCCAAAGATATAAGCCGAGAACCTGTGATACCACCTATCAGCACACCCCTCTCCTCAGCATCATGAGAAAGTAAAACTCACGGAATCCCCGGCGCAACATCCACCAACCCATTCCTATCATCCCTCTCAACCAGCGTGTCCTCCGCATACACTCCCATCGGCAGACTCAGCACAGGACTCCCCGCCTTCGCTGCGAACGTCTGCATCGTGACGGACAGAGTGGGCAGGAGCAGGACGTCGCACCTTCGCCTGTCCAGCGCGCCTGGGATACCGCCTTGGCCGGCGAAATATTCGTCGCGGGAAAGCATGTCGAGGTACAACGTGTCGTCTGGATGCGTACGCTCCGCGCGCTCGAGAACCTCGACGTTGCGGGCCGGGAACTCCTCTTCGGGACAGGCTTTAGTGAAGGCGATGAGGTCGTGGAGGTTGTGTATGTTTTGGGGATTTGTGACGAGCGAGGAGAGGTAGGTGTTGATGGAGGTTTTCATGTCTGTGTCGAGGATGATGGATTTCTGCGCTGGGGTCAGGGCTTCGAATTCTGCTGCGCCGGGCATGTGGACGTCGTGCACGAGTGTTGCGCCGGCGCGTTGGAGGGCGATGAGGACGTGTCTGAAAGCTTCGCGTTTGGGGAGGGACAGTATGGTGAGGCCTTGCAGGCTCCAGGGTATGCCGATGCGCATGGTGGATAGGGACGTTTTTGAAAATGAGCATGTGATATCTTTAATCAGCTTGTCCTTTGCAGATACGTCGTGGTGATTGCTGTGGGATATGAGTTCAAGCAGAATGTCTGCTGCGTCAGAGACGGTACGGGTAAGTAAGCCAACGGTATCGAGACGTTGAGAAGCGTGGATAAGGCCATCGGAAGACAGCAAGTTGCGCGTAGGTTTAAACCCTATTATGCCTGCTTTCTCGGCAGGAGAGACAATGGAGTAGCACGTCTATCCACATCAGCCCCTGTTCAGCACCATCTCTTGGAATCAACTCACCTCCGTCCCCACCGCGGCCGCACACAACCCCATCGACACAGCCACAGCACACCCACTACTACTCCCACTCGCCTTCATTTCGGGATAATACGCCCCCTTCGTCTGCCCACCCCTCGCGCTCCACCCACTACATCCACTCGTCGATCGAAAACCCGACCACTCTGCCATGTTCCCTTTGCCCAGAATTATGGCACCGGCGTTTCTCAGGGTAGTTACTATATCCGCTTCCTTTGCTGGTCGCGCGCCAACAAGTGCCATGGAACCACAGGTAGTGTCCATGGCGTCGAGCGTGGGTATGTTGTCTTTGACGAAGATTGGGATGCCGTGAAGCTTGCGACGGTAACCGCGCTGATGGCGCTCATTGTCTAGGCATCTGGCAATCACCGTGGCATCGGGGTTGACTTCGACAGTGGCGTGGAATATGTGATTGACTTCGGTGATTCTGGCAAGGTAGGCTTTAACTAGTTGTTCGGAGGTGAACAAGCCATATTTGAGGCCGTCGAGCAAGTCGGGAAGTGTCGTATGTAGTAGCTTTAATGCTGTTGCGGTCACGTTCTCCTCGGTCAAAGTATGGTTGCTCATGCTTGTCGTTGTTTTGTTTACTTTACAAAGTGTGCTGCTCATGATAACGCATACTTGTCATTGGAACTGTGACAGCAACAGTCGAGAGACGTCTTCACATCTATATCTAGCCGTTGGCAACAATGTCACCAATCCAAGAAGTTGAAGTATGCATGCGCCGGAGCTGTTGGTGAATTTGAGTGATACATCGGCAACGTCTGCTTGGCCCAATACATGATGAAGAAGAACAGGGGCACATATCAGCCTGCAGTCGAATTGCAAAGGAGAATTTTCCTCGGATGCAATGAACCTTTACAATCTGAGTCGGTGACTAGAAAGTATCGTGGGAGCGTGTTTTTTCGTTGGCCCAAGTAGATGGTTGCGTCGATTTACTCCGTCTTGCACTGGTTAAAGTGCGGACTATCCGAACACATCGACTGATTCGAGACAGCTTGTGTCCTGATTTATTGTCAGCGGCCATGTCCCTTTCCACTTAATTTGCGACAATATCTGGAGGTCATTTATCGCATTCACACAGCGCTTTTGTCTGTCAGTTTGTGCCCTCGAACGTTAGAAAATGCACTAGTTCACTTTGCGACTTGGTAGCGACCGCGGCGTAAGCATACTTTTGCAATAGTCGTCAATCTGAAACTGACTTGCACTAGATTGGTATGCACGCGCTGGCGTTGTGTCGCACATCTGAGAGCGAGATCGAACATGACGGTGTGATGCGGTGATGGTGCGCTATGCTCTATCTTAGGCCCGATTCTGCATGCCGTTCCCTCGAGAATGCAGCGGCTGTCGATACGAAAAGTAAACGTAGCGAATATGATCATGATTGCAAGGGAATGTGCCATCGCCTGGTGAGATTTCCGGATTGAAACGGCGAGGAGCGGCAAGAAGGTATTTAGAATTGCTGTCGAGTGGTGCCGTGTGCACACCGTGGTTAACCTACAGCATTCCTTCAGTGTTGTTGATGACACAATTTTGATATTTCACATGTAATCATGGAGCACCAACCTTAGGACACCAATCGCTGTCGCATGCAGCGCTTGCCAGGTCTTCGTTCACGTGAGCATACTCTCCATCGCGGAGACTCCATGCAAGCGATCATCCCTTCCTCCTGATCCAAAGGAACCATTGCGATATTAATCGGCAGGCCGTACGGGTGTGACCCCTTTCTGTGGGTCAGTGTCAGTGTGACGACCTGCCAGATTGCGATATCACCATCGGTAAAAGGTTAGTGATACCCTTGAGACCTCCAGAATTAGCGACCGGTATGACGACAATTCAGACCGAATCAACATTGGAGCCATTGACATGCGGTCGAATCCCTGACAGAGCTTTGCTGGCGTAAGGTTCTGGTAGGCATTCTTAATGGCATGGGACACTCAAGGGAAGCGGTCCCTGGGCTCCAAATTTGCAATGTTCGCAGCTGCACCGAAATGTGCCATTTTTGGAAGTGATGAGAGCATGTCGTGGGATCTCGAGAACTTGGATGACGGCTCCTTTACCCTGGATGTCCAACAGTACATGCCGAAAACGCCGTGCACAGCAACAAACCTGTATGCATGGTCGAGGATTGTCTTCTCACTTTCGATCCACGCACCACAACAAGAGCACATACCTCTTGGAACTATACGACCCAAAGCGGAAGCGCCATATTCCGATTCAGAATCTTCGTTTTGCGAGACGGAGGCCACCGACTGTGGCTGTGATGCTGGCGGTCACGAACGAGCGCATGCCAACCCGGAGCCATTGGTCTTCAACATTCATTTCGAGGATCGGACATACACCAAGCGGCCTCGACTACTTGACGTTTGCGCGTTGGGAGAATGTGAAGGACCTCCTGGAAGGATTCGAAGGCGAGAGCGCAACCATCAAACAGCTGTGGGATGTACGCGAAGACATGCCCATCTGCAGCGGGGACTGGGACGCTCGTGTGCATCCAGGGATGGAGATTGATGTTATTTGCTGGAAGACGGACATGTGGGAATACGACTCAGGTCTGAGCAGTGATGACGAGGAAGATGCGAAGGGTCATGCGCAGGGTTGGGAAGACGTGCACCTCCACGGACGGCGGTGGTGGTTCGGGGCGTGGAAGAGAAAAGTTGAGCAAGAGGTGGCAAAGAGCACCTCGTCAGTCAGAGATCCGTCGCGCGGAGAGATATTGCTCGGTGTGCTGGCAATGGCAACATTCGTGGGCATGGTTGTGCTTGTCTGCACAGTGTGAGGTGGAAGGAGGGTCGCGCTTCAAACCACGATAGCCATGTGAATTTGTGTTCACGGGTTTCTAGTGAGGATATGTAGCCCCGCATTCTTTGGTTGCTGGTTTGAGTCGAGATGGATTTGTTGGGGGCGTGGGGTGAATGTGGGAGAGGTTGCGCGGTTGCGCGGGCGTGTGGGGATGACGCAAGGCCCCGACGTGGGGAAGGAGCTCTCGAGCTTGGAGCTCTTCCAGCCACCCGACGATGGCTGAGCAGGCTTCACATGACCGCAATGGCTTCACGAATAGCTGCAATCCGAGCGATACTGCCAGACCTCGAGTCGGCCTTGCACTCCTTCACCGCCTCGCCCTCCAAGTTCCGCGTTGTGCGCACGGTCAATGCCACCAACACGCAACCGCGCACACTGTACATCCTCGACTCGTCCTTCAACCCGCCGTCCATTGCGCATCTCACGCTCGCAACGTCAGCGCTCAAGCAACATGCGCCATCGGAAGCCGCGCCATACAGACTGCTCTTGCTCTTCAGCACGCACAATGCCGACAAGGCACCGAGCCCTGCCAGCTTCGTGCAGCGCCTTGCCCTCATGACCGTGTTCGCCGAAGACCTGTCACGGCATCTTAAGAGTGAAGAGTCCACACAGAAGGAGCATGTTGCAGACATGTCTATAGACATTGGCCTCACCAAAGAGCCGTACTACAGCGACAAGTCTGCCGCCATCAAGGACACGACGCCGCCATTCTATTCTTCCAACCCCATCCACGTCCACCTCGTCGGCTACGACACGCTCATTCGCTTCTGCAACCCCAAGTACTATCCAAAGTACGACCCGCCCCTGTCGGCACTCAGGCCCTTCTTCGATGCTGGCCACAAGCTACGCGTCACTCAGCGCCCAGCAGACCCCAGCGATCAGTCTTCGAGTGAGTTCGGCACGGTGCAGGAGCAGGAGAAGTATGTGCAGAGACTGAGGGATGGCGAGGAAGAGAAGAACGGCTTTTTGCCGGCGTGGGGAAACAACATAGACATGGCACCGGCTGAGAGAGGTGTGGGCATCAGCTCAACCAGAGTGAGGAATGCTGCGAAAGACGCCAAGTGGGACGTAGTCAGCGAGCTTTGCACCGAGGGTGTAGCCGCATGGATCAAAGATCAGTCGTTGTACAGCGAAGATGCAAGTGGCAAGAAGATGATGGCATGAAACAGTTGCATTGAATGACTATGACATGACCCGGGCTTGCGCCACGTTGAGCAGCATCTCACACGCTCGCCCTATGGACCATCGCGCATACGCCCGAGCAGCGCCATGTGAAGTCGCTGTTCGTTGGACGCATTTCGCTCGGTTTGGCTGGTACAACATCCAGCGTGAATAGCAGTCGCGCTCTAGCAATCGCATCTTAATTCACTGATGGCCCTACGAAGCTGTCAAGACTATGCATCATCAGATCGTCGAGACGCTGCTGTGGTTGTGCTTGCCGCGAGGCAGAACGCTCCTTCCTCAACACCACGCACTGACCCACACCTACCGTCACCATCAGACCATGTTGCTTCGGCATGCTTTCCCGTCGTCCTAACACGACATCCATTTGCTTCCAAGGTTCTACTGTTTTCTCGCATCCATCCCGTGATTCTCTTCTCCGCTTCATCAATTTCCATGCCAAACCTCTCTTCTTCTGTCAGGAAGCCATCACACGTGGTTGACTGGAGTCGAGCCCTGGTGTCCGTCATCGCTCCCGGTAACCCTTCAGCTCACCATGGCTTCGAAGTTATGCTGCACCGCGGAGCAAGACGACCGAACAGGCTCGCCAGATCTGCCCAATGCTCGCGTCAGTGCAGTGACACCCAACTGGCCTCTCCTTCCGAAGCAGGCGGGCTCACCACACTCGCAATTCACCAGTGCTCGATCTGGCGAGCTTCATGAGCTCCGACAAATCTTCGACAACGCCCAAGATGAGGCTCCTGAGCGCACGTCGTCTCCATGCAAGACACCCCGGCCGCGCTCAAGCCGTCCGTCCATCTACAGCCTGCACAGTCTGCACAAGATGACGAGCATGCGATCCATTTTGAGGCGAAAGTTCTCCAAGGACCTAACGAGGAAGAAGAGCAATGCTTCGACCCGACCACAGACTGGACAGAAAACCATCAATGAACAGCGAGACACCGTCATCAAGCACCTGAACGAGGACCCGCGCCAGCGACTGAAGGTGACCAAGGACGACTTGCGAAAGGACCTCCTGAGTGACAAGAAGCCAGCCGAAGGAGGCTATGACTCGGATGCCGAAGTGCTCGACGTTGTTGCCAAGAATATTGGGAAAGCAACGCCCAACAAGCGACCAAGCATCCACAGTGTAGACTGGGCGCCTTCTTCAGGAAGGTAAGTAGTCTTCACCTGAAGTTCTCGCGCTTGCTGACTTTGCTAGTAAATCAACACCTAGGTCATCTGCCCCACGGCCTGGCAGCACGGAGCTTAAACGCGACGTCCAGCCCTACCAAATACAACACACTCAGCCGGTCTCGCTTTCCAGTCGCTTTGCACAAGTCTTCAGCACGCCAAATCTTCGTATCGATGAGCCAAATGAAAGAAGCCGCGCACTGCGGCGATCTCACTCTGCCACGTCGATGGGTCTCCCAAAGCCTTCGCCCCTCTCACCAATGCGACTTCCAAGTCTCACAACTTATGACAAGGACGGTGTACCTTGGGCTGAGGTTATGAGCGAAAGTCTTCGCCTCTCCCAGTTTCCTGTACCTCCACGTCACGCAAGCCTGAAACCGTCAAAGACAACCATGGTCTCGGATCTTGAAGCGAAGGATAGCCATCACGACAAAATTACCGAGCAAGTCCGCCCAGATGAGCTGGATCAGAACGCCAACATCACAGACCTGACAACATCTGCTCGTGCCATTGAAATACGCATCCAGCAGCCAACCTCAATTGCTAGCCCTCGCCCATCTGCATCCGTTCGGCGTGACTTCCGAGAGAACGCACCTCCCGTCAACAACACCAGTGCCGAAGACACCAAAGATGAGGATCAGGGAGAAGACAACCACCGTCGCTCTGTGCATCTGTACAGCATGCGCATCTCGCATCACTTGCGCTCCGGCTCACTGTTGTCGTGGGATCAACTCGATGATGCACCGGGGATGCCCTCGGCACCTCAACTGTTTAGACAACGTACCGTATCTGATCAGAGTCGTTTCTCGAAAATACACACAGAGCTTGCTCGGCATGAGCGGCAGACTTCCAGTTCGGGCTTTGCCAGCAACAAAGTGCCTAGAAGATGGGGAAGGGTCTTGCCCCACGAACACGATCTCCGTGCTGATGTTGCATCCTCAATCTACTCAAGCAGACCACAGAGTCCTCCCGAGAGCTTTGGTGGCTCCGTGGCGAACTTCAGCCACTCATCGGTCGACTTGAGGAAACTGCGGCACTCAAATTCATTCCCTACGGATAATGAAGAGACGCCTCGGCCTCTGCATCGTTACGGCGTCATGGAACTGGCATCCACTGAGGAAGTCTCACCACATACTTCACTACTGGCGCAACCGCCGTTGCTAGCACGAAAGAACAGCGTGGCGGAGACAAAGAAGTCCAAATTCAAGGAAGAGTTCAGTCCTTCGCCGCCCAAGAAGAAACTCACTCCATCGACGTCAATCATGAAGTTCCTGAATCCCAAGCGACTCAGTCTACGCAGTCTGAGTGAAGCAAATCTTCAGCCTCAAGCACCGAAGCCGAATGTGGACGGCCCTTTCGACACTTTGGCCCTGCCGGTTGATCGGGAACGGCGTCAATCCCGCTCTTTGATTAGTCTACAGACCGAACAAGAAGCGCTGGGCAAAAACAAGAGCGCGAACCATGTCTGGGACAAGGCGCTCAAAGCTCATCAAGAAGAGAAGGCATCCATGTTCCTGCCCAAAAACAAGGAGCTTGCTGTACATGCTAGTCCCTTCCGAGAACGCAGCGAGGAGCTGCTCCAGTCGCAGGCCTAGTGTTCAAGATTATCGCGATCACAACCACCATGTATCCACCCCGAAGCGCTCTTCTGCGCCGATTTTCGCACAGCACACCTTCGGCGATCGAGCTTTCGGCAAACGGCCAGAACCAGCTACGAGGCGGAGTGCCACAGCCGGAAGAGATGCTCTTAGTCCCGCGCAAGAGGTTGCTGAAGCATTTGACAAGCAAGGTGACGATACTGACGTTGTCGGCGCGTGGGGCCGCTACCCATCGCACACTAGACCTGAGCGCACGCTATCCTTCAGCAAGAAAGACCGTGTTGAAACACGCGACTTCGCGCTCGAAGCTGCTATCCGGTTCGCGTCAGCACAGAACGATGATTACGATGAGGACATGCTGGACCCGACCGACCGCTTGCCAACGCCGAATCTCCTGCCTGGGGAAAAGAAGCGCAAGAAGAAGGTTGGAACAGGCAAAATGGCCAAGAGTCACTCCATGACTTTCGGTAGGAAGCTTATCAAAAACTACTACGCCGGCATATTCAAGTCCTCAAGCTCTGAATTTCGTCAGCATGGACGAGGACACCGCAGCTCGATTGCGTCGGGTGGCACCCTCGAGCATCCTGAGCTGGAGTTGTTGCCCGAGGTGTTCATGTCTGGTGCGAACGATGGAGCTCGTAGCAGACCCCCGAGTCGGAGCGGCAGGAAAGTGGTTCAGCGTCACAGTGCACAGCTCAGCGAGTCCAAGTCAAAAGGTAAGCTGCCGGCTGGCGACTCTATGGCAACACTTCGTCCTCGTCGAAACTCTTCCGCGCCGAATCTCAAAGATCTCACGAATCTTCATGAGGGGACTGGTGACGGCAACAACACGCAAGACCGTGCTCGCGTGTGGTCAGTCTACTACGAGAAATGCGTACCGTCCTTCCCGCGCCTTAGCACTGACAACAGATTCGCCCTCGAGGAGTTCGGTGGCTCGTCTTGTATCTCCTTGGACAGAAAGCCCAGCTCGCGACACTCTCATACCGTGTCATCGCGACGCCTGAAACACTCACGCAATGCGAGCCAACTCAGTCGTATGAGCAATGCGAGCCGATGGAGTGGAAGACCCAAGTCCCTTTCCATGGGTGAGGACGACAGCCCAGGTGAGGACAAAAGCCTTGTTAGTGTGAGGCGCAGTACCATGGACCTCATTTCCATGTTCAAGGACCAGGAAAATGCGGAGCACGAGCGCGTCATGTCACTTACACGCGCAGAGAGCAGGCGGGAAGGGGAGCATTTGGCTGGCTTGTAGGTTGGTGGTCCGCGAGGGTAATGTGTAATGATAATGGCGGCGCCTGTGTGTATTCACATATCGTTTGGGAGGCTCAGATGTATGCTAGCAGGAGTATTTCTAAACGAATGGATTTCTCTCAATGTTTTGTACAATCTTGTGTTGCCTGAAGGTGTTCGCGCCAGTGGTAGTAGTTCCGTTGTCAAAATCTCTCTCTACCATGGTGCACCAGACGGACTCTACCACGGTTCTAACCACGCTAAAACCTCACTCACTCATGAATTCTTAAAAAGACGAAGAATGTAGAGAATTAAGCTCTACCTGCTCATCCAAGATCCTCACCACATACTCACTCTGAAAGTTCCTAACCTGGAGACCCTCAACACCAAATTTAAAATGGGCACCAACACCCCAAAAATATCCGCCCGCCACCAAAACGGGCACCTGCCTACACACTCTGACACGGGCATTCTGCACCCTACCATCGAAGCCATGAACGCGACTCTCGCTCGTAATCTGGCTTCGCACATAGGCACACCTGCTCCTGCGCCTCGAAGCGAAAAGGCAAATGAGTACCGGGTTCGCTTGAGTATCCGCATGCCGCGCTCGGAAGAAGAGAGTGATGCGGAGGTATGTGCCGCGGCGAGAATCCTCATGCAGATGAGTAGGGATGTTAGGGGGTGGGAGTCTGAGGGGACAGTATCGGCGGATGAGAACGAGGATGAGGATGGGGAGGGGAGGAGGGATTCAGCGTTTGGGAAGGTTTGTGCTGAGAGGAAATTGGGAGTTTGATGCGGTGGGCTGAATGGATTTGGGGCGCTATTGGCGTGTACTTGTGAGTGGTTAGGGAGGTGGAGGGAGATGGGTGGGATGTTCAGCTAGCGTTGAAATGGGTTGGTGATTTTTGGGTGTTAGGGGCGTGGAGGTAGACAGGCATACCCAAGACTTGTTTTACATGAATACATAGAGTGGCATTGAAGACACGATGGTATACGCTAAGGTGCTGGAAACGAGTGACGCTAATTGAACACGAAATAATATCTCACAGCGACACACTCGGACATCCTAACTCTGAGGTGTTGGAGTAGCAGACGCATCTTTGCTTGCAATTGATGCTGGCTCTTCGGGTTTCGTCTCCGGTGCGGACTTCTTGCTCTCCGACACCTCGTCGTCCTTTGAACTGACGGCGAGAGCAGACAGCTGGTCGACTGAAGCTTGGGTAACATCCGTGGCGGTGGGAAGAGGTACATTTGTTACACCTCCACCTTCGGTGGCATGGTGAGAGGCGTCATCTTCATCGCTTTCCAGGATCTCGTCGTCAAGCACTGGTTCGTGCGAGTAACTTGAGTTACTACCGTCTTCGGCTTTTCGCGCCCACCAAACGTATCTGCTGGGTCAGTATTAGTGTGAATAGAAGATATTGTAGAACTCACACTTCGCCATAGTAATGACGATCTTTCCTCTTCGCTTCAGCCCTGCACTCAGACAAGAACACTTCCACTTCTTCTCTCGACCACCCCAATACTCTGGTAAAGAGTCCAAGAGAGCTACTCGGCAGCCAGTCCATGAGGTCTTCGAATACAAAGCGGCCGAGAAGCTTGAACTTAGCGCCCTTAGCCCACTTGCCAATCGGCCACTTAAACTTCTTCAGGTTGATGTCGACAAATCCAGAGTCGCGCAGCTTAGGTGTGAAGTGTCGTGGTCCAGTTCCATCAAGTCCGATCTTGGTAGCAGCTTCAAGGAAGAGTTCTGACCAGCGCATGAGCGGCGAGTTCTGCGCTGTGACATTGGCATCCATGCATCGAATCGGAAACACGATTTCTTGACATTCGAGATAACCTCCAGGCTTGATGTTGGCATATGCTTGTTCGAAAAAGCGGCCCCAGTTCTTGACGGCAGCGACCATGGCACGGGTATGAATGTAGTCGAACTGATTATGGAAGATCCAATCTTGCTCACAATCATCGATCAAGAATTCGCAATTCGGCGGCACCTGAGCTGGCTGGATTGGACTCAAGTCTGTTCCCAGTACGCGTGCGCAGGGGTGTTCGTCGGCAAACTCAATGGACCAGATTCCCGTTCCGCACCCCACGTCAAGCACATTCTGTAGGTTTTTGGGAATCGGCGCTTGATACAACTTGCCATCGAGCGTCTATTTCCAGCGACGGACCGGAGCTGCTAGCCCCATCTGTGGTCGGTTCGTCACTGCTCTCGTTCGCGATATCTAGAATGTTGTGTGAAGCTGCCATGGCGATTGAAAACAAGCAGGATAGAAAAGAAGAAGGAGAGCACGAGTTGTGACACTCCGCTACTCCCACGCGATCTATGAAGGATGTATAGTTTCCCAGCTTTCCGGTAACCCTAGGCGTGGATGACCGGTGGTTTTGTTGGTTAGTGTGCGATTTGTGGTGTTCTTGGCCAATGGCGGCATGGCCGTGTCTGAAGACGAGCGGACATGGTCGCAAGACAGGCGATATTAACACACGGTTGAATATGGAAGCTGCTTTTCAGAGTGACGTGCAGGCTCACATGTATGAACGCGACACGGACCGGTTGGAGCTCAGACGTATATCGGAGAACAGATATGAGCTTATGCTCTCAACTCCGTCTCCTGCGGGTCCCTTCTCCATTTTCTGTATTGGCAAGCGAATTTTTTGTGCAGAGTTACATTCAATCATGACGTTCTTCACGGTGGAGCTACAGTCATTGCCGACTTTTGGCTCCGACAATCAAAGGTTTCTATGCATCTCTGCGGCGAGGTCGACGTCTGGTTGGGGGCGCAACGCCGGGCGTAAATTCGCGTAGCGGCTATCAGCACCCGCCCCTCCAGGCGGATGGTCATTGGCGTGGAATGAGTTGAGTTCGGTCCACTGGATATGTGGCTGTTGGCCATTTTCGGTAGAAGTGTCCGTTCCATGTCGATGCGAAGCTCGCCGAGGTCGACGTTGAAAGAGCCCTGGATTGGCTCTTGCCAAGACCTACTTGGCTTTTCTGGCGCATGCCTCACCGCATTGCAGGACCCTCACGTGGTTCGCGATGAAGCCATCACCACTCATCCAAAGGGGAGATATGCTGTGCTGGGCTGCATTGGACTGATGGTATTCAGAGCGACTGTATTGATACTAACGAGCGCCACGAGCCACGATAATCGATACAATCCGTCCCGAAACGCAGCTTGAAGTCTACCTATGTACTGTATCCAAGAACCAGCAAAACAACACTACAAACCAAATGCAATATCCTCGCAACTGCTCTGCAAGGCGCATGATGAAGCTCTCATTCTCACCTTCACTCTTTCCAAGCCCCCCTTATCTCCCACTAGGCGCGCCTATCTGCCACATTCATTCCAACCCTGAACCCCCATCTCCCACCTCCAAATCACCACCAACGCATCTCACTATGTCGCGAAACTACTCAGATCACTACCGCCCCTCCCCCTCCTCCAAAAACCACCACCACAACAACAATTGCTTCTCCTTCCCCCCTCACACTCGCCAAAACAAATCCAACACCCACCGCGCTCACCAACCCTTCTGGGAAATCCAAGACGACCTCATCGCCCCCACTCACTCCTCGCTCTCCATCCCCTCCCTGCAGCGCTGGGCCCGCGCGACCGCCGCCTTCCCGCAGTCCGGGCCTAGGGCGCCGCGAACACGTGATTGTCGAGAGAATTGAGCGGCGATATGGAACCATGACGGTACCGAGGACGGAAACGCTTGGAAGCGCGGGAATTGATGTGGGGTTTAAGAGGGACGAAGGGTTCAAGAGGGATTCAATGCATCAGCGGAAACGGGAGCGAGATGTTGAAGGGGATGAGGGGGGTGGGAAGAGGAGGAAGGGGGAGGTTATCGATCTTACTGCTGAGGAGGGGGAGAGAGATGGTGAGGGTAAGGGTGATGTCATTGATCTTACGGGTGAACATGAGGAGTGGGAGGGAGAGGTTGATTACGCGCAGTCGAGTGAGTGGAGTTGGCCGGGAAGTCAGGAGGATGGGAGATGATGCGAGAAAGGATGAGTAGATGGGGGCAAGTTGAGAGCGAGGGAAATTGAAGTAGTTGAAGGATTGCGGCGAATGGGATTTGTGGCGTAAGGTTCAGAATCAGGAGCAGGCATGTATTGATACCCCAAGAGCTGAAGGATCAAGAATATGCAATGTCAAAGTAATACATCATCAATCTTGGAATGGCAAGTCGAAAGCGAACTGTTAGAGGTTCTATACATCTACTCAATCGTTTCATATCGAATCATATCGAATCCCAGTGTCCGTGCCCGTGTCCAAAATGACATCTCAAGATAGGTATAAATATCCAAAACGCCCCCATCAAACATCAAGCGCTAAATACAATCGAAAGCGACAGTCCAAGATACATGCAAGAACATAAACCGCCCTAATCATCATCCCTCCTCTTCCCCTTGCCCAGTGGACTTCCTCCTCCCAAGCTCGCTTCGCTCTTCCGCCCCCTAATCTTCAAGCTCTGAATCGACGGACTAGGCGACGGCCTCGGGCTCGTTCTTGGTGAACTACTCAACTGCTCGAATCTTCCAGCTAGATCCTTGACACGACTAGGTGAAGTTTCCCTTATATCTTCCTGGGAGTTCTCGCGCGGCAGGGACATGAGACTGACGTGATCGACATCAGCGTTGACGACGCGGAGTTTACTCTTCGGAACCGTGAACATGACCTGCACGACCCTCCGCTCGACAGCGGCTTCAACGTCCCAATCAGCTTCGCTAGCGGGTGTGCAGGGTCTTTCGTCTGAAGGAGGGACGCCGAGTTGATCAGAGCGGATTGGTGTGCGAGGAGTGGGTAATGGGTCGTTGTCGGTAACAAGTAGGTTCCCGCGTTCTCTCCATTCTCTCCGTTGGCGATCGCGCTCGGCGAGGGCAATGTCTTCTGGCGTGCCCCAATCGTCGCCGGCGGTGCGCTTCCATCGTGTGTCGAGCTCGTCTTCGAGCCAGTCTTGTTGGCCTCGCCGACTGCGCCAGAAACTGGCATCTGAAGCTGCTCGACGGGGCGGTGAAGCTGCTGCTGGGAATGACTTTCTGTTGTCGGTGGTAGAGGGCTCGATTGGCGAGATGGGATGATCTGTATATCGTTCGTGGTATGACATTGTAGCTGTAGATCTTGTGCGCTCAGCGCCAGAGGCAGATCTTGTCAATACTCTGCGGACACTGCCGAGCCAGCTTTTCCTTCTTTCTCTTGTGGCTGGGCGCGAGTTGCTTGACATGTCTAGTGCGTATGATGTAGCCGGGGTAGTTGTGGCAGCGCGGCTATTGCTGCCTTCAGTGTCGCGGTATGTGTTAGAATTTGAGGACGATGTTCCCGGTCGCGGTCTTTCCGGGTTACCACCTAACAGTGCTTCGCCTTCAGCCTGAAGGTGAGCAAAGGATGACTGTGCAGTGCGGAAGGAGTCAATATCCTCCTGAACATTGCTGCGAACGCTTGTAAAGGACTGAGTCCGAGGGTCGACTGGGCTATGGCGCCCACTGTCGTCTTCATCCTCAGATCTGTCGCGTGTCGGACTTCCGTTAGGAGTTTTGAACGGGTTAGCATTGGCTGCACTGTGAAGTATAGCGGCTGATCGAAGTGAAGCGCTTCGTGCGAGGCCCGCGCTTGACGAGGTCCATGAGAGACCAGAGCGGGTGCTTTGTTCGCTGAGATTGGAGCCCGTCCTTTCAGAGGTAGATTTGTCAGGAGAAAGTCGGCCGGTTGAATGGCGGACCGGCACTATGGCACCCAGAGGCCAGTTGGGTGGAGCGTGGTCAGACTGATCGGTGCCTTCATGGGAGGGGGATGTTGGTGCAGAGTGGAAACCATTTTTTCTGTTCGCTGCCCCGTTGCCGAGCATCAATGAAAGGATCGAGCACAGGCGCACCATCCAGTATGGACTTTCTTCGAATATGGCCTCGCTCACTCATCTCGGCTCGTTTCTCAGTCGCCGTGGAATCGTGTGTATGTTCCTCGTCTGGATCTTCTTCCAACTCGTCAATTGGATGAATGTTACCTGGGCCTCGCATCTTGCCCGTGACAAGTCCAGGTCTACCACTAAGACTGCGTCGCAGGCCACGTGTTGGACTGGGAATTTCGACAAGCAAACCGGTACGTTCTGCATCTTGGCTCGCAGTCTGCTTCCAGCCTTGTCCACCTTGAGTCCCAGGCGGGAAGTAGTAGTTGCCGTTCTGGCCAGCAAGATAGTCCATGGCATCGGATTGGCCACCACGACCATCGAAATTTGGTGAATAGTCATCGAGGTTGTAGCGACGGGTAGTGAATGAGAGATTCTGAATCTGCTTCTCGCGGACTTCACGTTGCTTCCGCAGACGTCTTGTATACCACATGTAGAAGGCGAAGAGACCGCACACAGCAGCCAGACCCATACCAAGACCGACGCCGAGTCCGACCTTTTGCCCTGGGCTAGACAAAGGGCCTGTGTTTATGGGATCGTCATCTGGAGCTTCGGGTGGAGGGGAGTAATCTGTGACCCAAGTGTTGGATGTAACGTTGAAAAAGTATGATTTGCTGTTGACTGTGGGTGTGGCCCTTCGTCGTGAAGAGGGGCTGGGTATCGTGTAACCACCTCTGATCATCATAACCCCTCCTGGAAGCATGGTAGCGCCATGGCCATACAGTCCGGAGTCTGTCGGCAGACCTTCGCCCAAAGAAGAGGGCAACGTCCAGTGCCAATCGTCTTTTCCACCATAGCCGCTAGCGATGTTGAGTATCGCGAGCTGCGGCTCTGCGGGAGTGCCGGTATCGCCGACCCAGCCTCCGAATACGACGATCCGCTGGCCGTCTGGAGTAAGGGCTGCCGTGTGGCCAGACCGCGGATCGATGGTTGCTGCGTTAGCTCGACGGGCCAGATCTGTGTGCGAGGAATCTGTCTCTTCGACACCAATGAACGTCCAGCCCTGTTCCGGAAGAGAGAAGAGTGCGACCTGCGACATGTTTATGAATGCTGTACTTGTATGTCCACCGATAAGCAGAAAGTTCTGCTGCTGCGTTTGACTGCCATCACTACGATTGGAGAAGGTGGGCTCGAGGCCCGTAATCGAGAACCCAGCTTCGGGTACGGGGGGGCCGCGGCTGGTAGATAGATCCAGGGTGTATGCAATTGTATTGTCGCGAGTGCCCGACGGCTGCAGCGTGGTCATGAGGTTCGAGTAGTTGGCTGCAGACTGCCAGGTCGTGCTGTTGGCATCGCTGAATGGGCACATTCCACCGAAGATGTAGGCGCTTGTCGATGCCGCGTCCCCATCAACAGTGCTGGAGAAGGTCATGCCTCCACCGAGATAGTTGGGACCCATGACCGCGTTGTGTGTGCTATCCTTGACCGACACGTCCTCTTGCTTCCAGCTGCCGATGCCCTTCTCTTTCGCCGAACTTGGTGTGAAGGTCCACACATGGCCGCCATTTGCACCTTGTGAGCAATCTCCCGTGTACACTGTGATGTTCCCACTGTCGTCTAGCAGCGGGGTGAATGCGCGCGGCGTGGTGTCGTCTAGGAATGGCAGGGTCGGGTAGAGGGTCGTGTATGGTAGTCGCGCAGAATCGATGGGAGAAGAGACGTCAATGGTGCCAAGCTGGAACTGGCTGGAAGTGCTGGAGGAGGGTTCGAAGACGTAGAGGAGGTTGTCGCGCCGAAGGATTCGTGTAGGGTTGTTCGGCGTCTGCGCTACTGCTATGGTGAAGAGAAGGGAGATAGGCAGCAGACGGAGCCATCGCAGGCGCATCGTCAACGATGCTTGGGCTGAGAACATGGTGTCGCTAGTATCCTGAGTGCTGAGGGACGTTCACCTCGAATGACGCATTGGGATCTCCATGGACCGCGCTGTGGGGATGGCAAGACAGCGTAGCACAAGAGAGCAGACGAGATGAGAGAGTCCACTTTGCAGTCGGAGGTCGAGGGGTAACAGACCTGTGGTTCACGCACGGGGCCGTCGGAGGAGAGGCTGGACTCGTCGTCTATCAACATGAACCCTACACGCAAATACTAGTACCAGCCACCCGATCGCACAGAAGCGCTTACTCTTCCGCCAAAACGCCCGGCTATCGTCCAATCATGATAGAAAGAAGGGTCCGGAGGCAGTGGTCTGGAATGCAGCGTGCACAGAATCCAGGCTATACTGCCGGTCACCGAAGGGTTATGCCTGTAAGTAAACACGGTTGCTAGGCAACCCCCGCTGCGGCTTGCGTCGCCAGAACATGTGAACACGCCATGGTGAAAACTTGCGCAAGCTCACCAAACCTGTTCGTCAGCGGTCCGGACGGATAAATGAAGGCAGCGGCGCGTTATTAAAGATATGCTTTCGACGTGAACCCCGAGGATCGAGAGGGAAGGGAGAGGGGAGGGAGAGGGAAGGGAGGCTGGGTTTGAGGTGGGACAGCACGTGCCAAGACGTTGTGCCGCCCGATGCAAACGTCACAGTTGTAGAAGCGCACTGTCACAACTTCTCGCCTGTGATGACATGAGACAGTGATATGGATGGATGGATGCATGTGATGAGTGTCACTATTTGATGAAATTCTTCCCGTGTACTATTCTGCTGTGCCGCGCACGTCGCGACTCCATCGCACGACTATTCGCTGACCCTCATGCCTCCGTTGGCGCAGACGACGCTGCCGGTTGTCCAGCCAGCTTCGGGCAGACAGAGCATACCCACGATACCGGCAATCTCCTCGCTGTACGCGGGTCGCCCTCCGGCGGTGAGCGATGCCTCATATATCCTGTCATCATCGATGCCCTTTCTTGGCGCAGCAAGCGGAGTGTGCTCAATGAATGGCTTGATGTTGGAAGTGAAGGCTTCGTCGTTGCTCCAGTACATGTCTGTCGCGACTGGCCCTGGGTTGATGGCATTGACGGTGCATCGCTCTGCCAGCTCCCGGGCCCACGTCCTGGTCATGCTCTCGAGGGCTGCCTTGGTTCCGCCGTAGATCGACTGGCCTTTGAAACCCAGCGAAGAGCTGACGGACGAGAGGTTGACGATGCGTCCCGAGCGATCAGTGGGAAGGTACGGTACGGCAGCTTGCAGCAATAGCAACGGACCGCGCACATTGATGTTGAACTGTCGTGCAAAGTCCTCGCAGTCAACATTTTCAATGTAGTTGTTGCCTGCGACACCCGCGTTGTTGATAATCACGTCGAGCTGGAACTTGCCGCTCTTGGGGTGCGCAAAATTGTTCTTAGTGACTTCGATAAGGTGCTTCGGTCCATTCTCGGAGCCCATGCTCGCCTGCACGGCCAGCGCCTTGATTCCATACTCGGCGGACAGCTCAGAGGCAAGGTCCTCGGCGGTCTTGGTGGACGAGTCGGACGTGTAGTTGAGGACGAGGTTGCAGCCTTTGTTGGCCAGGTTGCGCGCGATTTCGACACCGATACCTGTAACGCGTCAGCGATGGCTGCATAACATGTGCAGACCGCTCGTACCCCGCGACGCTCCAGTCACGATACCCACTCTGCCCTCCAGCGGTCGCTGACTCGAGTTGCTGCCCAGGTTGGTCGAAGCTGTGCGCAAGTGGGAAGGTCTGGCGGCCATGTTGAGAAGCTTTTTCAAGTGATGTTCCACCGACTTTTTGATGAGAATCAGCGTGTTGGAGGCTCTAGGAAAACAGCTGTCTCGATGGTGGGGTTGCAGTGAAGCTCTAAAAAGTAGTGCGGGGAGCTGCTGTGGAGACCAGCATCAGCGGGCAGAGTCTGGCCTCGCATTTGTCCGCCAATGGTTGTGAGTACACGAGGGCACGACATGTCAGAATTTCGGGAAGAAGCCTGAAGGATGATGCTGTCAATTCGGGGCGCAAGCTGACTATGAACGCCCTCTACCGTGCAAGTACACTGCCCAAGTACGCAGCTCGGAATCCAGGGTCCGAGTTGATCTGCCAAGAAATTCTGCTGCAGGGCGAGCCTCCGTGGTCGATCTGCATCATTGTGCTGGCGGACTGAGTCGCAGGAAATCGCAAGAGTTGACGTGATCTACGCGCCTGTTGGCTACAAAGTATTCTGCCCATGCCGATCGGTTTCTAGTTCACCTCTGTCGGACGCATCCTTGGTGTCTGCGCGTATGCAAGGCGGAAAGTCTCTGTGATCGGACCTCCGAGAACGGAGAGATAGGAAGCAAACATGGACGACAGACCATCAAGACTTCGTGATATACGACTCTAAACGCTCGGTCCAGACGCAAAGGCCGACCGGAGTAGCCTACTGACCGGCGTATTCTTTTTTTCCCCGGTGAGTTCCTTCGCAAAGCGACGCTGCAGTGGGTGATAGAGTGACCGACCGGACGCGTGAGAGACGCTAACGTAGCGCTCACCGCCCTCACTAACCCCGCGCGCTTGAAAGCCAACAGAAAATAAAAGCACACCATCCCGCTGTCGTCGCTCTTCCTCACTCATCCTCTCCTCCTCTTCTCTTCCCCTCCATCATCTCCATACTGCAATCTCCATCTTCCCTTTTCTCCCCATCACACTAGTCTGAAAGGACTGCACATCAACATGGTCCAATCATCGGTCCTCGGTTTCCCCCGCATGGGTGCGGACCGTGAGCTCAAGAAGGCCAACGAGGCCTACTGGGGCGACAAGCTCTCGCGGGACGAGCTGCTTAAGGAGGGCAAGCGTCTGCGATTGGAGCACTGGAAGATCCAGAAGGATGCTGGTGTCGATGTCATCCCCAGCAACGACTTTGCCTTCTACGACCACCTTCTCGATCACATCCAGCTGTTCAACGTAAGCTGACACTACCAATCGGACTTGATGCATCTCTAACAGCCAATCGCAGGTCATCCCAGAGCGCTACTCCAAGCACTCGCTGCACACACTCGATGAGTACTTCGCCATGGGCCGTGGCCACCAGAAGGATGGCGTCGATGTTCCTAGTCTGGTGAGTCAAACCACGCTACCTATGTCTTGCGTCATCACTAACACCCACCAGGAAATGGTCAAGTGGTTCGACTCAAACTACCACTACGTCAAGCCTACCTTCCAGGACGGCCAGACCTTTAAGCTCTCCGAGAACCCCAAGCCCGTCACTGAGTTCCTCGAGGCCAAGGAGGCTGGCATCGTCACCCGCCCCGTCCTCATCGGCCCCGTCTCCTTCCTTGCCCTCGGAAAGGCCGACCGTGACCAGTCGGTCGACCCCATCTCTCTGCTCGACAAGCTCCTTCCCGTATACGTAGAGCTCCTCGAGAAGCTCAAGGCTGCCGGTGCCGAGACCGTCCAGATCGACGAGCCCGTCCTCGTCTACGATCTGCCCCAGAAGGTCAAGGATGCTTTCAAGCCCGCATACGAGAAGCTTGTCGGCAGCAACTTGCCCAAGGCCATCGTCGCCACCTACTTCGGTGACGTTGTCCACAACTTCGACGCCCTTGCTGGCCTCACCAACGTCCACGGTATCCACATTGACCTTGTAAGGAACCCTGAGCAGCTCGAGAGTGTCATCAGCAAGCTCGGCTCCAGCCAGATCCTGTCCGCCGGTGTCGTCGACGGCCGCAACATCTGGAAGACCAACTTCAAGAACGCCATCGAGAAGGTCGAGACCGCCATCCAGAAGCTCGGCAAGGACCGTGTCATCGTTGCCACCTCCAGCTCCCTCCTCCATACACCTCACTCCCTCGACAGTGAGAAGAAGCTCCCCACTGAGGTCAAGGACTGGTTCTCCTTCGCCGTCCAGAAGGTTTCCGAGGTCGTCGTCATTGCCAAGGCTGTCACCGAGGGCCCTGCTGCTGTCCGTGAGGCTCTTGAGGCCAACGCCAAGTCGATGCAGGCCCGCGCCTCATCCGAGCGCACCAACAACAAGGCTGTCAAGGACCGTCAGGCTAGTGTCACCCCCGAGCAGCACGAGCGTAAGTCTGCCTTCCCCGAGCGTTACGCTCAGCAGAAGCAGCACCTCAAGCTCCCTACCTTCCCCACCACCACCATCGGCTCTTTCCCCCAGACCAAGGAGATCCGTATCTCGCGCAACAAGTTCACCAAGGGCGAAATCACCGCCGAGGAGTACGAGAAGTTCATCGAGAAGGAAATCCAGGACGTCGTCAAGATCCAGGACGAGCTTGACCTCGAAGTGTACGGTTCACGGTGAGCCAGAGCGTAACGACATGGTCCAATACTGCGGTGAGCGCCTTGACGGCTATGTCTTCACCACCAAGGGTTGGGTCCAGTCTTACGGCTCCCGCTGTGTCCGTCCTCCGATCATTGTCGGTGACATCTCTCGCCCTGCTCCTATGACCGTCAAGGAGTCCAAGTACGCCGCCTCCATCTCCAAGAAGCCCATGAAGGGCATGCTTACTGGTCCCATCACCTGCCTCCGATGGTCTTTCCCCCGTGACGATGTACACCAGTCTGTCCAGGCTCAACAGCTGGCTCTCGCTCTCCGCGACGAGGTTGTTGACCTTGAGGCTGCCGGTATCTACGTCATCCAGGTTGACGAGCCTGCTCTCCGTGAAGGTCTTCCCCTCCGTGCCGGCACTGAGCGCGAGAAGTACCTCTCATGGGCCGTCGACTCCTTCAAGCTCTCTTGCGCAGGTGTTCAGGACTCTACCCAGATCCACTCTCACTTCTGCTACTCCGAGTTCCAGGACTTCTTCCACGCCATTGCCGCGCTCGATGCCGACGTCCTGTCCATCGAGAACAGCAAGAGCGATGCCAAGCTCCTCAAGGTCTTCGAGGACAAGGCCTACCCTCGTCATATTGGTCCCGGTGTCTACGACATCCACTCCCCTCGTATCCCCTCCGAGCAGGAGATCAAGGACCGTCTCGCCGAGATGTTGACCTACCTCAAGCCTGAGCAGCTCTGGGTCAACCCTGACTGTGGTCTCAAGACCCGTCAGTGGAAGGAGACCAAGGCCGCGCTGACCAATCTTGTCAACGCCGCCAAGTTCTACCGCCAGAAGTACGCTTAAATTCTTTCGCCATTTGGCACCCCTTACGGCTGTGTTTCATCAACGCAGTCGATTCGTGCGGCATATCAACATGCCGCCGTGTAATTTGTGTAATGACGTCTTTCTATGATACCCAAAAGTTCAACCTGCATTATGGGTCGTTATCGGTGGTTAAAAAGCGGAGCATCTGATGGGGGTAGCATGAACGATCTCAACATCGTCGTTCATACGGTAGCAGCATACTGCATGCTTGCTTTGGCGTTCAATTGGTAAATGACTCCCGACCGCGATTGTGGTCAACATCTACTTCACTCCATAGATAGTAGAATGTCCCGCCTGTGTATTAGACACATGACGGAAGGCATAGCGGTGAATCGTACATGTTTCATCGTTGCCAAAATTTTGTGTACTTGCTTTGACGTGTTGTGATTGCCGCGGAACAGTCTGCTTGCGCTGCGTCTGGATTGCGCTTCAGACGCTGATTGGAAAGTAAAAGGCCTGTAGGGTGGCGCTGGCGTGGCTGGAGACATGAGCCGCCGCCGAAGAGCGAGAAGTGGCCCTGGAGGATGCACTGTTTACAATGACAAGATGTTTATAATTTGCGGTCGCAACGCAATGAGAACTCAATGCCTCGTAGCTCTTGCATCGAATGTGTCCTGGGTTTGAAAGAGACTCTAACTATCGTGCTGCTAGTATCATCAAAACTGTATTTTTGCAACTTGTTGACGACGCACGACTGCGCTGGAAGTAGCCTATATGATGTTCTTTCACAGCTTGCTGTTAATAGCATTACCTTCGCGGTGTTCAAATTGGTATTGTAGAACATCGTCCTCGTGCTGGGAGTGCAAGCGTAGAGGCGTGTCAGCTGGTGTTGGGCGCTGCGCTAAGTAAGACTGAAGGAGTATGTAGTTGGCGTCTTGTGTGATGGTGAGTGTTTGTCACGTTGGTTATACGTTACCAGGCACTTAATACATCTTGAGTGCTCACAAGGGGTATCTATGACGCGTTGAACACGTGGGGCTTCATTGTGGAAGGATATTTTGGTGAGGGGAAGGCGGTTTGCAATCAACTCGGACGAGTAATACTCAGTAGAACAAATATCTTAAAGAGATTACATAAACACGCAAGCCATCTCATGCATTATCCAATAATACTTATCCTTCCACTGAAACTGTAAAGGCCTATGTGCTGAGAGAGTGATGAGAAGGAATTGGATTCATGGACTGCAGGTGGACGAGACTGGAACCACCAATTAGCGTCCTCTACCCTGGATCATTTTTTGGCCCTGTCCAAACACATCACGACAAGGTCAGCGAGTGATTCAGATCAGTCCACCTCAAGCGCTGTGCTGCACGCCCGGATACCTGATATGCAACATTGCCAGAATGTTGTAAACTCACGTGCTTGGACTCAGACCATTAACACTCTACGGTTCACAAAGCGGTTACTTGGGCGTAATCGGGAGGGCTACGTCACCTACCTAGGTAGAAGCGGTGCCGGAGCAGGATTAAATCAGGCGCAAATGGGAGCAAACGCGCAAACAGATTCGCTGAAGTTTTACTTTCACGTTCGCAACAAACCACCCTGATCACTTGACCTTCCTAGGTTGCGCAACCACCCCAATCTGAATCATTGGTGCAACCTACGTGGAAAAATGGCGCCCATCACCCATGAGATCGACCCGGAAGCGGATACAATCATCACCTTGAAGAACGCTTCTGCGATATTCGCGACCTGGGATTTCGACTTCGAGAACACTTCATCGGCGGCCGGAGCGTTGTCGTCGGAAGTTTACAATGAAAATGACATCTCGGAGTCAAGCGATCGTTCCGGCGAGAAGAAAGAGAAGGACATATACTTTCGGGTCTCGTCCCGACATCTCGCACTTGCTTCTCCATGGTTCAACCGCGCATTGGCAAAAGAGAAATGGTCCGAGTCAAATCGCGATAAAGGGGACGGCCTCTTTCATCTTACTACCTCTGATTGGGACGCTGAGGCGTTTCTGATCTTGCTCAGCATATTTCACGTGCGTCACCGAGACGTGCCGAAAGAATTGTCCCTAGAGCTGCTAGCGAAGATTGCAGTGCTTGTGGACTACTACGAGTGTGGGGAAACCGTCGAGCTGTTCAGTGAGATGTGGATCAGCTCAGCCAAAGCCAAAATCATGCATTCCCTAGTCTACGATCAGAACCTTGTACTCTGGATGTGGGTATCCTGGGTCTTTGGTGTAGATGATATCTTCACTAAGACCACAGTCACCGCCATTAGGCAGAGCAAAGAGAGTTTGAACACTCTTGGGCTACCCATTCCCGCCATGGTGTATGGTAAGTCCATGGCTGTGCCTTCAGCAATTTCAACTTCTAACACCGGTAGCTGAGATCGACACGAAACGTAATCTGGCCATCGAAGATGTGGTTGACAAACTGCACAAGCTCCTTGACAGCTTTCGCGACAGCTCTTATCTGTGTCCCGTGGCAGAAGACCTGTCATTCCAGTGTGGAGCCTATCAGCTTGGGCTTCTCACCAAGACGTTGGATTCCATGGCTCTTCTTTCACCTCGTCCTGAACCCCCATTCGCAAATCTCAGCTTGGAGAACCTGAACTTGACGCTAAGCAACTTCAAGTCACCAAAGTGGTCGCCATATATGGCACGTGTAAAGCATCAAAGTTATCATACCTGCGATGTCGGCCAAACAATCAGGGAGATGGTGGGCTGCGTGTACCAAACAGTGACCGGTCTGGATCTATCCAAGATAAGAGATCGCACCACCGAGTGAGATTTAGACAGCAGCGGCAGTTCGAATGAAAATGGCGTGCAAGGTCATTGAATATTTCAGGAGCAATAGCTCACAAGAAAAATTGTGCAGACCTCGGGATGAAGGGCGGGCCAGGATCTGGATAGTCGTTATCGAGCTGTGAGAACTAAGCAAAAGTCAAGACTAGTCTTGCAAACTTTGGCTCTATGTAGCTAGCTAGCAGAAAATGAGCTCGCGCAGCTTGTATTGGTCGGAGGCGAGACCGCTCATTGCCTCACCATCCATCACGCAATGCACATACGCTTCACCAAGCACCTGAAAAGCATCACCATTCGGCCGTATGACTAGCGGTGTACTGCACCCCAGGACTATTCCAATCAAATCCCCTACTCTTACTTGATCCTTTGCACGTCCGTACATGTTATCAGGTGCCCATCCCATATATCCAGCCTTTGTTGTTATGAACCTGCGCCTCATCGCACTGCGCTCAGAACACGCGTATACTTCCGTGTAGTCGTACTCATCTGCATCTGCCGGAATATCGTTATCGAAGAATTCTCCAAAGCGCCATTCGCCGAGGCCAAAGCCATCGATTGCCTCGCGGAACCTTTCCCAGCGGAAATAATACCCCTCTTGTCCTGCGAGCCATCTCCACTCTCTGTCTATGAATTGAGGGCCAGCCTCCTCCCACGTAGATGGCAAGTGGAGTAGTGCATTATGCCGCGCTTCAGGTCGCTGCCCAGCGTTCACTCGGTCATGTACCAGTGTGCGTACCAGAGCGTCTCTTGTAGAGGCAAAGTCGCCGTATGCGCTGCGCCAATTCCTCGGGCTACTTCTGCTATTGTGATCCCAATCAAAGTATCCGAGCTCTCTTGCAGAGATCCCCGAAATCTCGTCGATAATGAACCCTTTGCAGCTGAGAAAACCGGCATCGCCGATCGAAGCTTTTTGGCCAACGTCGCCACTTGCGCGGAATGGTGTAAAGTGTTGGTTCGCCAACTGAAGCGGTGGAAAGAGATATGCTGGTCCCCAAAGTGGCCGCTCAACACGACTATGCCGTCCTCGGCCAGACCATGTCCAATCTGCTGCCCATGAGGGGCAGCCTGATAGCCCCCATGGATTACCCTCACGAAGAAGGTCTAAGCTGTTGTAGGCTTGAATGAACGCTTGAGCTATCCTGGTATATACCGCTGAAGGTGATATTGTGTAGTCGGGTCGTACCAAGCTTGCAACTTCACTCGGTAGCAGACCTAGTAGGGCATAGACCCGGTCCCTTGGGTCTGTACATTCGGCAGCTATGGCTAGGTCCAATAGCCTCCCGAACGCAAGACCAGGGTTCTCTGCGAGTGGCGTTTGATGGAGTATCGAGAGATCCTGGTAGATGAGGTGCGAACTCAGTGTTGACCAAGCTACACCGTTCCGAGATACATCTTCTCTCAAACAACGGTCCTTGACGAGCCATAGATGTTCTTGAAGCACCGCAATACCCTTGCAGAATGTCTCCCAATCTATTGTCGATGCGCCGCATCGGATCCACACGGAGTATCCGCCCATTACAATTTCTTGGATGATCCATAAGCGTTCCCAGTACTTGCGATTGACAAGCCGATGCAAGCCCATCCAGCATGTACTCCCTAAAAATTTCGGATCGTCTTGCAATCGTATTTCAAGTTCTCTCTCGCGGCCGGCATCTCGAAAAGTAGCCATATCTCGTAAGAGCTGAATACCGGCATCACTGTTGTCTGTCTTTTTGCCTAGCCATGCAACTACAGTCCATGATGATCCGTAGATTTCTTTCATGCGCTGAACTTCTTTCGCACGTTCTTGAACGTCTGACTGGGTTGATGCACAAAGCGTCTACCCAGAGTAGGAATCGACTCGAAAACAGACCATCACTGCGGAACTGCCGCAGTGCACTTTCCAGGTTCGCCGTTACTTGGACCTCCCGGCCATCAATGGAAATAGCTCTTGTGCTGCTACTTTTGCCCCAGACGTAACTAAGGCTCGCAAAATCGCCCCATGCAAAGCGTTGAAGTTCTGTAAAAGGCTGCAGGCTAGCCAGGCGCCTTATTGAAGGAATGTCTGCAAACTGTGCTCGAGCTGTCCATCGCTTGCGAAGACCGGGATCGCGAAGTAAATCACGGATGGTGGGAGCATTTCCATCGGAACAACTTAGACGATAGCGCTCAAACTCAATCGAGCAATCTAGCAAAGAAACTGTCTGGAGACGGCAACATATAGGAAACCCGTCGACTTCTGGCAGGATCTTGAGCAGTCGAATCTCTGCTTGCTGCTCATTGAGGGGTCGATAGGAAGACTTCGTCAAGTTTTGTGCCATTATCGATCTCCTCGTATCGATAGAATATCACCTCAAGATGGCTACATGAAAGTTCAACTGCTAACAGCAGGGCTGAGTTGCTGTGGACAGGTCAAGGACATATGTTGGTGGTGGGGCAGGCTGTGCGCTAAGCTGAAGCCCGCGCCTGCGGCAGGCGAGATCATCTTTTTTTCCGTCGCGGCCCATCCCTCCCGCCCCATTCAGACTTCCCAGTCTTTTTCAGGCCTCCCAGTATTTTTCCAGGCCTCCAGCAACGATCGGCAACAAGGAAAGCATGGCATCAAACATTTCGGCTGGGGTCACGGCTTCTTCGTACGGCATGTTCAGAACTTCGCAGTTGGTATTCGGGGTCATGGTATCAAGGAACGAAAGAAAAGAACCTGCAAAAAGAGATGCGCTATCAACCCCAAATCCTTCCTTCATTGAACGGCAGCCCGCCTGATCGATTGTATCTCGGCGTGAGGAGATTCCACCTCTCGTTTCCAGCAATCTGGTACTCGAGCCCTTTCGCATACAACTTCAAGGCTTCAGAGTCGCACTGGTTTGTGACCTCCTCGAACAGCCTGAAGTGTTCGATCTCCATCTCGCGAGCCGCCTCCCACATGATACGCATTGCGCTCTTCTCATTGACTCCAAATGACTCTATGAAGATGGGGACGGCGGAGCACAATTGGCCAAGAGCAGCTCCTTTCCCGGCAGCAAGGACTTCTTTCTCGTAGGACGCGATGTCATTGACGAGTGTGACATGCCTCATGGCGTTCATCTCTAGAGGTTGCAAAAGTTCGAGCTCTCTAGGTGTGACATGGAGACCCATGGAGAAGCACATGACTCCGGACATGAAGCTGTGGAGGTGTTAGCCCAAAATCATTGAGATGGAGGAACAATGGACATACCCTTTACCAAGATCGGCATGTCGGTACTCAAAGTAGCCTTGCAGATTCTTGATGTTTGACCTATCCGCGTCGGTCTGTGCGATGAAAAAGTCGATTGTGTATTTGAGGAGCATGTCTGAAAGCTCCTTGTCGATCTGGCGGAACTCTTGGAACAAGTCGTACATGATCCATTGTGCAGGCTTCTCGCGATCTGGTAATCGATCTCCGCGACAACACTCAATGACAACAGCGTTGTGCGCCTTTCCCTCTTCCACGGACATGCGATCGAGCATATCGTCGATCAAGAAGCCGGTGGTCAAGAACTTGCACACACCAACCATGCGATCATCAAGCCCCATGGGGCACAATATGCAGTTGAACCATGCGTAGCCTTCGTCACAGAACCGCTTCTTGTGTGTCTCTGTTTTGAAAGGCCAGTTTTTTATGAAGAAATCATGGCACTCATCAACAATCTCTTGTGTACGGGGATGTAGCTCGGCTGTCACTCTGGTAGGACGAAGCTCTCTGGGGAGATAGGGAAGTTCCGTGGGCGCAGGAGGAGGGATCCTGGACCCCTTGGTGCTTGTGAGAACGCGCTTGTCGATGGGACCAGGAGTGCTGGTGCTCGAACCCATTGGGAGGAAGTCTCTGAACCGGCGTACCAGTTTAGAGTAGATTGATGCATCTATCGGAGCCATGATGACTATAAAACGAGTACAGCGAGTAAAAAGGGTCGGAGAATGAACCGTGAACAAAGGCCCTGGAAACGGTTGGGATCAGGCAACTTCTATGTTAACAGCCATATCTGAAAGAGCCCCGCCGGTTCAGCCCTCGGACTTCCACACTAAACAGCTAGTTACAACCGCCCGACCCGCCTGTCACGGAAGGGCCGCGCGCCTCCCGCCTGGTGGATCATACGCGGCTCAGTCTAGACGCTTTTCGAGGTTGCATAAGCGCGCAGTCGTCTCGTCTGAGACCTGTTGCTCCCACAATTGGCTGCTTGTCCGGGTTGTAACGTCGCTTTCTATATTTCTCAGTTGTTCATTTGTCGACCTCCTTGCAATGGCCCCCATGAACTAGATTAGCGGTTTATGCATCGTCTTACTCGGCCTTGCTACACTTCTTATCCCTGAACAAAAACTGAGTGGCACTTCTTCGACGGACATACCAATGAACGCTCCGCCCCTGTACGTATGAACACATACATAGGTTCGCCCGCCCCTCGTTCATTTCCGTCGAACGGAGCGTTCTCCATGGTCTATCCCAGAGGCCTTGGTTTGACGGAACATGGACAGGGTTTCGGATCTCGAACGACATCTTGGAGCCGGTGTAGACTCGGTTCCGAGAGGACGGTTCGACCTTCCGGTCTTCTCTCCCCTCTCGTACTGGCTCTGTGCCGCGACCAACTTTTTGCCTGCCGAATCGGCCGCCGTACCCATTCTTCGCATCTCGAATGTCCGCACCTGCGGGGCATGGCGTGTCATCCTCCAAGATGCGGGTTTCGCCCGGTTCGCTTCCCTTGCCAAACGCTTGCCATGACTCGGCATCTTTCGTCAGCAGAATAAAGGTCTCACGTGTGTGATAGAAGATCGATACTGGAGAAGGTAAGCACGCTGTCAGATTTGAAGTAAAACGCTTTGGCTAGAAGGCATGTACCGCAACTACACCGCCACTAGGCTCATCGCCCCCAAAACCGGGCAGGTAGCATGTAAATTGGCCAACACCATGGTGGATTGAGGTCCGTTCTATACGCATATTTAGTGTAAGTGCTATCAACTCTAGTGCGTGACGTCGTCTATTCCTGTCCAAATTGAACGTGCTGCCAGGGGTGATGCTGATGGTATGAGGCTGGAAAGATAAGGTTTGAGAAGGACCAGACCCAAACGATGAGTACAAAATGCATCTTTGCCTCGACAATGCCGCTGTGAATTGCTCAATGATGGCGTGAACAAAGTAGATCGCTAACCCGTATCGATTGTCCATGCTCCTAAACCTTGCAGATAATGCATATACGCCATACAACGTGGCAATAAAGGCCCGTCATCGGCTAAATAGCCTCTCACACTAAATACAATGGGGAAACTCTCGGCTGTTTGGCGGATCAGAACCTGTGGATTGGGTGTCCAAACACAGGGTCGTGGCTCCGCGCTTGGAATTGCTTCGGTATATATTTTTCCGCGATACACGCCCGGGCCGTCGTCACTGACGTGTTGGTAGCTCATTGCGTATGCTGTTAGCCTGTTGATCTAACACCTTCTTGCGACGTCGTTGGGCGAGAACATTGCTAGCGAGAACACCCCCAATTTGCCGGTGACTCGTGCGGCTGCACCAAGGCGCAAGCTATGGCGCCTAAATCAGTGCGCTAGTGGCCGCTGGCGCCTCGGACTTCAGGACGAACGTTTACGGTTCGTTTACGGTTCGTTCAAAGTATCGATCGCCATGCTGATGGTCCATTGTAACCTGTTGAAGGAGATAGGAGGTGTTCTGCGTGCGTTTGTCCGACAGATTTCGCTTTCGGTAGCTTTTCACCTCGACCGCCGATGAACTGAAAGCTTTTCATTACGCCGGAACAACCGCACCCATCATCAAGATCTACTGTGGTTTTACTGCATGTTACCATAGGTCTGAGCTTCAACGTTAGTTCCTTAGCTCTAAACGACATCCTGGCGCAGCATTGCAGAAACGTGAACTATGCGCAGCGGCTTTCTCGGATAGGAAGCTAGCCAAGCAGGTGCCAAACATGCATGAAATCGTTGGCTTTTTATTGAGTGATAGACAATTTTAGACATTATGGAGACATGCAGAGCATGGACAACTAGTTGACACAAACTTCAGCTTCGGACGGCGTTGGAGGATCGCATTCATGTCTCCGAGTGGGCCATGACCAGCTGCCTTTGCTGAAATGCGTATGCAATTGACCACTGGACACAGACTTCGCGTGATTGACGTGGTCCTATCCTTTCACCCTTGTTCGCATTAAAAGTGGCCACTTCCCTGAGGCGCTCCCTCTATGTGTAGCGATCCTCGGTGCGGCCGAGACAACGTGGAAATTGTATCGCGTAATGAGACCGTCAAGTATTCAAGGTCTGGACTACAAACAAAGTGTGTATTTCGTACTCTTGCAGCGACAAAGAGTGGCTTACGTTTTGTTGCCAGAGGTCTTACTGTTTCTTCGACAAAGTCTTTACCTGCTTACAAAAAGGCGAACAATGCGAAATGAGAAGAGTGTATTTGCTAATTTTGAGGTGGATATGGCTCCCTGAAATTGCTGATTTGCTGATTTGACGGCTTTGTTTCCTAACGAGAAAGTAGAGTGATGACTGGCAAGATATCCGCTACAGTGATGACCAGACCGCTCTTCTACTTGCACACCACTCCTGATAGACACAAGTATCTCACATAGAGACTTTATGTTACGTGCAAGAGTGTCCCAGATGATGATGTTGCCTCGGGCCATAGATAGCCATTTCTTAACGCGGTTATTCAGGCGACGTACCTCATTGGTCTTCGACGTGCCTTTACCGGGGTATATTGACGAACTATATATCTCACCAGGATCACATGTGATACAATGGCGCCATTTCCAACACGACTGACTCCTGTCCCGCAGTATTATACGTCTCCGCATGGGCACTTTCTGGAGACAATCGCTATCTTCAGGCAAATGCATTCATACCCGAGCGATATAATGGTCTGAACCAAGACGCCAAGATAGCTAACATACAACCTAGTCACTTTTACTGGGACTTCGCGTTTGTCCAGGGTGGCGGTGGCGGTGAGCGTTGCTGGAAATTCCTGAAGAGCAATCGCTAACAAGAACGAGTTCACTTTTTCTCAATGCCCAGGTTTCGCTTCATATAACGCAAATCAATTTCTTGTTTATTCATGGAGCCTCTCGAAAGGAGTAAGGAATCCAAGTCAGACTCCAGGGTTCAATTTTCGTTGGTGGAAGGCAAGTAGTACCCGCAGTGTTTACGACAGATAGCACGAGCGGGTAACATTTGAGATTGTTTACATTCTGGGGCCAGAATCATCGGACCTCCGCGCCGGGTCTAAAGTCTAACACGCCGTCGTTATCACACTAGAGTGTAAACGAAACTGGTTGCCCAATCAAGGTTTTCAGGCATGCGTTCATCAAGTGAACTCACGTTGGAGCACCTATCAAGCATGGGTGTTCATAGTCGTTGCATGACAGTACTCGACTATGCCAACGTTCAGTGTGTAGACAAGAATATACCTTGAATCGTGATTCGTATCATAAGTTGATGCATGACCTGAACTCCAGAATCGCAATTTGACTACTGCAGCACTAAAGACCGCCGTTCTCGCGCCAATGTTGTACGACAACACTTGGACTGCAAAGATGAAAAAAGCAACGTGCAGTTACAGGAAATAGCCTCGCTTGGGTACCAGCTCCCTCTTAGGCATAAAGCATTCTGCCTTCACATTCCCTCACGATTCTGCTGCCAACACAACCATCTGTCCCGTCCTGCCAACAACTCGACTAGAACGATCGCTCGGGATGAACAAAGTTGATGAGCCAATACGCTCCACTCGCCACAGCGGACCCGAGGAGCGGCCCGAGCCAGTAGATCCAATGGTATGTAGGAAATCCAACCACCACACAAGGACCAAAGCTGCGCGCCGGATTCAAGCTACCACCGGTGAAGAAGGCGCTGCAAAGTTCAGCAACGAATAACGCCATGCCAATGTGCATCGGTTTTGCCGGGCCGCCCTCGAGCATTAGGATAGTCAGAATCAACATCGACGTGACGAAGGCTTCGAGGAACAGACCACGAGCAGTCGAGATGGATGGGTCAAGGGTGGTGGCGACACCCAGCGGCCCGGGAAGTAGTGCTGCAATGAAGCCCGATGCAGCCATTCCGGCAATCATCTGCGAGATTATGGTATGAACCATGCGACGCCAATCAATCTTTCCAGTAATGAACAGCGCCATGGAGACCTAAGCGTGAACTATGTTAGTCGGCGTTACAAACTATCTCCTGCGGGCCTGAGGGAAAATCTACTAATGAGGTCGCACGATGCGGGGTTGAAAGATAGGGTAGTACAAAAACAGCTGGGCTGAAACTTACAGCAGGATTAAACTTTCCTCCACTGACATCAGCAAAGATAGCAACGTTGATTGCGAGCGATAATCCAAATGCAAAGGCAATGTAGAGCAGTTTGTTGACATTGGGTGCTGAAGGGCTGTCTGAGTCGAGTGTAGGAGCGACTGCGGTTGAGTTGATGGCTATTTGAGTTCCACAGAAAGCAAGGGCGAGGAACATAAAGGTACCAATGAATTCTCCAATGAAAGCAGTAAGTTCTTTCCGGAGAGTGTGGCGCAGAGGGCGCTTCTCAGATTGAACAGTCGAAGAGGAAGTCTCGTGATGTGGGAGGCCGGACTCCTTGTCGTCAGTTCTTTCGATAGACATGCTGAAAAGAACTGTCACGATGGTGTCAATTACTGAGAAAAGATTAAAGAACTTCGAATTTTGAAGAGAATATGATGAGAGAGCTGTGCTTCTTCGATATTCTCAAGTGAGTGCTCCCGCACCGTTGTTATATGCTTCGTGGGAGACGATAAGAAACAGCACCTGTCCGGCGTCACATTCCTCTGTACAACCCTTCTTCCGAACATCACCGTACACTCCTGAGATGACGATGCGATGCTTTCGTGGCTGAACGCTATTTGCCCGTCGGTTACTAAGAGCTTTTACTTAAGTCGACTTCTGTGCAGCTTGCTCGTTGCGGACACAACGTTCATGTAGATCGGGAAACAGGCGTTTCTGAATCATGGAAACCGCGATGATCGAGCCTGGCAAGCCTCAGGTAGGGTATCACAAATACGACAATCCATCAGAGCTTCACTGAAGGTTGCGACGCCATCGTGATGATCGTGTCGCCTTGTGATCCGACGGCTCGCTGTGCGCTCGTGAATGTGTACGACAATATCAAATCTCTCCGCCGCATCCTAGTCTATCGGGTGCGATTATGGCCTCCACGGAATCTGAATGCACTGTCGTTCGAAACATCTTCCTGTAAAGCTGTTCCGGGCAGAGATGGCCACAATAGAGTGAATAAGTAGCAGCTTGGATTGCTGTATCGTTTTTTGCAGTGAAAGTATCGACAGATACGCCAAACAAATGAAAGCTATAAGGCTCCGTCTTCCATTTGCCCGCACGACTTGTGCGTATCGAACATTGGTTTGTTAGATCTCTGGAGCGACGAGTATTAGTGTTTCGATTGTGATATGCCCACTTAAGGTGATACGGCATTGCCTAATATCAGGCGGGATACGAATGCCTATTTCCCATCCGTTAGGACATCTGTTACAGGCTTTCCAATGATACGAACCGTGTGGAAGGTCTTTTCCGGTAGCTTGTAGGGATTTCCATCCTGCATGCGCTTCGTATCGATGCTACCCATTTCTCCGTCGGTTTCTGGGCAACCGCTTTCCAACCCATGGCTGTGATGGTCGGTATGCAGCAGATAATGGTGACTAAGACATACTAAATAGTCATTTGGAAGGTCTTCGCAATCGTGGTCATAGTTTACTGGCAGGTGAGGAAGCAAAAAAGACGTTGTGCGCCACACCTTTTGGGTACTGTAGTGCTGTTGATGCAAACTGATGAAATCACCAGGTGCCGTAGCGTGTGTAACGTAGCGAACCTAACTTCTTCACGCATGTCGTATCCCACCCCTCCCAACCCTCCCCCATACATGTCTTCTGAGCGATGTTGCTGCCATCAAGCGATTGTCGATGGCAAAGAAGATCCACCGCTGCAGCTTTGAATCTCAAGATGATGACAACCGCATCGACGACCGAAATGCCTCTAGCGCCTGTGGCACGATTCAGCCCGCGTAATCGGTATTTGATCGACATTGTACGAGATGAGCGCCCCAAGGGGAGGCAGCCTCTGGCTTGCAGTCGTTAAACTTGAGATCGGCGCATGGGTTGTATTACTGCCTGTGTCGTGCATCAGCGCAACTTCCACTACTGATCTGCTGACCTTTGCGAATAAGAAGTGCCATCTTTTCTCTCATCGCATCTGGAGAAGGCTTTTGAATGTTATGGATGATGAAGATAGGAAATCACAATGTTCTGGGTCGCTAGGCGGCTAATATGTGATGGCCTTGAACTATTGAACTCGCAAGTGCAGCCGAAGGTACATGGGACCAGAAGTTTCAAGACATTGCTGGAGGTGCGACAAGCCCAGGCCACTGTAAAGAATTGAACAGAAATGCGCTTGCGAGTAGAGGGCAATACGGGAGCTTTCTCCGAAGATCACTGGCGTCGCTGTCTATGAAGTAGCTACCCAGGTAGGTAGTTGCAGCTTGGACGACTTCAACTCACAGAGACGAAACATGCAACCCGTGAATCCGTCTGCTTCAACCTGGGTATAGGTTTTTTCGCACTCTGGTTTTGTAATCAGTTTTGCCTTCTGAAAGAGAAAGCGAGGCCGCATTTCAGGATGACAATCTCAATCATGAGGCTCCGTTACTGGTACCCCGCAGCGTGCGACATTGCGTGGCTGCGTCTCTTTCTGCACGATCAGGGCTCATCTACCTATCGTCTCTCGCTAAAGCCAACACCTGAGCCTGTCTCTTGCAGTTACCCATCGCTTTTCCCAGATTACGCTTCGACCTCTAAAACCAAACACAAAACATGTCAGGCTGTAGCCCCATGCGCTGAGTGGAACCATTTGTCTCCCCAAGGCGATACGACAGAGGAAGGCATGGCCTGTGAACAAGGTACTAATTTCACATTGGACGTCATGTACCGGCAAGCTAATGATTGGTGACGAAGCATCCGCTGGTGCGCCTGAGAGAGATTCTCGCAGCGGAAACTATGAAGCAGTCAAACAAAACACTTCCGGAACACACAATATGACATCTCCAACCAATAGCAGTGAACATGGAGAAGGAGAGAACATCACTACCCGGTCATGGAGCGTGAATGATGTGTTCTCCAATTGGGAAGATCGGTATAAACCAGAAAGTCAAATATCACAGGCCGATTTCTTTCGCCCCACAGAATTGGCATCTCAATCTGCAAGAACTACACGAGCGATTCTAAGCATAGAGGATATTGGTCAACCGATGCAGCCATCTGTTCCTCGTATCACTCTCACGGAACCCGAGGACCACGTTACTACACCTGGCTCATCTCAGCCAACTCTAGTGACTGCTCACGCTGATCAGAAGACGCACTTCCAGCCAAAACAGCGTACTGGACTTACACATGAAAGAAGCGCTCTTGAACGAAGACATAGCAGTGTCATGCCAGAATCATGGGATGAATCACACAATGCCTGGGGAACATCTACCCGTAAATTGCCTACAGTCTCATCGCAACCACAAGAGTGGACAGCAACCACGACATCCCCAAAGAGAGGATGGACAATGAAGACAAGAAATAGCACCAGTCACAAGCTTCTGCCGTCTGTTGATATTGTCATGGTCTACATGTACGATTCTGCCCTATGTGACGAAGACCTGGATAAAGATGCCGACTTGAACCCTTTCCGTTGCCGCGTTACAACTGGTATAGACATCATGGATACGAGCCCACCTAAGAAGATCCGACGCGCGCGAACAGAAATTACCAAACAGCAGAACGAGACTTCTGCCACTTTTCATTTATCTAGGGGGCGTCAGGTACACAGAGGTGAGCTCTCGAGATACACTGAAGACTCCAAGGATATCTTCGTCAACTGGCTACACGACGAGAATATGCTAGAGCGACAGATGCATGGATCGAGGATATCAACGATCGGTTTCGACATTTCTCCTAAGAGCTCAGCTCCGGATGACCTTGAGAGCGCCGCTGAACAACTCAATGAGCATCTTCATGTCTTACGGCACGAACACCAGCCGCCAATACTGCTTCTCGGCCATGGTTATGGCTCACTCATCATTATATCTTCCTTGAGCTTCGCCTCAACTCCGACATCAAGGTTCAAGAGTATCTTAAAGAATGCCGCTGGCTTGTTCATCTTCTCCTATCCAGATCTTGACCAAACACCGAACAAGGACATGACTGCAGATCGAAAGTACAAGGACGTCAAGACCGAAAAGATAGAGAGGCTGCACAGTTCTGCTCTCAAAATATCAGGTCAGACAGTCGACAGCAAGCTTTTCTCTGTCTTGAAAAAGGAGCATGAGGCTGTGCAAGATACTGGCCCTGGATCGAACGCACATTCAAGAAGCCAAGTCATCCCAATAGCCCTCCCCGTCTTTCATTCGGTTGTCTCATTCCAGCAACGTTCTTCCGATGCTCGATTCAACAAGATGCTTGGTGCGCCACCTCAATTCGTGGTTATGAGTAAAGAAGACAAGAACCTAGCGCTTTTTACCAGTTCTACGGACACGGACTTTCAACGTCTCATTGTGTCACTTCAAAAAGGCTTTACATACTCGGCAACTACTTGTCGCTGCAGCGATGGCAAGTATCCACGACATTCAATCGACGATAAAGAGCTCTACAGACCTCAACCTAGCCGATCGATGGTGAGTGGTTTCACCGTCAAGTCTGCATACTTCCCTTTTTGGACCTACTGAACAATATGAAATAGGGGTCAGACCACCCTACACCTCGCAGTTCGCCTAGATAACGAGGTCGTAGTGCATAGGCTCTTGCGTCAACCAAGTATTGATGTCAATGCGCGCGACCTTCGGTCTAACACAGCCCTCCATCATGCTGTCAGGAAAGGTAACGAAGCAATCATCACCGCCCTGTTGCATCATGGAGCCGACGTGGAAATAAAGAATACGCGAAAAAAAACTGCTCGAGATATTGCTGAGTCAAGAGCGTCGCGTAAAGCCATTGCGAAGATGCTCAGAAGTCGGCTCGTCAGCGGACCGGAGACCAATGCTGTCGCCAAACGTTTCGGTGACGGCCGACCACCTGTCTCAGAGCAAGGCAAGTCTGCATGCATGAACTCTCAGATCACCATTACAGAAATGTTCAAATCCGGGACAAGCGACAAGTACTGGAGTGTCGACGTTTCAGTTGCATCGTTCTTGTTATGGCAAGAACAGGGATTGATGACATCCTTCAGCAAGTCCGACCAAGGAAGGTCCAGGAAAATCGCCCTTATGTACCTGGATACATATACCAGAGAACAATGTTAGTTGATCAAATTGGATGCCGAATGCATGCTAAACCAACACAGCTCATATGGGTAGAGGTAGGGATCATGGATGGCGAAACATCGAAAAAGTCTAACACTGAGTGTGTAGGATCTTTTCGACAGGCTTCATCTTCAGAACCTTAATCAGAGTTTCTGGAAGAGCACCCGCCAATGGATCACTTCGTCATTACGAAATGTTGGTTTTAGCCCCGGCCATTGTCGCAATGCCTAATAACAGACAGCGCACAATCACGCCTCACGCTAAGTCGGACCAGATGCACTCAACCTTTGTTTGTAACACGTATCTATTATATGATCTACTTTTGACAAATTTACAGATTCCCTATCTAAGTTACGAGGCTCAGCACCTGCAAACAAAAACGCGCGAAATATATACGCTCAATGCATACAAGACATCTAGAGAAGGAAGGTCTGAGCTCATTACCCCAGATTGTATTCCCAGCGGTGGTACAAACTGAAAAGCTACGGATTCCGCAGGCGATCGACCGTAATATTCATCCTTATCGCGATGATTCCGAATCAGATGGTTTTGATGACACCAATGCCAGCGATTCTGAAGACATAGAAGAGGAGGAAAAGGCTTCAATTAGCACATATCTCAACGGGCCTCCGGCATTACATACTCGTCGGTACGTGTATCATACCGAGTCGATCGAAGCGCGTTAAAACAAGTAGCACTCTGGACCAGTTCTATTATCATATGCTCGAGAACACGACAGAGCGCGACCAAAGTCAAGTAGTCTCAAGATGGTCCCAAAGAGATGATCCAGCAGCACAACATAACATTCTCATGGTTGATCAACTCTGGCTTTGGGCATTTAGTATAGATCAGTCAGGACTCAAAAGAGAAGTCATTCGGAGCGAAGAAGAGTGGCTGCCACCCGGCGGTTATATCGTAACAAGCTTCCCAGGCCGTGTGGGAGCAGGGCGTACGCCACGTCAAAAACATGACGACCTTAGGCTCCAGATCCTTGAACCAAGTGGACGTAAACGCAACCCTATCAGTCGACCTGCAGATCTTGTATCGCGCATCCTCGAGACTTGTTGCGCTATCTTTGATAGGTTACACGAAGTTGAAGAACTTCGTTTCTTCATCATGTTCGAAAGCTCAATTGGGTCACTTGTAAGTCTCATGAAAAACGTCAAACTCGCTATCAGTACTTATAATCACAAGGACGATAAAGAGAGTCGCCTTTTCCGGACATTTCAAAATCAGTCCACACAGCTGCTCGATCTGGACGCGACGAACAAGTACTACCAAGAGCGTAAAAATACGCTTCTGAGAAATATGCTCGATATACGAAAGGAAATTGAGTTTCTGGTAGAGGTCAAAGACATTCGAGACGAGATCAACATTATCCTTTCCGTGCTCCATGTCCAGCAGAACGTCATCGGGCAGATGAAAGCACTTGCAGACCCACTTCTGTTTCCAAACGAGATGACAGCCGAATCACTTATTGAGACTGATATTGCCGATTTTGCAAGACTCAATGAGCAAGCCAGATCTATCCAAGATAAGGTACCAGTCCAAAGACACTTATTCTAATCCTATAATGCTAACTTCGAAAAGCTTGAAACACTGATGGATCTCAAGCAAAAAGCTGCAAATGCATGGGAAGCACGAGAAGCTCGCGAAACTGCTGTAGCAGCGAGCAAGCAGGGTAATGTGGGTATTCTCGTTGAAAGACCGTGCCAGAGGCTCACACTCAACCTCAGATTGTTCTCGTCTTCACGGTTGTCACCATCATCTTCCTGCCCTTGTCATTCATGTCAGCGTTCTTCACGATCGGCATCTCCGCCTTTCCCAAGGACAGAGTTAGTGGAGAGACAAGTTGGCCCATGGGTTTGGTTACAGCGATACTCTGTAAGTCTCGACACCGTATATCCACAAGCACACATCTGACTCGAATCCATAGTCGGCGTGTCTCTCTGTGTGTCCTTGCCATTGATCGCCTTTGCCTTGAACATGGATTACTGCTCCGCCATGTTCAACGAACTGCGCTACAATTATTGTGCACACGGCTGCATCAAGCTCATCAAGATATTGCCACACCCGGCTGCACACAGGAGACTAAACTCGCGTCGCACAGACTGGCTTGAGAGACTCAAAAAGTCTCGCGAGCAGTATCTGAGGGTAGAAGTCGATCACATGGTGCCGGACGACACAGAAGGCCGTGCTAAACGAATGGCTAGCGCAATGCTTAGAGCATCAATGCCAACGGGGACTCAGACGCGAGGACGTATGAGCTCTAGTAACGACGCGAGTATCGCTTCGCGCACATCGAACGTCTTTCAAAAGCTGCGTAGGCGTGGTAGAAAGGAGGATGAGGAATGTCTGTTCCCCGAAGCTTGAGACGTGATGCAAGTACGGGTTCGCAATTGTACCAGCGCAGCCCAAGACCGTCTCCGCGAACGCAAATATCCAGGAACGAAAATTTTTGTAGTACCAAGTGGAATGTGAAAGCCGCGTGATTTGTGTTCTCGTCCGACTCATTGACATTGACTGACATAAAGGTCATGACGTTTGAACATTGTATTGTACATGATCTACTGCAGCCAGGCTACGATGACCGCGCCTCGACTTGTGTTTGTGCAACCTCGCTGTCTGCCACCAGTGCAGTGCTTTCCTCCTTCTTCGACTTCTTGGGGATTTTGACGAGTTTATTCGGCAGTTTGTAAAAGTCGACATCCTGGTAGTAGTGCATCTCGCGCTTCATCTTCTCCTCCGGGTATACCTTCCGTGGCGGTGGCAGCACTCTGTCATCGATGCCCTTCTCCTTGGCCACACGCATTTGGCTGACCATTTCGCGCAGGCCTTCAACACCATCTTTGCGGAACTGGAGTGGTTTTCTTGACATTCAAGGCTGTCATTCTGTCCAGCTGCCTGTTTTGGGGGTGTTGTGCTAGGGTTTTCGCGGTCATGGCGAATTTAAGGTCTTTGGGTCCATCGACGAGTTCGAGGATGGCGGATTCGGCTTGGTCTTCTTTCATGGGCTCGATGCGCAAGACACGAGTGTAGCCGCCCGGCCTGTTGGCGTATCGCTCTCTTATTGGTCCGAAGAGCTTGGGTACCAGCTCGTTTGGCTCCTGACAGCTGTTAGCATGCAACTGGGAATTCATGTCACAACGATTCATACATAGAATATCTGTGTAGCTCTCCGCCGGGTCGCTTCTGTGTTCTTCTTGCCCAATGTCACAAGCTGCTCCGCCAGCCGTTGTGCTTCTTTCGCCTTGTGCCATGTCGTTGCTATTGATTCGTTCTTGAAGAGCGATGTGACGAGATTTCGGAGCAGCGCCTGTCGATGTTGTGACGACCTGCTCAGGTGGCGGTATTTCATGTGGCCGCCCGCCATGACGGACAATTGGGACTACGAGTCGCGGTCGTGTAGGGAAATGGTGAAGTGGAGGGCCCGCAGCGGGTGGTGATGTCGTCGCTGGCTGGTTTGATAGTATCTCGTGAAAACCTCGGAGCTGGGGCACTTTTCGCCGATGCGGGCTAGCCCAGCCCACCCCTGTCCTATGCAACCACTTAATCGCGAAACGCGTTACTTGAGCCTTGCCCGTGCTTTTCCAGACGCGTCCACGCGCCTTAAAGAGCCTCCCCTCCTCCCACAACATTGACGCAACCTGCACCACCTTCCTGCATACCCTTGATACCCCCTATACCCATACTTCTTGCACGTTCAACATGTTTGTCTTCAAGCGCGGTAAGTCTTCCTCAATCCCCGTCTTCGCTTCTATCAGTTTCTGCACGTCGACCTCGGACTGACAAATCGACTCCAGATGGACGCAAGGAACGCGTGCAGTTCGACAAGATCACAGCCCGCGTGTCGAGGTTGTGTTACGGGCTCGACCCTGACCATGTCGACCCTGCTGCCATCACAATGAAGGTCATCTCCGGTGTCTACCACGGAGTAACGACCATCCAGCTGGACGACCTGGTATGCCACTTCTACGCGTCATTGCGTCTCTCAGTACTGACTATTACAGGCGGCCGAGACAGCGGCATACATGACCACCACACACCCCGACTATGCCATCCTCGCGGCGCGTATCGCCGTGTCCAACCTTCACAAGCAGACCAAGAAGCAGTTTTCCGCTGTCGTCTCAGATCTGTACACCTATGTCAACCCCAAGAACGGCAAGAGCCAGCCCATGATCTCAGACTACATCTACAAGATCATCCAAGACCACGCTGAGGAGCTCAACTCGGCCATTGTCTACGACCGCGACTTCAACTACCAGTTCTTTGGCTTCAAGACGCTAGAGCGCTCATACCTCCTCCGCATCAACGGCAAGGTTGCCGAGCGCCCACAACACATGCTGATGCGTGTTGCCGTTGGCATCCACGGCGAAGACATTGAGAAAGCAATTGAGACATACGACTACATGTCGCAAAAGTACTTCACACATGCCTCGCCCACGCTGTTCAACGCGGGAACTCCCAACCCTCAGATGTCATCCTGCTTCCTCATCGACATGAAGGAGGACAGCATCGACGGTATCTACGACACACTGAAGACGTGTGCGCTGATCTCCAAGACCGCTGGCGGCATCGGACTCAACGTGCACCGTATCCGTGCCACCGGCTCGTACATTGGCGGCACCAACGGAACATCTAACGGTCTCATCCCCATGCTTCGTGTCTACAACAACACCGCTCGCTATGTCGACCAGGGTGGCAACAAGCGCCCTGGTGCTTTCGCCATCTACCTTGAGCCATGGCATGCGGATGTGTTCGGCTTCCTTGACCTTCGCAAGAACCACGGTAAGGAAGAGGTGCGAGCCCGTGATCTCTTCTACGCCCTCTGGATCCCCGATCTCTTCATGAAGCGAGTGCAAGAGAACGGCGAGTGGACACTCATGTGTCCCAACGAGTGCCCTGGTCTTGCCGATGTCTACGGTGATGAGTTCGAGGAGCTTTACACCCGCTACGAGCGCGAGAACAAGGGTCGTGAGACTGTTCGTGCTCAGAAGCTCTGGTACGCCATTCTTGAGGCACAGACGGAGACTGGCAACCCCTTCATGCTGTACAAGGACGCTTGCAACAGGAAGTCCAACCAGAAGAATCTCGGTACCATCCGCAGCTCCAACCTCTGCACTGAGATTGTCGAGTTTACTGCTCCCGATGAGGTCGCCGTGTGCAACTTGGCTTCCCTCGCCCTTCCGTCTTTTGTAGACTACAAGCGCGGCGAATTCGACTTCCACAAGCTTCACGAGGTGACCATGGTCGTCACTCGTAACCTCAACAAGATCATCGAGGTTAACCACTACCCTGTGGAGGAGGCACGCCGCAGCAATTTCCGCCACAGGCCCATCGGCCTTGGTGTTCAGGGTCTTGCTGATGCTTTCCTCGCACTTCGTCTGCCTTTCGAGTCGCCTGAAGCCAAGAAGCTCAACACCCAAATCTTCGAGACAATCTACCACGCTGCTCTCACCTCATCCTGCGATATTGCCAAGGAGCTTGGTCCATATGCCACATACGAGGGTTCACCTGTGTCCAAGGGTCAGCTTCAGTATGATCTCTGGGGTGTAACTCCTTCCGACCTTTGGGACTGGGCTTCATTGAAGGACAAGATCGCTCAGCATGGTGTGCGCAACTCTCTCCTGGTTGCGCCCATGCCCACTGCCTCGACTTCGCAGATTCTTGGAAACAACGAGTGCTTCGAGCCATACACGTCGAACATCTACTCTCGTCGTGTGCTGGCTGGTGAGTTCCAGGTCGTCAATCCTTGGCTCCTCAAGGACCTCGTCGATATGGGCCTCTGGTCTGAGAACATGAAGAACCGCATCATTGCAGATGGTGGTTCCATTCAGAGGATCCCCAACATCCCTGAAGAGACCAAGACCCTTTACAAGACGGTCTGGGAAATCTCGCAGCGTACCATCATCCAGATGGCTGCTGACCGCGGTGCCTTCATCGACCAGTCTCAGTCATTGAACATCCACATGAAGGAGCCCACCATGGGTAAAATCACGTCCATGCATTTCGCCGGCTGGAAGCTCGGTCTGAAGACTGGCATGTACTACCTCCGTACCATGGCCGCTTCTGCTCCTATCCAGTTCACCGTCGACCAAGAGGCCCTTCAGGTCACTGATACCAACGTTGCCCGCGCCCTTCCCAAGACGCGCAAGCAGCCTGGTTTCCAGAACGGAACTACTTCGCCCAGTCCTTCTCCAGCACCACGTCCTATGTATGCCACCAAGGCGCCCAATGCTGCTGCCGACACCAACGGCGTGCCCACACCTATTGCCACACCGCCTCCTGCTGCCGAGAGAAAGGCTGCGCCTGTGGAGAATGCACTTGCCAGCAAGCCCTTCACCGCTGATATCGAGGAGGGTGATAGCCCAAAGGTCATCGCTTCGGATCCTGCCAGCAAGCCCGATGAAGAGGCCCTGTCCAAGGACAAGCAGGACGAGGATGCCGACGAAGACACGAAGGGACGCGATGGCGACATTTATGCCGACGCTGTCCTGGCCTGCTCGATAGAGAACCCAGAGTCTTGTGTCATGTGCAGTGGTTAGGTTGACGTTTATGGTAATAGACATGTCTTGTATAGCACTCTTTTGACGGCGTTTGGGATACAATTGGATTATGGCTTGGTAACGCATGCATGCGAGGGGGGATGATTTGATGATTTGGATAATGGGTAGCTTAGTCTTAATGCCTGTAGCAATGTTACGTTGCCGTGTACATCTACATGTTTTCCTCTCAATCTAATTGTGTGAGGCTGGCAACGGCATTAGGAAAAAAATAGAAAGAATTTCTGCTAGAATTGTACCCGAAAGTAGTTCATCGGAGTACGAGGATGCGAGGCTGAGGTCTCTGACTTTTTTGGCAGCCTAAAGGATGGTCCACGCGAGGGGATCTGAGCGCTAACTGCTGTGGAGCGAATGATGGGGGTTGGAGCTCTGGTGGGGCAAGCTTGGCACAAGCAGTGCTCTTTGTGTGGATTCCCCATGAAGGATGACGAAGGGCTTGGAATTGTCTAAATACCGTCCATGATGGACTGAGGACTGCACATGGCGGTGAGGCCCACAATAGACAATGGATTGATGGCGTCCAAGGTAGGAAAATCAGCAAACATTCCCCACGTTCTCAGCTGTGACGTACCTAACTCCAAGCGCGTCAAAATGCAGGTGGTCTAGCAAAGCGGCGGCGCGACCATAGCAACCGCATCATGCAAAAGGCGGCGGTAGTGCATAGTCTAGACTTACTTTCTGTCTGCCATGCCGCATTGAGACGGCTGAAGCTTGGTCTTGCGTGCGCGAAATGGTGGAATTCGAAGGTTGGCAGCCGCCATGACGTCAGTACGCCGTCAGATCAGGTGCCCACTGTCACCATACAAAAGCTTCCTCATTCCTGGTCTTCTACCATCACTACCACTCGAAAACACTCACATTTACACAACCCCTCATCACCAAAACATCTAATCCACAATGGCGTCTCTTCACTGTAAGCATGCCCTCTGCAATGCATCCGCAATGGTCCAGAGACCACTCCGCAGTGTCACACAACGCAATTGCGACGTGTCTCGCAATTTTCACATCAAAACAAAATTCAATTGCTGACTCTCTATCCTCCAGACCTCCCTCCCGTCAAGCCCTCTGCCATTGCTCTCGGCACGGCCTTCAACCACGCCGTCTCGCTGGCCGTTCTCGGTCCCGTCTTCGGTGATGCCTACCGCCGCGCGCAGCAGGCCAACTCCAAGGAGGAGTACTTCCACAGCAAGGAGGCCGCAACCGCTGCTGCCACATGGGGTAGCTCCATTGTCGGCTCTGCCGTCCAGACATACGGTGTTGGTGCTTTGATCAACGCCACCGGTACCCTTACCTACAAGGGCGCTGCTTACCTCGGCTCTTTGATCTTCATGGCTTCCGCTGCTCCCTCCGTACGTCATCCCATCTTTACATGTTTTGATATTCCAAACCTAACAATATCCAGATCGTCTCCCAGGTCCTCACCGAGAAGCGCCCTCTTGACACCATCGCTGTCGGTGCCGTTGCCCGTGTGCTCGAGACCGTTGGCCTTAGCTTGTTCCTTACCTACTGGGGAACCCGCACCAACCCCTTCAACTAAGCGTCTCATTGTCATGAGCGTTTGAAGGCGTTTGGGGATTCTCATCTTGGCGGCTTAGGTTGATTGCCTCAGTCCATGGCAACGATGCAGATGACAAACAAAGAAGAAGGGCCGGTGAAAGGCTACCTTCGATTATGATATGTAACACTACCTCGAAATAAAAGGTTTAATTTCACTTCAACGTGTTGCCCTGTGATGTAGTTCTGAAGTCGTGAGTGGATGCGGTTGCGCGTTTCGGACCGAATGAAAGTGGGATTTGTGACATGCCATCGAATTTTGCAAATAGCATGGACGTTTGCGATGGTCTGCTGCAATGCTTGCACAACCAGGAGGGTGCAATATTGCAGAGTTTGTCTTCCCAACAGACGAGGAACCGCTTCCTCTTTCTTTAGTGTCACCGTCAATCATTATCATCTCATGTGCACATGATTGCAGGAGAAAAAGTGAAACCATCAGCAGCGCGCAACTTGCTCGTTGCACTACCGCAGGCTGTCAACCACGACGGAAATACCAAGAGCATCCGGCAGCCTGAAGCTAGACACAATATCTCTAAAATTCAATTGCGACTGCAACACCCTGTAAATCGCTTTTGGCACCTTGGTTGCTTTCCGCCGTAGGTGATAACCTGCAATATGTGCAAGAAGCGACAGAACTTTTCGAGTGATGAAACATTGAAGAAAGAATGAGTGCACATTGCGCGCAAGGCTTCACATGCCCTCTTCAAAAAGATTTTGCGTATGCTCAGCCCAGCATTCCGACAGAAACCTCCACCATGATCCAGTGACAAGCAAACCACAAACTAGCGCACCAGCCTGACTGAATTCTCGTACTCAACATGCACCTAGTCAAGCGAACAAGCACAAGAATACACAGCGGGTGTATAAAAAAAGCTCCTGTAACTGCAGACAGCGCTACAGCGAAAAAAATGACTCCCCCGGAAAGGCTCGAACTTTCAACCTCCTGATAAGCTCGCAAGGATAACAGTCAGACGCGCTAGCCAATTGCGCCACGGAGGATACATGTGAAATGTACCGAGGCGCGGTGAATTGCGCCGTGGCTTTCGATGGAGAAATTGAGATTTGTTTCCTTTATCAATTTGCAAAATCAGGTCTCTGGGAGAGTTGGTCAAAAAAGAGATGGTCGCCGGAGAGTTGGTCGGGGTAGGGAAGAGTTTGTGGTTGAGGTGGGGCATGGTGAGACCGGCGGGGAGGGCTAAATGGCCGAGATGCGGGCGGGTAGTGGGGTTGGGATACTGGGTTGGTAGGTAGAAGGGAAATGCTTTGGGGGGTTGATAGCGCATGGCGAGTCTGATGGTGATGTGCATGGCTTCAGGATGTCGCATATTCTACTTGTTGTTCTACCCAGTCTTGATAGATTTTCGTTGCCGAAGACAATGTGCGACACATACTACATGTTACCACCTGCGAGAGAAAGCGAACGGGGGCATCCAATAGCCTGAAGCTACACACTGTATAACTATGCATCAATTACAACGACGCGATGCCATGTATAGTTTTAGGCTTTGGAATCAGCTTTCTGACGCTGACACTTCCTGGTCACTTTCCGTCGCAGTTAGTAACCTGCAGCACAACAACATAGGCTTTGGCTCGAATGCGAGCTACAAATCAAACACGCTTTGGCGTAGGATGATTGGAACGAAGTGAAATATCTATCGACGTATCTATATGCTTATGCCTCTTATGCGAGTTATGATCCTGTGACGCCAACGACATGAATCATGTCTTTTAGATATCTGTCCGCAAAGCGACGTCGGCGTCATCTCGCAGTCCATCCATGTCTGCCATCATCAATCCTCGTTCTTCATCGCGATCTCCTCGCTCCCTTTCGCTCGACTTCTTCGGCTCCTCTCTATGCATCGCGACATATATCGCCGAGCCTAGAATCAACGACGACCCAATAATCGACAGAGCACCAGGCGTGGTTCCCCACACCAGTTTATCAAAAGTCAGCGCGAACAACATCTGCATGTACACCATACTTGTCGCGCGAGATGACTTTTCGTATTGGAGGCCAGCAGCGAGAAGAAATTGCTGAAGAGTGTCAGCCAAGTTGATGCGGACGTAAGAGTAATGTCTCACCATGACGAATCCGCATATTCCCAGGAATATGAGATAGCACCAGTCTTTCAAATATCTCGGAAGCAGGAAGCCGACATCAGGCATGGTGAACATGGCTACGATGCTAACAATCGTACACCACGACGCAAAGTAGTTAACCGAGATGAGCGGATGTGCTCGCTTGCCAATCCAGCGAATCGTTGTATAGGCGCCCGCTGCTCCAAACACTCCCAGCATTGCGAATCCTACTGCCATTGCTCGTTGCTGAGGCGTGACAGCATCGTAGTCGGCGGCAAAGCGGTCGGGCGAGGCCATTGTTGTGTTTGAAGGCAAAACGTCTCCATCCCCACTTGCAAGTGGTACAGACTCATTCGGGTGCGACTTCATCGATGCGAACAACGAAATTGGTCGCGCAATGAGCACAACGCCGAACAATGACACATATGCGGCTATCTGCTCCATTCGCGTGAACGGCTCGTTGATGAGGAAGCTACAAGCCCAGCATGCAAGACTTGGTGCAAGAAACGTGATGACAGTCGCGTCGGCAAGTGGTAAGTATAGTAACGAGTCTACACACATTAGCGAATGTTGACGAGTGGGATGATGTGAAATACGGTAGATCCAGCACAATCCACAGCCAATGCAGACACACCGCATCACATTCTGCATTGATAGCTTGAAGTACATTATCAAACACGCAAAGGGGTAGAATACTTACAATACATGCCGAAAACCCCGAAGAATCCTGTCAGGCCTCGAGCAATGAGTAGCGGTCGCACCTCCCGAAGGCCCCAAGGAAAGTGTTCGGTCTTTTTATACCACATGTACAGTGATGAGCATAGGACAGTTATGCTCATTCTCGCAAACAGGATGTGGAAAGGATGATAGCCTTTGCCTGAACAGGTCGTGAGCATAAGTCATCATATCTGATGACTACACTTTACTTACCATCGTTCCCCTCCATTTCCAATATTCGAGTAGTCACGTTCATCAGAGTGCCAAACAACTGCGCGATCAAAACAAGTGCCAGGCCCTTGTTTCTCACCCAAGACTGCTGTAACCTGCCACGTAAAGTCCTTGGAGGCGCAGGCGATCGGGAAGCATGTCTATAGCCAGGTATATGAGACGCACTGCGACCCAGCCGAACAGTATCGTCTACAGATAGAAGTGAGGGGTCTGGTGACAATGCTCGGATTGCCCCACGGCTGACGTACAGCGAGGCATCGGGCTTCTCGCCGGGGTTAAGAAGGGACGAAGAGTCTGCAGTTCTTTGTGGTTCCGGTTCACTCTGGAAGAGCTTTGCGTCGTCTGCCATTGTTGCAGGCAGTTCAGCAAGGTAGAGAGCGGAGAATGAATGACGAGGCAACGACACGGCGCAGACATGATCGCGACGGAAGGCTGATGGTTTGCAGTGCGCTATCCGTTAATAAGGAAGGCGCGAACTGGTGTAGCCGAGTCACAGGGCGACATTGAACAAAGCCCCATCTTTTTTTGCCGCTGGGGCTGAGCATTGTCCTGCATCTTCTTTCATGAGTAGAACAGTCGTTCCTAGACTGCGAAGTGTTAGGCAGGCATAATGTCGCGGCCGGATGATCAGACCAGAGGACATCTGTATGAGGTTTTCTAGGCCGAGGTGTCCAACGATGACGCTACCATTCCTGCCCCAAATGGCAACCGGGTACGTGGTAGCGTACCTCACCAACCACATGAGCACCAATCGATGACTTTCAGCGCAACTGCTTGACAACTCTCTTCACTCCGACATTATCATCCTCCTGAAGACTCGTTAAATGCGATGCCAGGCCAGTATCATGGGGCAGTTCGGTGCCTTGTTAGCCTTGCCGACAGCCTTGCCGCAAAGCCACACGCAGCCTTCAACTTCAACGAGGCTCCTGTGCATACTTACAGCGAATCGACGGGAAAACTTTTCGTGGTAAGTAGTATTGCAATAGCTTCACTTGGTCCGTGGTCCAAGTCGACTACTGCAAACTCTTTTCGTCTTACAGGCGTTCAGTAGGGTTAGATGCAGTGCGGCCAGGAAATGCACGACCTCGAATGCCGATCTTGTACCGTGGACGAGGTGGTGAGTGAGGAAATCCTTGCCTTGACAGAACATGGATGATGTGAGTTGGACTGATGGTTCACTAGCAAGGATTGCAGTCCTCGTCTTTTTTTTCGACCTTGCCTCTGTCCCGAAGTTCAACCTTGTATAGCACAGTTGAATGTGACACAGTTTCTGTTCTTGCATGCATGAAAACCCGTTGTGGCGGCAAATTTCCACGTGGATCCCTGTATGGGGCTGGACCGTCATTGCAGGCCGTCATCGTGTTCGTATAGATCCCAGTATGCTTGTCAACGCGCGTTCATCCCCTTGTCATCCGCAGTTGTCCGCTGCCTGTTCAAGCGCATGGCCAACAGTGACAGCCCTTCTCAATTCTTGATCCTCGTCGGCGACAAGAACGCCACATGCATGAGAAATTCGAATAGCCATGCCATGGCTTTGTTATGCGCCATATTCTCACCGATCAAGATGCTGACAGGCCAATGCTGTACAGAAACCCCATGCCGCCACCTTCTGACTGGGCAGAGTTTCCCCAAATTTCATGCCGCACCATTCTTGGCGAGTTGGACGATCATTGGCTGCATGCCCGAACAGGGTAGACGAGTCAACAACATACCATACGATGTTCATCCAGAATCCTGCAGGAGGGTTACCCGCTGTGGCCAGTGTGGGCCATGCACGGCCTGCTCGAGCGATCCCGCATATGGAACATGACCGTTGGCACAGCCGTCTGCAGGTGCAGGGATCACGAAATACTACAACAGCGAGTAGGTGTTTCAATTTTTAGAATTATCGTAGTATTTCGCACGTAGAAGTCTGCAGCAAAAGAAGCAAGTGCCGTCCTGCCATGGTCAAGTGTAAAGAGGTGGAGCAGTGTCATAAGAGCTTTGCCACGAATCAAATAATAAATTGTTGGAAAGATTTGCAATTCTACTACTGCGTATAGGTACCATCATCATGCACAACACGCCCACCAATAATTGTTCTGTGCACCTTGATGTCTGGCAGTTGATCCAAGTGGCAGGTAATCGGGTTGCGGTCGATTATAATCAAGTCGGCATTCTTTCCAGGCTGTAGAGACCCCATCTCTTCCCATCGCAGGACTTTGGCGCCAGATGCCGTCCACATCCAGAACGCCTCATCACGAGTCACAACTTGTCGCGGTCCAGCGTTCGTCGTGCCACTCGGGTACATTTTATGGGTTACTGCCAGTTGCATCTGCTCCCATGGATTCGATGGACCCCAGTCACTGCTCGCCGCTGTGTTTACCCCGGCATCAAGAAGGCTTCGAAGTGGGTTCATCATCGGCAGGACTTGGGGCCCAACTCGATCTCTGTACATGTCGGCTTTGCCAAAGGTAAATGCAAGACTAATCGTTTGATCGATCCCTAGCTCCGCCAATATCGCTGGATGGTGCTCTTCTTGCATGATCCCATGTTGAACAACCCATTGGAGCTTCCCCAAGTTATATCGCTTCTTAGCCTTCTCAGCCTCGTCGATGAACTCCTGCAAGTCGTACGGGCTGCCGCAACAGAAGTTTATCTTGAAGTTGTTGGCAGCAGCAAAATCACAGATCATTGGTATTTGCCCGTCGCCAAGTAGGCGCATTCCTCGGGTAATATTGCCCCATGGATCCAAGTAACCCTTTGGCCAGTTCATATGACCGCACCAGCAGGGACCGGACAATGCAAATGTTGCTCCATCAATCCGGAACCATGGCGAATCGGTTTTTCTCAAGGCCAATAATTTTTCCAGGCGAGCTTGTAATTGTTCATTTGTTGGTTGAGGTTGTGATAAATGAGTAAGGTGTACCTCTGGTGAACACAGTACTCTCAAAGTCAATAGTGACTGGTCGTTGAACATCCTGTAAAGCTCAATCTCCTGGTCGAGCATGGCATGCCCCTCCCAAACCGCTGTAATGCCGTTCGCGTTGACCTTTTTCATGGCTCCGATGAGTGCAGGGGGAATTTTCTCTGGCGAGAAAATTGGCGGCATCTTCTTGAGTATAGAGCTCCAAAACGAGTCGAAGTTGTAGTATGCATTCACATTTCCGGTGAAGATGCCAGAAGGGTGACCGCTAGGTTCTCTGTTGATCCACACCTTACCCATTTGCTCTGGGCTTGAGGAATTGATACCCAGCATCTCCAAAGCCAATGTGTTGACTGAAACCGTATTCGGAACTCGAGGGGCCCATGCCTGAATCATAATGGGGTGATCGGGAGATCCCTGATCGAGGACGTGCCGGTCCGGAAAGCTGCCTTCTTCCAAATGTTGCCACGAGCGCCGGACGTAGAAAGAACCCTCGCCAATGGGAGTAGTAACTATCCACTCTCCTTTCGGAGTTTTGGCAGCTCTCTCTCGAATGAGAGCCACAATCTCGCCATGGTTACGGACGTTAGAGAGGTCCACCAAACCAGCTGCATAAGCCGAAAAATGAAGGACGTGAGGGTGTGTATCGATCAAGCCTGGGGTTATGGTTGCCCCAGCCACGGAGACGTTCTTTACTGATGGACCTGCAGTCTTGATGACCTCCTCATTAGAGCCGATAGCGGCAATCTTGCCATCACGAATGAATACCGCCTCCGCCTTTTCTCCTGACGGATCAACCAGAATGTTGGCGTCGGAATAGACAATGTCGACTTGTTCGGCGTTCATGGTTCTGGATATCTGGCAAAAATGAAAATGGGCTAATTCTCGAAGGAAAATCTCAGGTGATGTTGAAAGCTGAGAGAGAGGAGATCGCAATATTGAAAGAAAACAGGGCACAGAAGATGAGTTGAGGAAAAGAAGCAAGACGTTTGTCGTTGATTTTATAGGTTGGGCCTTTTGAAAACAGGAACAGAGGCATGTTTAGTTGCGGAGAAAATCAATTCCCCTTATTGTACGAATGTATCTCCTCTTGTTGTATGAATCATCTCCTCTCGATATACGAATTGTCTTCTCTTGCTATGCAAAGTGTTTCCTGTTGTTGCACAAAAGTGCTGGCTCTCGAGATTTTGTTGTACATAAGTGTCGGCTCTTATTGTACAAAAAAGTAGGCCCTTATTGTCGACAAGTCATCCGATTGGTAGCATAGCAGTGGGTATCCGTATTATATACACCGGCAGTTGTGTTCGGCAATTGCCCAGGTGTATAAGACCGGCTGGGAGGTCGAATGTGAAAGGTAGCGCACATGGGGCTAATCTTTAGCAGCTGAAGAAGCACCGAGTAAAAATGAACAAAGTTTATGTTTCGTTCCTGCTCGGTACTCCTCCGGCTGATACTGCAGGTTCTCATCTACGACGGCGCCACGCTATCACAATTGGAGCGTCATAATATTGTGTATAGCTTCGGGTTTTTAAATGCACTTGTTGCTTTCAATTATAGCTGACAACCTGCAGTAAGAGCAACCCGGAGTGATGAGGCGGCTTCGTTCCGCTCTCACTGCCCGATCTGGAAGCACTAGCACATCCTACGCTAATAAGCCGACTGAGTGGAGCCGTACAAGTTTCAGACCGTTATTCCATCCCTCTCACCATCTATCTGGCGTGCTTTCGGCCTTGACAGCTTCGCATCAAAATACACGTGGTCTTATCGTGCGCGCTACCGTAGGAAGTCGTGTTACGATCTTTACGGTTCCTACCAGTCATGAGACGTAGATCGGCAAGGTAAGTATACCCGCTCTGTTGCGGAAGGACGGAAGCAGCGTTCCGCTTAAGAAACGCGAGCTGCACAATTTGATCCTACCTATGATACCAAGGCTCTTCGTAAGGTCGGCGACATCCCGCATTAAACCATGACAACATCGTACTGAAGTCTGGGCCAAACAGAATATCGATTTGTACGCGGGGCGTTCTTCATTTGTCTTGTTATCGGTGAGTCTCGCTGACCGAACGATAACGTCCCCACAATGGCCGTTCTTGTATTGTCTCTTTTCTTATATCATCTACGGAAGTTTACACGGAATTGAGTTCATGCGAGAACACATGATGATTACCGCTCTGAGCTGGTTTTCAGCTTATAGTGTCCAGACCCTGTCACTATGTGCATTGATAGTCTTCGTGGCCAATAAGGTATGGAAACACCTACGCCACCCTCTCCGTGAGTTTCCCGGCCCGCGTCTTGCAGCATGGACAGATATACCTTACTGCTACTGGCTACTTGGCGGCCGCCAGCCGTTTGTATTACTTCAGCTGCATGAGAAGTATGGTCCTGTTGTTCGGATAGCGCCAAATGAATTATCTTTCAACACCGCAGCCTCGTGGAAAGACATATATGGCTACCGCCCTGGTCATAGGACATTTGTCAAGGGAGAATTCTACGATGGCGCTGCTTTCGTGAAGAGCCATGCCACGAGATCGCTCATAAACACCAAAGATCCGACCGAACACGGGAAGATGCGACGATATCTTGCCAACGCTTTCTCAGACAAGAGTCTGAGGGAGCAGGAATCGCTTGTCGCTCAAGAAGTGGATAAGCTGGTGGAAAAATTGGGAGAGGCTGGGCTGGCAAAAGACGGGACGGATTTACAGAGATGGTTGAACATGGCGACTTTTGACATCACAGGAAGTTTAAGCTTCGGTAGAAGCTTCGATGCGCTACAAAACGGTATATATAGTAACCCAAGAGCCTATAGATTCTCAGAACAGACGACTGACGACCCACAGATGGCCCGGCATCCAACCGTGGCATTTATTCTGCGTGCAATCCTTACGCTTTCATTTGTGGACACAGTGAGACGTTTTCCTTGGCTCGATACGGTCGCTCGGATTGCGATGCCAGGTAGAATTAAGGGTTTGGAGAGCGACGCAAAGGCACATGAAGACCATGCCATAGAGGTGGTTAGAGAGTGAGCTCAACTCCATCATGCATCAACCAAGAGACAGCTAACCGTTCCGGAAAGGCGAATAGACAAGCCCAGCAATAGACCAGACATTCTCACTCGAATCATCGACAAAAAGGATGAGGCAGGAATATCAGATATTCAAATTGCAGCTCATGCCGCAGATCTGCTGTAGGTACTGCACCTCCAGGACAGAACAATGTTGACCTTCCACAGGACCGCGGGAAGTGATTCAACCAACACTGCGATGGGCACCGTATTCTACTACCTCCTCAAACGGTCCGACATTATGCAGCGATTGCAAGCTGAGATTCGGTCGTCCGTCGAATCGTATAACGAGATCACTGCCCTATCCACAAATAACTTGCCATTCCTGATAGCTGTCATTCGTGAAGCGATGCGAATTTATCCACCGGTTCCACTCGCACTACCTCGTATCGTGCCAGAAGGCGGCGATACCATTGATGGCCGGTTCGTGCCAGCTGGAGTAAGATGTGCGCGCTCAAGCCCCAAGACAAGATGCTAAAATTTACAGACCGGGGTGTCAACACACCCTTTCGCAGCGTGCTTGGACGCGAAGAATTTCGAAGATCCATGGATTTTTCGTCCCGAGAGGTGGCTGGGGAAAAGCGAGCAAAACGTCCGAGAAGCATCTCAGCCCTTCTCGTTGGGGACTCGGGGATGCATCGGACAGAAGTGAGTACTTCAGTGGCGCAGACTACGCCAGGTGCTAATGAATTGTGTAGCTTAGCATGGATTGAGATGAGGACGATTGTAGCCAAGGTAATCTATGCGTATGACTTGAAGTGGCTGAATCCAGTGATGGACTGGCATCGCGAATCGCAGATGCATATTTTGTGGCATAAGCCACAGTTAATGGTCAGGGTCGTAGCGAGGCAGCGAACGTGAGAGGCATTGTGGATTTAAATATATAGCAGTAGGTACAGAGGGAATGGATTTGGCAACTGAGATGACGGACCTTGTCCCCATCAAAGCTTGCGATCTAGGAGATTTGGTACAAGCACATTATTTACACTCTTGGAAACCTGAGCGAGCATGATTCACTGCACAAATACTTGGTCGTAGTGTTCTTCTGCTATAGATCCTCACAGCTGTCGTTGTATCCATCGTTATTATTATCTTTTCCTTGTAGACCGCATAGTCTTATCGTTTTCGCAGTCTTGTCTACGGCAACGCTGATCATGCCGATACCCTTGTCGGTGCCGATCTATCGGATCAATTAGCGGATGTCTTCCTCGAATAGTTGTAGAATGAATTGCAGTCCAGGAGGAACCATAGTTGAAACTCTGAAGGGTGGATATAACTCACTATGTGCATTGGAATGCCAACTGAAAATCCACAACTTCCACCATGGTTTGCAGCACTATCAGAGTACGGTGGCGATTTGCTAGCCTCGACAGCAAGCTCTTTCAGTTGGGCAAATGACCAAAGTGTAGGTTCCTCGCCTGGCCATCCGGGACAGGACGCGCCATTCTCAGGAAATTGAGGATAGGTCCACTGGTCTACCTCACTCTGCTGGGGCAGTGCAGCAGCTGTAGCGGCTGCTGCAAGGATAGGTAGGATGCTCTTGAACAACATAATGGTCGGATTGGCTGAAACTGTCGTTAGTGCTTGGAGTGTTGCTTTCCTGGTGGAGCGTGGAGACGCAAATGTGAGAAAAAAGGCTATCTTTATACGCTTTCTGCGAACCGTGAACACCGGTCTCATACAAGAATGTATCAAGGGAATTGAGCTAAGCTTAGCGTCTTTTCCGAGATACGTATTCAAGGTCGTATATCGACTCGGAGCAGCTGCTTGAAGAAGTAGCACCATCATCAGCGACTGATGCGCTACATCATTGTACCGAAGCGACCTCGGATTTGCTGGTCGAACTACCAATGCAATTGGGATGTTCCTAGATTTTCCCCCAAGCTCCTAGCAATAAGACGGGCTGTATTCCCCAATCTGGAGTACCAAGCTCCGACATAAATTATTTCCCCGCGCCCGTTCTTCTTGGACTCTTGCCTGTTGCCCGCTTAAGTAATTTACCTAGTTTGCGCCACCCGTTTTCGGCCCGCATCCAGCGCATCTTTCCTCTGCAAATCTCCAGGGACGCATCACCCTCTCATTGCGCCTCATAATTTTACCACGCGCCATTCGGAGCGAAGACAGACCGCTAAAGTATCATGCTTGTCCAGCAGTCATATTAATCGAGTACTGCACTGAGTCTTTATACTCCAATGCGAGATTGCGTACCTTCCCGATATACTTAGTTTTGTCGTGCAAAGAATTGAAGGTATTGCCATGCGGTCGAAGGCAATTATTTCCAGCAGTGCATATGCCCCAAATGATCAGGCATACTGCCACGCGAAAGACGACTGTCGTCATTCGGTCCGAAACAGCCCGGATGTGCCCCTGCATTGGACGCGGAGAGCAGAGAGCGGAGGGAAACAAGGTCGAACAATTTGAAGTGCAGCGCAGAAATTTACAATGAATGCTTATTTTGGAAGCTTTCAGGCAGGATTTGTTGAGTTAAAGCAAGGAGATATAGCCGATGACGTGGATAGCGGCAGCTTCCGTATCGACTCTTCCAGGACACTACGTCGTCGTATGCGACGTCGTTGATGTGTCCTGTGATGATGTGGTAGTGGCCCATGGGGTCGTTGATGAAGCACAAGAAGACGGATTCGCCAAACTGAGCGTGATCTGTAAGCGGCGACCAGCTTCAGTACATGTGGTGAGCAACAGTATGCGTATCCCGTAGGCGAAGCGATAGTACTTGTGGCCGGAGAGTGACGTCGGCTGCCCGCGAGCGGAGGTGGGTACCTGGGCAATGCAGCCCAGATAGTATCTGCTGCTATCACCGCCTGGTTTCAAGCACAACATGGGAAGATGGGCAAGTCTATCACGTGCAATTTCCTCGACTCTTTCAGTTACTTGTCCAATTTTGCACTTCTATCTATCATGTCGACCTACCCAATTACCGTGCTTAGACACAATCTGCTCCCTTAAAAACACACAACTCTATGAGATAACTTATCGAGGAGTCGGTAATGACATCGGAGGAACCATACAGGAAGGTAAAGCTTCCACTGGCGGATACACGAAACTCGGTGTAAGGCCGTCCGCTGGGCATGTGGCTATTGCACTTCAACACCTCTTGCCCAATATAGCCGGTAACGTCTATTCTTATCGCGCAATTCGGCAGCACAGCATTGGCTTCTGTGCCTCGGTATGATCGCATGAAGTTGCTTTGTGCAGTGGATATGAGAAATCCGGGGAAAGCCAAATTATTGACAGGAACTACGTGCTTCAGTTGCCCGCTTGAGTTCAATGAGAACTCAGACAGCCTAAGCTGTGCATTGGTTACCACATTGGCTGCCAAATTGGCAGTGGATACATGCATCGTACCCTGCGTGATTGTCATGTAAGCCAAGTAGTTATATGTCGGGCGGTCCCTATTCAGTACTTTCAAGCAAAACCTTTCGGATGTGATCGGAGTTGGAGTCGGCGTAGTACTCGATCCTGGGCTCGCTGAAGAAGGTGACGACACTGTTGTACTCGACTCCACGAATGAAACTGCTTCCGACACTGAAGAGCCTGTCGGTACCATGACTGAAGAGCTTGATGAAGCCATTTCGGATTCCAAAGAGCTGGCCAGTACGCTCGATGACACAATATCGGATTGTGTAGAGCTAGTCGGCACTGCGACTGAAGAGCTGGATGACACGACATCGGATTGTACGGAGCTGGTCGATACTACTTCGGACTGTGAGGAGCTCACAGATGTTGATTCCGCTTGCATCGGGCTAGTTGATCCAATTTCCGATTGGGAGGCACTAGAAGCTGGCTCCGTCATTGACGGAGTAGAGCTAGGCGTAATCGAGTCTGATGGTACAGGGGTGGACGACGCAGCTTCTGACTGAATAGAGCTTGTTGCGATAACCTGTGAATAGGAAGAGGTCGAAAATGCTGATTCGGACTGCGAGACACTCGATGAAATAACTACTGATGACGAAGGATCCGACTCCACAGTGCTAGTGGAGGCTCTGCTTGAGCCGAATACATTGCTAGAATGTGCGGATTGAATCGAAACAACATAACTGGGAGAGGATGTTGCATCACAGCTATCGCTGACGTGGACAGCTCCTCTGGTTACTTTCTGCGTGAATACTGCAGGGGCGGAAAGAACGATTGTTGTCACAAAGACGGTCGTCTCTGGTATCGGTGGGTATGTATAGTCGGGACCCGCACAATGGATTGGACTCGGGACGGGGGCAAGCTTTTTGACAAGACTCTTCTCCAGGTTGCTGTCTCGGACAGCACGAGGAGCTGTGCAAGACCCGAAGCGAGACTGGCATCCAGAGCTACAATATCCAGTTGTGCTGCCACACCCTGTCTGAGCGTGAGTTTGAAGATCCATTTAAGCCACATGACAATACACTTACATCCGTAAGAACTACAGCAGTTTCCAAAGCTGGACCCTTGACAAGTCTGGCCGCTTGACTCACCGCATTTTGTGTCTCGAGACACCTTGAGTGCAGGAACCCCTGGTGTGCCAGAAGATTTGCAAGTCCCGAAAAGTGGATTACACCCAGCGCCACAGTATTGAGGAGTACTTCCGCAATAACCATATGAGCTGTTACTTGTCAGTCACCAATGATGAACAAAGCAAACATCATACTAACCTGCAGCAATTGCCGAATTTGGATCCCTGACAAGTTACTGCCCCACCACATTTACCATCGGTACTGATCTTCACAGGGCGAACAGATGAAGCTGATGGAAGTGTAGGTGTGAGCGACACTCGTGTTGAAAGTGTCGAAGGCAATGCATTGCTACTACCATGTAATGGCTGGCAACCAGAAGCACAGTAATTCGAATTGTTTCCGCACCAGCCATATTGGCTACGTGAGTTAGCGTACAGCACTTGTGGCCTAGAAATGACAGGAACTTACCTGCAGCAATTACCCCACTTCGACCCTTGACAGGTGTAACCAGTCTTGCCACCACATGTTGCATCGGGCGAGACCTCTAGTGTTTGGAGTGCGGCAGTGCTACTGGATGTTCTTGTAGACCCAATAAACGAGGCGGTGGACGAGGAAGGCGATGCGGATACTCCCAGTGTACTACTTGGTATCACTACGCTGCCTGTTGATGTTACAATCACCTGACTGCTGCTGGGCTGAGAAGAGGGTAAGGCGACGCTCGAAGAGGTAAATACACTCGAAGAAGTGACATGAGCTTGGCTGCTGGTCCTTGAACAACGTAGGTCTGTGTCGGTAATCGTTTCTAGAACATACTCCGTAACAGTCGCAAGCGCGGATGGAGTTTGGTAGGCGGTAGCAGGTATCGTGGAGATGGTTGGTGCCGTGACTATGAACGTTTGGTCGCGAATCGAAACTCCGGCTCCAGTGACTCACAGGGTGTAGATGGCTGCAGACAGCTGGTTATTGATTATAGTGGGACAAGCGATGTTAGTATAAGTCGTCGAGCCGGACAAAGGATTGCAAGTCTTTGTAGACCCAGCAGCAACGATAAGAGGAGTAAGATTTGCTTCGCTCTGGAAATTGCAGCCATCCAAAGTGTGTGTCAGCAAGCAACGTCTTATATAGTCCACGTGTGCTTACCCGTTGAAGAGATGAAGTGTCCCTTGCAACGCAAGATAATTGTTATTCGATGCAGCGAAAGCGAATGTAGGGGTGGCACCGTTGATAGCCGTTACCAGGTCGGGAGAGTCAAATGCACAATAACGAATGGCCATTTTTTGAGAACTTGGCGAAGTTGACTATTGCCGTGGAGGTCTTTTAGAGAAACAAATCTGAAAAGCACCTGCTTCGAGAGGCGAGCCTCATCTGAATTATATGTCATCTCTTGACGGGGTACGCTACTCATGCTTTCTACTGTCCTCAATGCTTTTCTGTGTTGTGGCTTGTCTATCGAAGTCTGGGTCGGTATGCCCAAGCCGCTTATGTACCAAAAGTGGCAAGTTCAGACGAGCAACGAAATGACTAGAGACCTTTGGTATGAGGTTTGCAAAGGTGTTCCTTTTAGCTGACTTTAATCAGACGCTAAACAGCCTTGCAGTAGGAACAACTGCTCCTGATTGGACCATCAATGAGATCTCCCCTGAATGCGGCTGAAGTGGCGCTCAAAACTCACACGATGATGGACCGTCGCTAAGATGCCTCTTGAGTGTGGCTGAAATGGCACTCACCCGATGATGTGTCGGGACGTTTCCCCCCCACCGACCTCGAGAAGCATGTCTCGAACACAATAATGCAAGAACACTGTTCTACTACCTCGTCATTGTATCGCATAGGTGATGCCTGCTTATCATATGTAAATGGCCTTGTCCATGTAGTTGAAAGCAATGATTCGCGGAACCGTGACCCGCGTTGCGCAATTCACAATCGGTCAACGAAGGGACCGGAAACTTCGAAGTAGCAATAATTCAATCCTTATTTACGCAGAGACACATTATCAAATACTGCTGTTGAGTGTTCGGTCGAAATAGAGCTAATTTCTCACGGCTAATGGAGGTCGGAAAGATGACTTTGATGGCTGATTATGTGTTTGCTCGTCGTCCATGCTCGGTGGCAGTCGAGTATCGGCAAAAATGTTAAGGCTCTGTCGATATTCCTATCACGAGAAGTTGGTACTAGCCTGTGGCACCAAGCGCGACAGATGTACCTAGGTACTGTATGCGGCAATGTGGCAAGTATCATGGAAAAAGTGCACCTTGCGAGTTGTGTTTGCCACAATGGCGTTGAAAACTGTTCCGGGTCCGGGGCCCCCAGGGCTGAGGGATTCGTAATTGTCTCGGTCTTGGCAAAAGCCTTGTCAATTACACAGGAGCCTGAAACAAAGCCAACACCCTTCCCTAACGCTCACAGAGGGGGTGCTTGCTGCAGGTCGCTACCATGGTCATGGGGCGCGCGCGGGATGTCTTGGAATCTCGAGTCCATATTTGCGAAATCCTAGTGTCGCGGTAGTTACCGTGCCAGGAGAATTTCCGCCCGTGGCCCATCAGGCGCCTGAGTCGAGGTCTACTTGGCGACTCGAACGGGAATTCATCGAGCCGTGTACCATGACAAGAGACGTTGATTGAATCGATGGACGTCTAAATTGGGTCATGTTGGCACGATCCTCGGGCTTCGGTAGTGACCAACGTGTTCACAGACGCATTGGCCATATGCAGTTTTCGTCACATCACATCTCGTCACAGAACGGTGAGCGCGAACATTCCCTTGGTGTATCAGCCCTGTACTCCGGAACGGGCTGCGAGTCATTTTTACTGCGGAAGGGATGTCCTTGCCAATTGTCGTCCAGGACCTCGCGTGCCGATCATCGACGGGCGGGGAGACGGCTCTTGGTACAAAACAGGCAGTTTCCGAGACCATCTCCAGCACTTGCATTTCGAGAGAAGGTTTACACATTGACGTGTGTAACGCCGAGGATGTTTGGGCTGACATGTCTCTGGAAATTCTTTCTTATGCTGACTAGAACTGTTTGGTGGTGGCAGACTGGGATGGTATCGTCGGTTATGTGGTAGTCTGAAGTATCTCGGGGGAAGATGGAACCAGTGCATCGTGACCGTACGCGCGCTAAGTCCACGCTTTTGTCGGCAGCGCAATGTCGGCAAGAGTAGTAGTGTATCAATGCTCATTACGCCAACGTCATTCTTTTCACGCTCTCCAAAACTGAAAATTGAGACTATCGGCAAACTCAATGTAGGTTTCGCATTCTACGATCAAGATTCTTCCGTTGCTATGGAGGAGTACCGAGTTCGGACACGCCACTGCGAGTCGTAATTTGACACTTCTTTGATATCTTGACACGGAGTACCTAGTGTTCTGGCGCATTGATCATGGCCGAAATGAGCTTCAACTCGATTACTTTGGCGTGTCCCCACGACGGACTACAACGCACGCATCAAAGCGGATATGATGCGGGTACCGGTACCATTCTCTTCGGCGGATGACTGAGGCCTGCTGTCGGCATATACCTGGGGCGTCCATATGGATACAGCCCGGGCTTGATGCTTGAATGGTTCTCGACTTGTCAATACGGGCGAGTACGGATGAGAACCTGACGCCTGTTTCATGGTCGCGATGATCATATTAGCATCCGTAATATCGATATGCTGAGGACATGAACCATCGCTGACGGGTGTTAAAGCAAGCATACCATGCCATCAAGGGTAAGCGAGCGCTTGCTGACACTATGTAAACCTACACTGCATGATCATGATGAGCCACATCATGCTCGACACACGTATGTCATTCCTCGGATCGGACTGACAGCCACATGTGTCGGGAACGGTCAACGCTGTGGGGCACATCACACCACAGTCACATAGCTTCACGCAGTGTGACAGTCGGAGATATACCCAATGGAACTATCCTTCAAATAGTGAGGCCAACGTGTCAAGTGGATATCAATCAATTTATTTCCTCCGTGGCTGCTGTGTCACATCGCTTGCTTGTCGACTGTTACACAGAACTGTCAGACGTGCCTTGTCCATGCAGACTCCACTTCATTCTCCTCATTTACTACAACGGTCCCCGCCCGAGCAGGGCTCTGACGCCACGGCCCGCATATTCATCTAGTCCACCTGCAATAGGCGATTGGTTGGCGAGGTTGATGCGACTTCGCTGGACCGCCTGATCACCGAACCTTTCCTGGTCGGATACGACGGTATTATTCGCTGCAATGATGTGCCTCTGATATAGCTTTCCGCTCCCATAGTCCACTGATCCGGCTGTGCCACTGAGAATGAGGAACTGCTCCGTCGTGCCGGTGCCAAATGACTTCTTGATTGCGGGTACAGATAGGTATGATGCAGTGCCATTCTGCCAATTCGTTGTATTCGATCCGGTGAAGGCTACGCTGTACGGCGTTGAGTGAAGGCTTGCGTGATCGAAAGTTCTCCATTCGTTCAGGAATGCTAAGTCACCCGTTTGCTGAACGTTCTTCCCACGTGCTATTTTTGCATCTATTGTAACATTTCCACCCGCAGGTGCATTATAGGACGAGATCACCCAAAGTGGGTAGTCAAAGGACCGACTAAAACCTGTGGAGGAGATGCTCGTGCCTTTAGTGGCTTGCTGATCCACTTGGTCGTTGCCACCATTGCTGAGAGTACCGGTGTTTGAGAAAGTGAGATCTTGCTTCCACGATACAGTCTGCGAACCTGCAGAGGTCATGATGGTGGATTCGACGGACAGCTGACGTGACACCTGAATGGAGTAGTCAAGTGCGCTCACCGTCCCGTTGACCGACCGCTTTGTGATTGACTGCAACTTGATCGAAGGTGCCGGGGCTGAAATGATGGGGACGGTGCCTATAGACAAATTCATAGCTGTTCCCGTCCAGATGAAGATCTTGCCGGTCACCACCCAATTCGATTCAATGTTCTCCGTAAGCTGGCCATTACCCTTCCCATCGTCATCAATGCCGACAACGCGTATTTCGAACGCGTGCGTATTGCCATCATTGAGCAATGGCAAGAATGGCGTGATGTCGATCTCGTCTTCCTTGAGATCGAACGCGTCTATACCTACGACAGGACGCCAGAACCCGGGAACAATGCCTCCAGTGAATATGACCGGGAAAGGCCACGCCACGCCAGCAAGGTTGCCATCGATTAGTAGCTGCAACTCTCGAAAAGATGAATGTCCGTATAACGTGGTGTCATTGCCAAAGGCTTTTGTATCCGAGTTGAACACATTGCTCCACCAGAATTCCTCTGCAGCTTGACCGCAAGCAGAGATAGTGAAGACCGCCTTCTCTGTGTTCTTGGGCAGCTCCAATGTGTTGATGGCTTTCGTGTCTGGTACAACAAAAGCACTCGGTTGATTTGCAGCTGACCTCCGAGCTGATACAGGCAAAATGATGTCTGCAGGCTTCGTCGTATCATCGGCCGTGAAGAATGTAGCCGTCAATGTCGTGTTCCATGAACCGGTGTACGTATCATCTATCAGGTTGCCGAGATCAAAAATGAGCTTGTGTGGTGATCTGAAGAGAACCGAATATGCGGACATGTCCTTGGTATAGGTCCATATTATACCGCTTGACGTTGGCTCGGCCGTCGATGTCCGCCAGACCTCGATGTCGTCCAGGTACATCAAAGCTAGTCTGTCGAACTGCCGCCCTGCCGAAGTGACCGTAAACTCGATAGCTACACGATTGAAGTCGCATTCTGGCGGAGCATAGTCGCCTGTTTTTAAGAATAAGCGATGATATCAAAGGCTAACTCTCCGCTCGCCGAGAATACTGGTTCGCAGGCAGACGCAGGAGAGAATGCCATTGAAGAAATCGTTCACGTACCCACGAAAGGCTGTCCGTATGACAAAGCAAATGTGTACACCATCAAAGTCTGCTGACATCCTCCACTTGGGCTAAGGATTGGTGGCGCAACCTCCAGGCATTCAAGCAAGGACGAATTATCCGCGGCACGAGCCGTCAACGATGAAGAATGACCGTTTGATCGCGACACGACTTTGTGGAAAGCAAGAGTTGATTGCGTTATCGTCATTAGGATTAGGAACAATATTGCAATGGGTCGCAGACTTTTCTGCCCCATTCGTGTGCAACGCCATGCCTGCGTCGTCGGCCCTCCATTTTGCTCATGGTTGTACATCTTGCCCCGATACTCACGAAAATAGGTAAGAAAATGAAAGCTTTAAGTTTGCGCCGGAAACGCCGTTCCCAGAGGTATATTGCGGAAATGCCAGGATTTGGAATCGATTAAACGCCGGTAGATGTGGTCTGAAAATGCGCGCGCTAGTGTCATGATGATCAGCATACTGTGATTCGCCAAGTGAGGGGTTGTGACCTACCTGTACGAAAGTTTGACTTCACGAAGATCGAGCAAATAAGATTATTGAACACCTTTGTGGTTATCCCAGAAGCGTTTTGTGGCGTTTCTGACAACCTCGTTGTCCCCAAATCGTGCTCGGTAATAGTTTAATAGAGCGAATTCGTCCGATGGTAGTATGTAGGAGGTTGGCTGGGCGTTCAACTTTGCCCAAACTTCTGCAAGCCGTTTTTCCAGAACCTGAGCAAGGCGTTGGTCGATTCCTCCTTCAGTGTTTTGGGCGACATGAACGGCTTGACCGAGAGATAGGTAGCCATGGCCAGCTACATATTCCGTGACACCACCCATATTGACTAGTGTGTATGTATGGTATATTGTCGAAAGATAAGGCTAGGCAAAAGTAGGAAGTCGCGATTGAATGTGAACAAGGTGTTGATTGGTATGAAGGAAACACTGTTAGGGTAGCGTAGGGTAGTGTAAGTCAATGGTGAGAGAGTTTGAGCAGCCTTGGAGACGAATACACTTCGATTGGGAAATAGTGTGGGCACGAAGTATATATGTTGGAAGTACATAATTAGGGCTGCCGGAAACGAGATGGAACTCACGTGCAGAGACAGGCTGATCCTGAACGAAGACTCATGCGACCATGTCAAGTAGGGTGAGAGCTTATTCGAAGCCTCAAACAGTTGGATCCGGGAGCGTGCCGCTTTGGGCGCTGTCAACTTGTGAAGCGAAGGGTTGGGTGTGACGCCAGAATTGCGGAATTTCCGTCCGACGACTGCAAGCGGCCAGGCCCCTGGTCTGCCATTGCTGTTCAATGGCGCCGAACAGATGCAAGGGGAGGAAGCAGAGTGTACAGCCGAGCCACCAGGAACGTTGCACGACGCTACTGTTTTGCGAAGACGCCTGTCCTTAGGATGCATACAAGATTCTCGTTACTGCAGACCAATGAAAACATTGCTCGGCGTAATTGAAGAGTAACATAAGACCAGGGACTGAATAATGTGCTTCGCCCTTGGTCGGCTTGATGGTAGTAGCTTGAAGTTTGAGACTGGTGCAGTAGCAGGGTTGATGGAACGCCGAAAACTTTGTTTGCGCTCTGCAAACCTTCGCAGGGCCCCTCAAGCCAGACCGAGCCGCGATGGAGATGTTACTCAATTCCGTTAGCCGTTGAAGGGAGGGAGCGCGAGCGAAGTGTGGATGCTAGGGGGGTAACAGCGATCAAGGATCTGCGCAAACGAGCAATGTGATGTCGTGATGCAGGAGGGGTGCTGGTTCGGCAGTGGGACGTGATGCCGGGAATTGCAGTACGCCATGCAAGACGACAGAAATACCGATCAGACGTCAGTCCTTCGAGTCGAGGCACGCGGATGCAGCAAAGAAGGCAGTGGAACCGTGTCAGGTCGGATTAGGCTAATGTGAACGTTAGGAATCCTTAAAGTATGGACCCATGCGGTGCAGCCTACGCCCGAGTACGCGGTCCTTTGCTCAGCACCGTGCTGCGGTGTACGCCACGGCATCCACAGCACTATGTACAGAACAGCCGAAGTCATGATGCAGGTAGATGTCCAAAACTCGGGGCTCCGATGTGATGAAGCTCATCACAATGGCAATAACAGGATCCATGTGCTTCAGAATGCGTGATGCGCGTTGGTCACCGTCCCAAGGGTCAGGTTTGCAGGCAACATGCACTGGATCCACTCTATCGAAGAAGCTTCGCGTCGTGGTCCGCAGTTTGGCATCCGCGGCATCCAGGGCAGATGTGTAGGAGGCTGTGTGAACAGTCGGGCAACGGCGCGAGATCGCCGACCTCTCACCCTCCCGAGTTAAGACCATGATGCGTGCCAACAGCCGAGCGGCCCCATGTCAACAAGCAATGCCTGCTGCGAACGAGCGTCTTTGCGAGCGATCGGACGATGCGGCCTACTTGCGTTGCATGCTGCCCCACGTTTTGCCCGTGAGTGCCAAGATTACCCGTTTCGGCCGTACCTGTATCACACGCTTCCAGAAGCTTTCGCTCTCCGCACGGCTGATACGCGCTGAGTCGCTGACACTTGCGGCACGTTTTCTCAGAGTCGACATGAGACGATGATGTGTCCTGTCGGACGTGTCTGTGGGCGCTTCGGCAAGGCATGCACGTCTGGGCTCGCTGGGGCCTGGGTGACGGCACAAGCTGGGGAACCTCGACGAAGCCTTTGATTGCCATGTTTGATCGTACACAGGCTTCTCGGACTGTACAGTATGGAGTTGTGGCTCGGGCCTTTGCCAATGCGGCGCGACTCAGCACAGATAGTGTAGGGCGCCCCTTGCCATGTTAATTCGGTACCGGAAATTCGGAACATCAAAATCTGCGAGGCACAATGCATCAAGATGGACGGTTGCCGAGCAAAAAAGACTTTCGCACTCGTCTGGCGATGAAGGTGAAGGTTTGACATGTTGGGACGGATTGGCGTGCCCGCGAAGACTGATTGGCATGTTGGAAGCCATCGGAGATTTATTCGGGCCGGCGGACCCTGCTGAAAAGTTGGCCATGATCGGCATGCGTCACCTCTGGTAACTTTTCGCGGCGACGGCCTTCTTGAAACCTCGACCTGCAACTGCTCATGGTTCGGTTACGCACGTGAGTAGTGACTCTCTTGCCCGCTCCACAATTCATGCAATGAAGACACGAGTCGCACGCCTCTGGACAGAGCAGCTCCTTTTCGGGCCTGTCTCGCGCGGTTTGGGCACCCGCCCAGCGACGCCGTTCCTGCGCTCCTTCTTTACGGCAACTCACGCGGGAGCACGTCCAAAAGCCGTCCAGTCGACCCTCCGCCAGACTGGCCTCCTATACTGGCGATATCAGCGGTCTGCCCTGGGCCGCCGCTTCCGGTCCTGGCGTGTCAAGAAAGACCTTCCACCGCCCCAGCGCCCCGATCCAACGCCACACCTGGGCAGCCCTGAACCGGCACTTTCGCTGTCACAGCGTCTGAAGGCCCTCTCTCGTGAGTATGGCTGGACCGCGGTAGGCGTGTACTTTGGCCTGTCACTGCTCGACTTCCCCTTTTGCTTTCTGGCTGTACGCCTGCTGGGTACCGACCGGATTGGCCACTATGAGGATGTAATCAAGAACGCCTTCTGGAGCATAGTACGAATGGCGTTTCCAGATGCGGGGAAGAAGGCACAGGATGCCATACCAGAGGATGTTGCAGAAGCGACCGCAAGAGAAGGGAACATTGGAGCAGCCGAAGTCGCAATCAGAAGCGGAGCAGATGCCTGTAAGGCGCCTACTTGTTACGTTGGGGATTGCGTTGTGTTGGCTAACTTATGTCGCAGCAATTTGGACCCAGCTCGGCCTCGCATACATTGTCCACAAGTCCTTCATCTTCGTCCGGGTACCACTCACCGCAGCCGTCCTCCCCAAGGTCGTGAAGACACTCCGGTCCTGGGGCTACAACATTGGCAAGAAGAAGCCCAAGAAGACATGATCTCTTGCTTCGTGCACGGCAGACCTCATGCTCTGCTGTCTGTTCCATTCCTCTCGCCGTTGCATAAATAAATAGCACGTCGTGCTTACTCACAGCAAGCCATGCATTACGACAATGTACCACTACTCACCTGTATAAATAAACATGTAAGATCAAGCATCTAGTACTCCTATGCAGACGCGAACAACATAACACATCGCACCACAAGAATCTGTCAAATGCACTACCAATGAATTCACATCTGCACATCTGCAGAAGCCCAGTGTGTGCCTCTAGCCACTATCAACACCGTCATCACTCGACGGGAAACCACTCCGCTCCAAATCTCTCTAACAACCAACAATCCCATCCCACCAACTCGCCCACCTCTGAAGCCCATGACGCACCCTGCTCGCCCTCCTCAAAACTCTATCCCAGTCCCCTCCCGCAGCCCATCTCCGGCCTTCTGCCTTTTCGTCGCACTACACATTCCCCCAACAACTGCCGTCCTTCTCGAAACCTTGCCACAGTTGCCGTCCCCTTCCAAACCTTCCTCGCTGCCGCAAACCTTCTCCCGCTACAAACCTCTAGCGTCGGAAGCATGCCTACGAACCAATCAGACGTGCGCCTCCCGGAAGTTTCTCCGGGCGCCGTGCAATCCACGACGGACCTGTGCGCTGTGGCTGATCTAAGTACTTATAGTCGCAGTGTATAAACTTCCTCCTAATTGTCCGGTTCGCCTTCTCCAGCCGTTCTATGTAGCATGTAAAGTTTGTGGGTGATTGGGTGAGTCTGTGCGGCGGGAAGTCAGGATGCCGTTCGGTAGTTCTCTGTGGGGAGGGGATTGTGTATCGTGTTGTTTGCATGCAAATTTGTGCGGCGTGGTTTTGTGATGGAATAAAGGGGAAGTATGCTGGAAGTGGTTGCTAGTGTGTGATGGAAAATGCTCGACCCATTCGAGATGACACTTAGAACGTCAATCACAATAACTACAGCGTATTGGCAAGATATGTAGAGTATCTGGACTTTTCATTATGGGTATCAGTCTCATTCTGCAATCACGAGTCAACGTGCACAAGTTCCTCGTCGATCAAGCCTGAATCATCTCCGGCACCTTCGTGCCAATTGCCTTCTTTGCGTCCAATATTTCCAGCTTGGTCAACCCCATACCACCCAAGAACTCGTTAAACGTCCCCAAGATCCTCTCTAGACCCTCTCTCAAGCATTCTCTGACTTCATTGACCTGCGGCACGTTCTTGCGTTCAGCTTCTGGCTTCTTGAGGGACTCGTAGTCACTCCAGTGCACCTGCACAGCGGCCATGTAGTCGTCAATCCTGTTGATGGCATTTGTGAAGATGCGGATGATAGATGGCACGCCATGGTGAAAGTGGCCAAGTTCATCTTGCTTGAGGGAAAAAGTAGTGAGATTAGTCAGAGCGGTAATGGCGTTGCAAATAAGAGAGATGCGCGAATAGGGTGCGCCAAGCACGATGATGCTGGTGGTGCGTTCAAGAGAATGGCGGAAAGGCCAGCCAAGAGGCGAAGACACAAGTTTGTTGTAGTATGTTCCGACGGCAGTTTCGGCCTGTTGTTTTCCTTCTTGTGCCTTTTTGAGACCCTTGTTGAGGGCTTCGCGGCCATATGCTTGCTGTGCATTGCCAGGCGCGCTGTGTGATTTGGCAATGCTGGCTGCTGTATCCGAGACCTGTTCCCACTTCGAGATAGGCTTCGATGGTGCGGCCGCAATCTGGTCAACTTTGAGGGGTTGAGAGATTTGCGGAACGAGCTGCACCGGTGGAGATGGCTGTTGTGTGCCAGTAGAGGGCTGCGGGCGCCAGGTTGGATCAAGCGCAACGTTCAAGCGTTCAATGAGGAACTTGATCTCGGCCAGACAAATATCAGTGACCTGCTGGAACGTCGATGCTTTCTTGCGCTCAAGCTCGCCGTAAATGGTCTTTCGACGCTCGGGAAAGGAGTCTGTGATTAAAGCAAGCTCCCACAGTGCAATGGCCTAGGTCATGTTAGCTCTGATGCATGTGCTGTGAAGATTTTCGCCTACCTTGACAGCTTCCTTCTTCGACTTGAGACCGTTCAGTAGCGTTCCGTTAGGATCCTTTGAGTCGTTGGTGATGGGCTGGTCATTCTTCAAAGGCTCCTGGGCAATATACAGGTCGAAGGCCTTATTCACGAATTGCCACAGAGCAACAAGTAAACTTCCTTCGAGCAGAAAGCCCCACACGAGCGGCAAGAACGGTGCAACTCCAGTGGGTTTGGAGGTCTTTGACAAACTGATGAAGGTGCGGCTGAAGCTGTAATAATAGTCCCAGATCAGATGGCGAGGTCCAACGAAGTAGAGAAATGTGCCAGCCACCAGCGAAAATGCTGTGAGGATTGCCGAGGTCGTTAAAATGCTGGGGAGCATCTTGACAAGGGTCTGCCTGGGGTTGGATGATGTGCCTGCTGGCACGGTAATAGTGGAGTCGTCATTGTTCTTCCTTGGTTTCATGGCCGGCACGCGAATGGAGTCATAATCCTCGCAAAGGTGGGTAGCGGTTTGGACAATGGCCAGGAAGAAGAACAAGAGTCGCAGGTAGAGCGGCCGCTCATTGAGCTTCAAGCGCTCGTGTGCGCGTCCCATGTCGGTGAAGCCGAGCTTGGCCTGGCTGGGTCGCGACCATATGTAAACCTCTCCGTACAGCCATGCCGAGAAAGCGTAGAATGCGAGGGTGAGGATGGTGGATTTGCGGAAGAAGTACTTTTGGGCGGTCTCGAAGCGTGTGGATGTATGGCGCTCGCCGACATGCCATTGCGCGACTCGAAGTACATAAATGATCAGAGCGGGGAGGAAGATCATGCACGTGCGAATGCCTGTGGGACCAATGGGGAACCATAGCCAGAGTGCTGTGAAGTGTCAGTATGCGCTCCACCAGAATGCAAGCGAGTCCAGCTCACCGTTGTCCCACTCTCCCATGAAACACGCGATGAAATAGCAAAGCAGTAGTGTATATCGGCTAGCTTTGGTGAATCTCCTGTGCAGAGCTGGAGTGAGGAAGTCCCGGTACGGGCGCACCTGCGCTCCCAGGGTTGGGAGTGCCATGATTGCGACGGGCGGGGATGTGGCGGCAGATTGAGGTCAGAAATTATATCATGGCCTGGCTAAAGAGTGTGGAGGGCGTTGCTGTGCCCGAAAAGGAGGGATGAGAGGGCAGCGCTGTGCTCAACTTCACTCTTTGCAGGTCAAAGGTCAAACAAACACAAGTCAACGGAGCTAACGCGTGGTTCCGCCGCGCGCCAAGACGTCTCGTGCGGCTGCGCCATTCGTCATTGCCAGGAACCTCCAGCCTCCGGGCAACGACCTCCTTCCCCACACCCGACCTCTCCAGGCTGCTACATTACTGAGGTCCGGTCGCATAGCCTCGAACAACTCCCAAAACCCCTCCGCAGTACGACAGGAGCCCGCCGGCCTCGTGCACATCACCATGTCGTTCCAACACTCGTCCAACCTGGAGTCGCAACCGACCAACTTCCGCCGAAGCGATGATCCCCAGTATGCCGATGATCCAGAGTTCCGCGACTTCGCCAGCAAGCTGTCCGACGACCTCTTCGCCCTGACCCGCAACGTCGCCCGCCTATCTACCGAGGTGGCCAAGCTCGGGACAAAGCACGAGACACCCCGCGTGCGAGAGCGCGTGAAGACGACTGTTGAAGAGACATCCGACACGTTCAAGGAGATTGGCGAGGGCATCAAGAACATCACCACCTGGCCTGACGTTGGAGTATGCCGCTGCCTCGCACTCCCAACGAGTCCTGATAGCTAACGTGCCTCCAGCCCTCCCAAAAGTTCACTCAGTCCAAGCTCCAGCGTGAATTCCGCGCCTCCCTCCAGGAATTCCAACAACTCCAAAAAGCCGCCCTGGAGAAGGAGAAGTCTTCCGCACAAGCTGCCCGCGCAGCGCTAGACGCACAGTCCCCGAGTGAAGAGCGGTCAGGCGGCGACTTTGGCACTCACCAACAGCAGGAGCAAGAACAGCTTCGCCTCGCCAACCAAGACGAGGTTGACTTCCAAGAATCCCTCATCATCGAGCGCGAATCCGAGATCCGCAACATCGAACAGAGCGTGGGAGAGTTGAACGAGCTGTTCAGAGATGTCGCGCACATGGTACATGAGCAGGGCGCACAGTTGGACATTATTGAAGAGAATGTCGAGGTTACGCATGACGCCAGCCAGGGAGCGCATGTGAACCTGAAGCAGGCGAGCAATTACCAGAAGAGCGCCAGGAGCAAGGCGTGCATCCTGTTGTTGATCTTGGGCATGGTGTTGGTCATTATTGTGCTGGCTGTCACGTTGGATTGATTCAACTTGCAAGGAAGAGCGGAGTGTATATACGGGCGAAGGGAGCACTTTGATACCATGGCGTTGCATGTCAGTTTTGGGTTGAGTTTGTTACAGTCGTTTGAAGACGTTGCATATCACGTTCAAAGCGAAGCTCTAATACCGTCTTATTCCAGCTTTATGATCCAAATGGTCCAATCTGCGCATACAAGAAGATTTACCTCTAACGTGTTCAAGCACCCAATTGATAACGCCTCTATGTGATGCATATATACTACAATTGCTTCGTCACATCGTACATCCCTATCATACACATGCCCTTTCTCCTCCACTCTAGAATCCCCAATACCTCGCAACTCTCATCTTCCATCCCTCCCAACTGTTCAGCTTCGGCCTCACATCCAGATAGAAATTCAGTCCCTCGCCCTTCTTCGCCCCACTCCCGCCACCCGCGTAGAAATCAATAACATACTCAATCTTCTCGCCGCACCGATCCACCACCCAATCATGCCGATCAAACGGCGTCTGATAGCCCATCAGACTGCGCCACCGTGCCCTCGGCGTCAGACTCGTCGACAAGCCCGAGAAACTCGCGAGTTTGGGGCCGCCGCATGTGTCCGACCGACCGGCTTCCCACTTCTTGATCTCGTACCATGCGCGCTCGTTGACGGCGTTGTGGATGGGCACGATGGTGCGCATGTCGCTGGCTTCGGGGTCAAAGGACTTGCGGCGCATGGCGTCGAAGAACATTTGCTCGGACGGGTAGATCCAGTTTCCGGTCTTCTTGTCGGGGGCTGTGTCGCGCTCGTTGTTGGCGGGGCGGGCTGGGGCAGAGGCAGCAGACGGGAGGGCCCGTGGTATTGTGCTGACTTCGCGGTCGGTGGCGAGTTTGAGTTGCGAGAGTATGGATGTGGAGGTTGGGGCGGGAGAGGAGGTGGATTGGTCGAGAGCGGAGGAGTCGCAGGATGTTTGGACGGCGCTGGAGGATTGCGCCTGGGTGGGCGCGGGTGGTGGTGAAGGCGTGCTAGTATGTGGGTTTGCGGGCGGCGTGCCGTTTGCGCGGGCTTGGGCGAGCCATGCTTCTCGTGTTTTGTGGTCGACGGGGCAGGCGGCTGCTGGGTCGTCTTGGGAGGACATTGTTGTGAAGTTGTGAGGTTGTGAGGTTGTGAGGTTGTGGAGGTTGAAGATGTGGGACTCCGGATGGTGACGGTGGTCGAGTACAAAAAGTTCGAGCTTCGGAATCCGGACCAGTCTGATTGGTCGGCATGCCTGTTCACCGCTTTGGAGGGGACATGAAGCATGAAGTCCATGTGCTCTGTTGCTTTAGTATAGAGCTAAGCGTATAAAAGAACTCCTGCGGGGCTTTTGTCTTTTGGTGCTATATTTTGACTATCCTCAATCAATTAATTCACGGGTGGCTCCTTCGAGTTCGTCCTAAGCATCCCAACAAGACCCTGCATAAACAATTCCACCCCGCCAAATTCCCATCCGACCCCCTACCTCGACCACACCCACGCCTGTTAATTGACTTCAGCCACCATGTCAGACATCCACCGAGCCAGCACTACCGCCCCGGTAAATATCGCCGTCATAAAATACTGGGGGAAGCGCGACCCCAAGCTCAACCTCCCCACCAACTCGTCCCTCAGCGTGACCCTCTCGCAAGCCGATCTCCGCACGCACACCACCGCGTCTTGCTCCTCCACCTACCCCAGCCAGGACGCCCTCTTCCTCAACGGCCAGTCTCAAGATGTGTCCGGCGCACGGACACAAGCCTGCTTCCGCGAGCTGCGTGCTCTCCGCAAACAACTAGAAGAGAAGGACTCGAGCCTGCCCAAGCTCGCCGACCTCCCTCTCCGCATCGTGTCTGAGAACAACTTCCCCACGGCTGCTGGTCTCGCCAGTTCCGCTGCCGGATTCGCCGCGCTTGTTCGCGCCATCGCCAACCTCTACGTCCTCCCTTCCTCGCCCACCGACCTGTCCCGCATTGCACGACAAGGCTCTGGCTCTGCATGCCGGAGTCTGTTCGGCGGCTATGTAGGCTGGGAACAGGGCTCCGCCACCGATGGCAGCGACAGCGTGGCTTTCCAAGTCGCCCCCGCATCACACTGGCCCAACATGCGCGCCGTCATTCTTGTCGTTAGTGCCGCGAAGAAGGGCGTGTCCAGCACAACAGGCATGCAAACCACCGTCGCGACGTCAACCTTGTTCCAATCCCGCGCTGCCGAGACGGTGCCCAGGCGCATGAAGGAAATGCAGGAAGCGATCCAGAACAAGGATTTTGAAGCATTCGGCAAACTGGCTATGATGGATTCAAACTCCTTCCACGCTACGTGTTTGGACACGTTCCCGCCGATTTTCTACCTTAATGATATCTCGCGTGCGGCTATCAAGGTCGTTGAAGCTATCAACGCTGCTGCTGGGAAGATCATTGCGGCGTACACTTTTGACGCGGGCCCGAACGCTGTCGTGTACTACGAGGAGGAAAACGAGAAGGAGGTTGCTGGCCTGTTCAAGACTATTTTGAATGAGAAGGATGGATGGCAGGGCGAGAGAGGAAGCAAGGTCCAGGCGAACGCTGAGGCGCTTGAAAAGGTCAAGACGGAGGCTGGACCCGCTATTGCGATGCTTGAAGAGGGTGTCAGCAGGATCATTCTCACTGGCGTTGGAGAGGGTCCTGTCCAGACCGAGGAGAGCTTGATTAATGAGAAGGGCGAGCCTGTTAACAGCGCTTAGAAGGAAGTAGGTTGGAGTTGGCCATGTGTAGTGGATACCCGTAGATAGAGTCAACAGTTGCGTGGAAGAAGAGAAGACAAATACCTTGCATTGCATGTAAGACAGAATGTGAAGTTTGTAGTCTTGTATACAATCAGATTGAAGATGTGCTACAAGACAAGAACAATGACCTCGCTGGACGCAGATGAGAATTTGCAATTCCAAGACTCGCCAAAGCAATGCCTCTTGTCTTCTCTGCTCTGCTCTCCAACGCCTCAATGCGCCATGCAAGCCATGATATCTATCCCAACTCTTCCAAAAGCAACCACTGGCCCATTATCAACAATATCCAGAACTGCAACTACTATAATCACAACAACACAACAAGCCCGACGTCGTACCCTACAGCCCCATCTTCTTCAGCTTTCTACAATTCTTCAGCTCCATTTTCCGCGCCCGGTCCATGGCTTCCTGGTCAATGTAAAACCAACCCTGTGCATCCTCCATCATTCTCCGCTGCTGATTCTGCTCATGCTGACACCGCACCGACAGCCCGTGAACATATTGCTGCTCAGCCTCCTCGTCCAGTTTCCGCCACTTCTTGGGATTGTACTCGTGCACCTCTCTCGGATCGACAAAGTACTGGACTTTGAATCGCGACGTGATGCGCTCCTTGGTCATGGGGTGTCGCGGCGTTTCAAAGACGATTTTGGGGCCGACGTCGGCGGGGCTGGAGAAGAGCGAGGAGAGCAGCGGGAGCACGAAGAGGAAGAGTAGCGGGAGGAGGTTGGAGATTGTGGAGCTGAGTGAGGCTTGGGGTTCTGCGCCGGGGGGTTGTGCGGTGCCGGGTCGTCGTCGCGGGGCACCGCCGCCGAATTGGTGGACGCGGATGCCGGGGCCGCCGCCGAGGTTGAAGACGAAGCCGGGACCGGTGTCCATGCCGCCTGTTGGATATGTTAGTGATTGTTCGCCTACAGCAGTTTGGGAGGTTACATACCAAATGGGCCTCCAAACGCCCCACCAAAGAACTGTCTAAACAGCTCTTCTGGCGTCATTTCTTCTTGGAATCCTCCTCCTCGTGGGAACCCAGCACCGCCGCCGCCGCCTCCAAATCCACCTCCCGCAGCCGTCGCTGGGTTAAACCTCGCATCAGGATCCCCTCCAAACTGATCATATTTCTTCTTCTTATCCGGATCGCTCAAGACCTGGAACGCTTTGCTGACCAGCTTGAACGCATCGTCCGCACCCTCGTAGCCATTCTTATCAGGGTGCGTCAGTAGACTCAGTTTCCGGTACGCCTTTTTGATGTCGCTATCGCTGCATGTCGATTTTACGGCTTCGAGACCGAGGATTTCGTAGTAAGCCGTGGGCGTGCAGCGTTTTATGCGTATTACGGCAGCTTTTTGCTCGACGGTGAACGCGCGCCCGCTGCTGCCATCGTGGTGACTGCGTGATTTGGCGTCGCCATTCTGTGGTTGCGCGCCGGACGATTTGCCGGACATTGTTGTGGTGGGAGCGGAGGGTGTCGTGAGAGAGGTGCCGCGTGGGCAGGCGGATTATATTCACGGGCGTACCCAAGGCCGAAGTTGTTGTTGTGCGTTGTAAGCGACGTGTTGATGTTGGCGCTGGTAGGTGAAGTGTGGTCGAGCCGCGGGCTCCAGTACTCGATACGGGTCCGCGCATCTGTCCAGAAGTCTGGAGGTGTAGGGTAAGGCTGGGATGGCACGGGCCACCGCGCTTAGTCGACCCCGGACGTCATTGAATTCGGCTTTCAATTCACTCTTTTGCGCTGTGCACACACCTTTGATCCTTGCTCCTCTCCGATAATCACACAATACACAATGGCCGCCGAACCAGCAAAGCAATCAGCGCTCCAATCGCTAAGAAATTGGGGAGGTACGTTCACCAACTCCTTCCCGACGTCACCTGGGCACTCACGTGCTACCAAAATGTCTCGTACATTCATGGATGTCGATCCATACACTGTACATCAAGCGTCCAGGCCCACGTGCTTTCTCTACATTGAAATCAACTCTCAAAAACAACATTCATTCTAACAAACAGGACAGAAAACTCCGTCCCTCCAACCCTCCTAGCAACTCTAATCACCGCCCAACATGCACGCCCCTTCCAGCCTCTACCCATGCTCTTCCCACCAATCCTGCTTTTCTCATCCTACCTAAACCTTTCCAACTACAAGACCGATGCGGCGGGTGTCACTGCAGCCTGGAGTGGCTTGTATGCTTTGCTCGCCATGCGCCGGTCACAAGTAAGTTTTGAGTTATTTGACGAACCGGAGACGTACTAAAACACGACCCAGGGTCTTAAGAACAAGTTCACTGTACGAGGCGCAGTAAGAGGTGCATCTCTCGCACTCTGCGCCGTCAACATTGTCGGATGTGGATTGGCATACACGTTTGGGAAGAGGGAGAAGGAAGAGAAGAGTGCTTAAGAGTGTATCATTAGACCAGTGCCACGAAAATTGTATAACAGTCTTAATATGTTGGAAACCCTCTTGATTCGTTCATGATATCATCTCCGTGGGCGGAATTAAGACAGCGTAAGCGTGAAGCCACATTTGTCTCTCTAATCATTCCCATGTCAGATCCCCAACACACGGGATCCGTTAACAAATAAAAGCCCAGACGCCACGAATGCACTTCTTCTGAATTGAAAAGTTGAGCAAACCAACCTCTATGATGTATCCATCGGTTCGCCACCCGCCTCCGCTACTCTACGCTCCTCAATTTTCTGCGCCAGGCGGTTCGCCTTCCAGTTCGCAATCTCATCTCTCAGCGCGTCATTTGGAATGACATCCTCCAGTTTGAGCGGCGTGCGGTTAAACGGGTCATGGGGATCACTCAGCAGATGGCTTTGAATCGTGCTGCGGTCCACGACGATCTTACTGATCGGTAAGATGACAGGATCTTCCATGAGCGTCGCCATAAGCGGGTCCTCATACTCGTCTGGGATTTCACCCAAATCAGCTTCTTCAATATCTGCACGTGTTTTCGCGGTCTCGATTGCTGATGCCATGTTCTCCCACTCCTTTAGTTGCTCAGGGCTCTTGAGCGCATAACGTGCCAGGGTGCGATGAGCTTCGGTCCAGTATTCTGGGCGGTAGGCCCGTCCATCTGTAGCCACAGCTTCGATGAAAGACTGCTTGCCTTGCAAGTTCAGGTATACATCTGTGACTTCAGCCAGCATCTGCCGCGGATTCCAGCCGTAGTCCTCTGGGTTCTTAACCCTCAGGGATGCACGCTTGGGACCGACAAGAGCTTCGAGGTTGTAGTCGAGCATATGAGCTAGACGTACAACAACTTCCTTCTTCGTAAAGGAGTCTGCAAGCGCTTCGGTGAAGAGCTTGAGCATGGCGACTGTTTCGTTGGTGAGTTGCATGTATGATTTGGCTTTGCCTTGGGCTGCGGACAGCTTTTCTTCGTTTTCTTGTCGGGCGGCTTGGTCCATGTCTGCTGGTGAGTCTTCGAGAAGCTTGGAAATGTCATGGATTTCCTTGAAGGCTGTGAAGGATTCGTCGAGCACGAAAGTAACGTCGTTGAGGAGGAGATTGACGAACTGGACGAAGAATGCGAGGTTGACCCTGGGATAGGTTAGTTTATGAAGTGTTCAATGAGTTCGAAGAGAAATACCTTGCCTCTGTCGCGAGATTCTCCCGGTACATGGTGTTCGGCCATATACACTTGATTACCTGGAATATCTCGTAGCGAATATTGAACTTGTCGTAGAATTGCGTGTGAGTCCCAGTGCTCTCACACTCAATGTAGAACTTCATCAATGCATGCAGCAGATGCTTTGTCGCAAAGTCGTGAGCAAACAAGGTGTCCCCGAGCACACCCTTGGGTCGCCCAGGGATGGCCCACACACCGTGGTAGAGAATTGTGACTAGGCCAGACTTGAGGTATGGGTTCTTGATGTATTCTGAACTCCTCAAGAATGCGATGCAAATCTTCACCAGCTCCTCGCACTGGGTTGAGGTAACAATGTGCGGCATCCATCGCGTGATGAACTTGAAATTACCAACAATATCTTCGACAAAGTACTCCGGGAGGCACTTGAACGCTGTAGACTGCTCTTTGGGTAGCGGCAACTGCAATTCCTGTTTCGGAAAGGCTGTACCTGGCGACGCGAGCCGCAAAAGCCATACAATTACATATCGCATGAGCTGCATCGAGCGAGCTTGAGTAGTCTCATCAAGCAAGACACCCTGGATCGCCAATATGATACACTGGCCCCGCTCAATCTGATGTTTGAGCTTCTGCACATGATTGTCGAATATCGCCAGTTGTGCCGGATTTGAGGCATACTTGTGGCGCTCGGTCTCAATCCTGGCAAGCTCCTTTGTGAGATACTTTACGTCCTTTTGTAGGTTGGACAGCTTCGCATTCGCGGCCTCAGTTCCGTAGTGGTGCGCAGCCACAGTTAGGAAGAAAACCTCACTGATAAAGTTATTCGTGCCGCTCGCGCTTTCGCTATAGAACTCTTCTGAAGCCTTGTCATCCGCATTGATCTTGGTTTCATCCTTGATATCAACGCGTGGCGATCGCCGTAAATAGTCAACCTCGATACGATCAATCTTGGAGAAAGATGCATCCATGAAGGGCTCGCATAGACGATCGAGAATGACGGTAACATTGACCATGAATCCGTCAGACGAAACAACCTTGGGGTCAACCTGCATAGCGCGTCGTTTGTGGTTTTTGTTTACGGTCAGGGCGAACCAGTCCAGCATTTTCTCTCGCGACTCCTTGTTCTTGATGAAGGCATTGGCAATGTCAAGCAACTCATCCTGATGGGTTTGGAGCGTCATACGTAGAGCGCGCTGAGCGTTTGCAATCAGGCCCTTGTCTTGGGATGCGGAACCAGCGAAATAGTTGAGTGCGACTTCGCCTTGCATGGGGGACAGACGGAAGAATGGGCCCAGAAAAGAGCTTGTCTCAATCTGTTGCGCCTCTATGTCCGTGGGCAGAAACGTTTCGGACTGTGCCAGCGCCGCTACAAGTGGTGGGAAGCGAATGAAGACTCGAAGCACGAGCATGAACGGCCTATAGTCACCATTCATGGAAACCTTGACTAGTCGTCGACTCACATCTTCCATGGCACTTACCAAAGCTTCTTTTACAGAGTCGTCTTCGCCCATTCGGTGGCTAGCCTCTGTGAGGAAGTCGTAGCAGATACCACGGTCGTCATCGGGACCGAGCAGAATGTGGTCAGCCAGCGCGTTTGTGGGAGGCATCTCTTCGCCGAACATGTCTGGGATAGTCGCAGCAAAGATACAGTAGCTGAAACATAGCCGTCGAGCTTCCTTGACGATCTCGTGCTTTGGGTCGCTCTTGCTGGTCAGGCTCTTGAACTGCTTGGACACGCGCTTCCAGCAGCCCAGCAGATATTCCAATGCTGAGCCTTGGCTGTGGCTCGACGCTGACTCGAGGATAACTGAATCCAGCATGTCCGTGGTGAAGCGAAGCGGTTTGCCATCTGCCTCCAAATCATCCTTGGTCGTGGATGCAAAGTACAAGCTGTGGCCATGCGTGTCTTGTGTACGGGTCTGGTCCAGAGTTATCCGGAAGATGCTGCCGAGTGTACGATCCTCCCACGTCTCGATACTGACGTCCTGGGCCTTGGCTGCAGGCTGTGATGGGGGCCCGCTACTTGACGGTTGCGCGGCCTTGGGCTTGATGTTGATGGAAGACTTGGGCGCGCCTTCCGCCTTTATTCCCAGCTGAGAGAAAGGGTTCGCGGCCGGTGCGGGCTGAGGCGACGGTTTCGGCGGCGGTGCTTGGGCTTCTGAAGGTTTCGGCGACGAGCTGCTCGATGCTGGGGCTGGCGGGGCTGACGGGGCTGACGGGGCTGACGGGGCTGCTGAAGCGGACTGTGAGCTTCCATTCGGATTCGCGGGGCCCCCGAGCTTCGCAAGGCGCTTTGCACGGATCTGCGAAAGGTCTTCGTCAGCGACTCGCTTTGGTGGACGTCTAGAGAGCTCCTCTACCTTTTCAGGATCCATGTCTTGCGGCGGCGGTGGCGGCGGTGGCGGCGGTGGCGGCGGTTGCTCGTCTGCCATGGTGTGTGGATTCAAGTCGAGGTAGTCGCAGATTCGTGAGCGGTAGGGAGATGGTGGCGGGGCAACGGGAGGCAAAAGAATGGAAGAGTTGCTGTGGTTCGTGTAATATCACTTGAAGCGTTCCCGACGAGGTTCCGCGCGCAGTGAGGTCAGTAGTAGCCTAGCCCCCACATTACACGCGCGCCTACTTCGTACTCACCACTTCACGTGGAACTCCGCCGAAGCAAGGGGAACGGTGCATTCATCAGCAATTCAGGAGCAGTCACTTGAGAATTGCAAAGGGTCGCCTGTTGCGCCGACTGCATCATACAATACACAACAACTTTGTCTCACAGCCTGACGATGCACGCCTACTCGGCAGCAACCACCGGTCATCATGCTGCTTGTCCCGGAGGACCACTGTCTGACTCCTGCGGAACTCTCCCCAAGCTGCAGATCTATACGCTGTCTCACCCTGGACATACGTGCCATTGCTGATATACGACAAACTTGATATGACCTATGACGCTGGCGACTATCTTCCAGTCGTCCACTCAACGTACGCGACGCGCCAAGCAGCAGCAGCGGTACGTGAGCCGAGGTGGACCCTTGTTCATTGCGGGGATTGCTCGACGTTTACCTGCACAAAGGCATGGGAGCCTGTCTTGACCGGCCTTCCCAGATGGCGGTGCCAGAGTCTAGACGGCACAGGATGGCGTGGACAGACAGGCCATGGCGGGCGTTGGACAGTCCAGCCAGCGGCGGACGGCCGTCCACGGGTGTGCATGCACATGGACGACTGTCAGCAGCGTTGTACACAATGCCCCAAGCTCGACGCAAAGGGCTCCACGGGCCAGCAGCTGTATTGGCAGCGGCACATCAAACTGGCGCTGAAACAGCGACCGCTGGGTGTCTAATAACGCTCGCGGGAGGCAGACCCGTGACCTCAACACTGGTGGTCGCAGCCAACAGGAACAGGCGTGCAGGTCCTGGAGGAATAGCAGCGGGCAGGCGATTGCCCATGTCGTGTTGCAGCGGTGCGCAGAGGCTTCACGGTGAAGCGCATCACGGCGTCACGGCGTCACATGGAGCAACCGTGGGCGTATGGATGCATCCATGGATGTTATCGTCGCTGTCGCTGTCGCTATCTGTGTAGGAGCTAGCCGCATTAAAGCGACTACTTCCGCCAAACGCTGCCCCGTCAACACAGCGACCCTCTCGCACTGCACTCTCCCACCCCCCCTCTCTGCTTGCTCGCCTGCTCTGTCGCACGCTTCTGATTCGATTGCATCACGGTTCGTAGCTGCACCGCCACGATTCCTGCCCTTGTGCCCGTTTTGGACAGCTCAGCCTCTAGGCACGAGCCCAGCCGCGCACTGAGCGCCTAGTGTTCAGCAGCAGCGCAGCCTCCGTCTTCACAACCCTACTTCAATCACCACTCCTCTCCATCCTCTGCTAACACTCTGTTCTCGCAACAGCACCACCTCCTGCACCCACACCACCGCCAACACCCGCACCCACCCCACACATCGCCATGGCCGAGATTCGTCGAAAGCTCGTTATTGTCGGTGACGGCGCCTGTGGAAAGACTTGTCTGCTCATGTACGTACTAGTGCACGCGGCCATCGCCGACTGCTGCCCCCGTGGCCTTGACCTTCACCCGCTAACAGCACCGTCTGCAGCGTCTTCTCCAAGGGCACCTTCCCCGAGGTCAGTTCTGCCGCGCTTTTGCCTCCATCCCTGAGCTGCGTCAGCCTAGCTGGCCCGCGCAGCTGCCCATCGCACCAGCACCACGCACGCCCATTACATCATCCGCATACTGACTGTGCCGTCTCAATAGGTCTATGTCCCCACTGTCTTCGAGAACTACGTCGCCGACGTCGAGGTTGACGGCAAGCACGTCGAGCTCGCCCTCTGGGATACCGCTGGCCAGGAAGATTACGACCGTCTCCGCCCGCTCTCCTACCCCGACTCGCACGTTATCCTGATTTGCTTCGCTATCGATTCGCCCGACTCGCTCGACAACGTGCAGGAGAAGGTACGAACCACGTGTTCCGCCTATGCATCAACGGCCGCTAACTGTGCTGCAGTGGATCTCCGAGGTCCTTCACTTCTGCCAGGGCCTGCCTATCATCCTCGTCGGCTGCAAGAAGGACTTGCGCTTCGACCAGAAGACCATTGAGGAGCTCCACAAGACTTCTCAGAAGCCGGTAACCCCAGAGCAGGTCAGTGTTCGCCAATCCCCCCTACCCACTGCCTCACTAACACGGCGCAGGCCGAAGATGTCCGCAAGAACGATTGGCGCCCAGAAGTACCTCGAGTGCTCCGCAAAGACGAACGAGGGTGTCCGAGAGGTGTTTGAGCACGCCACACGAGCTGCCCTGCTCACCCGGAAAGAGAAGAAGTCGAAGAAGTGCCTGATCTTGTAGATGCCGTCGGGGCTTGTGTGAATATACTGGGGCCGCCGCAACTGCGCCATGTTGACACCAGACAAGACCAACACGGTGGCGGCAACTGGGCGTGTTATAGTCGTCTATCGAGCAAGGCCGCGAATGCGAATGGCCAGAAAGAACTGAAGACGAGTTTGGCCTTATCTGGCTAGTCTTCTCTGGGCAGTCACTCTCGGGCGTTTTACTGCGCTGGATCTTTTGTGTCATTGGAAACGTACGTACATCATCTTGGGGAGGCATGATGGAGGGGTTATTTTCTCAGAGTGTGTGGTCGAGATTGTGCAGCTATCGGGTTCAGCAATGGTAGGATCTTTCTAATAATGTGCTTGGTTTTGCTCTGCTCGCGTGCCTCTGAGATTCACACAGTCGCTCATATCCAATCACTCGTACTGCTTCTATTCTACTCACTCGCACTTGCAATTGTTCATGATGCTGTATCAGCTTTTCCTTGATTGTCATGCTGATCAAATTCTCTCAACATGAGCATTCAACTTCGTCATTCTCTCCCCTGCCCGGCGCGATTGTCGTTCTACCGAACATGGAAAAGCTTTTGGTCCCCACAAAACGCTTAATTGACTTGTTGAATCGCTTCGCAGCCGGCTGCACGATTCCGAGCACCCGCCCCGCTTCTTGTCGACGAGCGGTAAGTGGGGACGAGCAGGAAATCAGGCCACCGCTCCTATGACAACACGGCTGGTATCTTTTCATGGGATTGATCATGTTTACTGAGGAGACTACATTATCAGGAATGTGCGATGCCCAGTGATGTAGACAGTATTCCATACACTGGCACACCGCATGCTGAGGAAGCCTGAATTAGGAAGGTGAGACTCCCCGAGTGCACGACTTGTGTGCGTCTCGGATTGATCCTCCATCTTTTATGTTTTTCATTAAAATCAAACCTGAAGCTTGCTATGAACCACCGTTAAAGAGACACCTGGGTAGTGCATCAGATATGCTAGCGCTACTGCTTTGGGCTAGTGCACCACCACGTGTACACGCATGAGGCTCTTCCCTCACTTTCCCACACCGATCAGAAATGACAGAAGCATGTTAAACACCCAAGAGCTTTGAAACAAGATCTAGCCTTTTCCCGCAATTGCGCTTTTGCCCGCGTGCTGCAGTATCACATCATCGGACCAGGGCTGAAGTCGGCCGGACCCCACTCAACATGGCGTACGAACAGTTCCGCATATACGGCTACAACCACGGTACTGAACCAGAGCATTATCGACTGCATGTACGAGACCATCGGACTGAGCATACTACACCGCGTCGGGCACACTACTATGATGCATACCAGTCCAGCCCGGGAGCTGACTATATCGATCGTGCACGCATGCCACGACCAGACGATCACATCGGACCGTACGTTGAATCAGCACGTCGGTCGAGGCGTAAGAATACTGGCTATTCGACTCAAGACTACATCTCTCCTCCAGTCGATGCCAGGGATGACTACATTGACCAGGACTACCATACACCAGCTAGGGCTCATGCCCAGCATACTCCAAGGCATCAAAACGTACCAGGGGGATTCTATGAGGATGAATATTCCCCATCAATGCCAAGTATATCAGCAAAGGAGCAAGATTCCATTCACCGAATTATGAAAGAAGCCAAGTTCGGGAATCATCACGAAATCATGCGGGCCTATTGGGTGCCACAAGAATACGATGAGATGCCTGTTGATCAGACACATTCGCATAGACAGAGGTCAAGATCAGTTCCGAAATTAGAGCCAAGAAGAGTCAGGTACGATAGCGAGAGTGAGACTGACGTGCAGACTTATGTTGGTGACAGTGGAGATGATGAAGTAGAAAGACCAAGACTGGGAGGCTGGAACAGCGATGAAGATTCCATTGTTGAAACAAGAGACAGATGGAGATCCAAGTCCCTACGAAGCGACGACGTAGGACGGGCTCCGTCTCCTCACATGCCCGGAGGCTACGCATCCTCTTCGCCAAGCATACACTACGAGAGCGACGAAGAAGACGAAATGCGTCATCGAAGTCGAAAAGCATCCAGGGAACGCGCAATACGGCGTTACGCCTCTTCCTCCCCTAATGACCGACACAGAGACTCTTCAGCGTCCCCTTCGGCACATCACTATGCCTCCTCGTCCCCTGCTCCCAGCGAGTGGGGTCAGTATCGATCTCGCAGGCACATCTCCTTCTCCTCGAGCACCGATCACGCTCGCCAGCGATCCATGTCTAGTCCTCCCACTAGACCACACGCCTCGTCATCACTGCGCCCACGAATCCAGCGCGCTCCTTCGCCGCCGCCCGCTATCGCGCGACGGTACTCTTCTTCTTCAACACTGTCGCCATATGTTGGTAGCGACTACGACGCACCAGTCCGCTACGAGTCCGATACGGGCGACGACGACGATACTTGTGTGTCCGGGAGCGAGAGGGGGCGCTATGTTAGGTCTGAGATTGATTCGGATGTTTGTAGTGATTCGTC